GACCCCCAAACGAACGTCACTGGGTGCCAAGAATTCACAATTATCGATTGGCTTCAAGGTCGCTCTTGGCTGGTGAGATTGTTCGCCACAGGTGTTCTGATACAATCATGTTCAAAACATGGGTCTTTTAATCGTCTAGCTCCAGGATGCTTCCTGTGGTATTACTTAAAAGAGTAACTTGTGTGACCAATAATATGATGCACTTCAACAACCAAGTAACGATGAGTAGAGTTCCGATTTCAATGAATTAACCGCATAATAATTTTCTTCTCAAATCAGATTTTGTAATAATCCGTACTCTCCATCCCGGTTCGGCAACATTTTAATTTAAGTGGACTTGATTTCAGCCCCTTATATAAGTGATCGTAAACGCAAGCTAGTCGACAAATACATCCGCCTTAAATTAATGGTACACCAGAACAATTTATGACTGCATGCTGCAATTTAAAGAGTAACAGGTCTCCTCAATTTTTTTGTGCACGGAAGTACCCGTTTTTTTTTTTACCAAAACCGTTAATGAGAATTTGAGGCTTAAGGTTCCTTTGAAATGTTTCTTCTAGAAATGAGTTCTTAGCAGAATCAAGAACCATTGTCACCTGCCACTGTTAAACAGCTTTGTATAGCGCAGTTTGATTTTGTGTAAAAATCCTTTAAACTATTTGTGTAATTAATTGTATTTTCAATTGGCAGGGTGTCCCAGATGCTATAGAACCCATATTTTTACTTAAATTGATAAATAAGTTAAACAAATATTCATTCTACTGAACGGTGTTGTATCTGCATTGCGAATAATGGCTCACAATTCGAGCATTTGTTGCTTGGCAGTGTCATAAGATTTTGGCCCATTAATTTGCCATTTTCAGTCTATTATGTTTTCACATTTTGATTTGAAAGCATTTGAAACACCAGGCCCGTAACATTGAGATCGATCGCTAGGATGAGGTAACAGAGCAGCACTGTCTAATGGTCATGACCTTCATCACCCCTTGCTATACGCCGAGCTCGGGCAAGTCAATTGACCAATAGGATTAGAGAATTTTGACTTATTTAAGTAAACAACGCTTTCCCAATTTCCTATGCTGCCAGCAAAAAACTTCCGAAATTGCTTATTCATGGAGTGATATACCAAAACAACTCAGTGAGTTACCTTTTCGCCTTGTTCTGCAAATCAGAATAAAGTATCATGCGATCAATTAGCCTGGACATCTGGCTTATAACAGAATTTTTCAAAAACTAGTGACTTTCAAATTACTTTTCCGATATTTCAAAAAATTCGTTCGGATGTCGTTATGTTATAGCCCCGGACCTGAGTTTATGGCAGGGTTTTCCGTTATGGCAAATGACTTTAACATTTAGGCTTACAAAACCTAATCCACGTATAGTATTTGCAGCAAGATGCCTGGTACTCTTGCTAAGGTTTTGTAAATTAAACCAATTTTTCACAAACCGACTGTGAGAATTTGCGTTTTGCGGCCATCTTTTCAACAAAATGCTGATTCTATGATATTTTACTGCTGATTAACCATGGCTGAGCATCCGTTTGTCAGTCTACTAACTGTTATGCTTCAGCTAGCAAAGTGTAAAGTGTGCGTTTTATAAAATTAGTCATAACTGACTCGAATGACAAGAGGCATCATTTGTCCAATTAACTCAATTTTCCTCTTTTTTATTTCAGAATTATTTTATTTTTTTTAAATTGATAATCGATTTGTCAAGGTACAGACCATCCCCCACTTTTCGTCCAAACGCTTTTCCACGTAATGATTATTTATGACTCACAGTCCGGCCTCCCAGAGGCCAGTAAAACAATTTTTCATTCGACCCACACTGTAGTACCTTAGTGAGCCCTTTTAAAAGTATCAAATTTTAATAGCGTGATTGTTTCGAAGACATTTTGGTGTCTCTTCCTGAAACATCTATCTACAAAAACCATTTTCGGCACGTTTTAAATCTCTTTGCCTATTTTAATATTTAAGTGTGGAGAAAAAGGCGATAATTTCTTGGTCAAACATACTGTAAGGAAGTACAGAACTCCACATACTACTTTGCCTCAAGTTTTATCTCATAATATGTGAAAATCAGAGGTAAGAAATTCGCAATATCCTAGAAACACGAAACCCGTAGGAGCCAGTGTAGCTCGTAGTCACATACCAGGCAGTTAACTCTAACTATAAGCATTCACTACCACGTGTGGTTCAGGTTCAATTGGCTGTCTTCTCGCTACAACTGGGAAAACACACCTAGACATACTGGTCAAAGCCGATATCCTATTTAAGGGTAAATTGGATTTATTTCATTTGGTCAACTGCAAAGATCAGCAGCTAAAAATTGACCGGGGGAAGAAAGCACAGCCTAAGATTTTGGAAATTGACCACTGATTTTCCACGACGCAAACCCTCGACGTGATTGTCATTTCAGTACTTGAGTGAAGCAGGCTATTGCTTAATTTAGACGGCTTGCTAAGATTTAGAGCGCAGTCAGGCTTAATCTACTCCCAGATACTTGGGTTTAATTTTACTTTTGCCTAAGTTTTTCCACTACCACTGCCGAGTAAAGAACTTCTATACATGGCTATTTAATTTTCGAGTTCTGTTAATGGCCCGCCTATTCCTCTCAGTCGGTGCAAACATAATTTGGTGACCGACGTCAAACCTCGTTTTAGCCAATAAACAACTTTCCTCCCAAGTTTCAGATGTCGGCTTTTGTGCACCGGACTACACCCACTAGAATCGAATGTCTTTCCTGTCGTTCGCCCAACATCCGAACGAGTAATGAATAATTTGTATCTTAAGAGTTCACGTATATCTGGAGTACTGGTCCATTTCTCAAAGCTCCGATGAACTGCCTTAAAATGTTCATTTTACATGGGTCATAATTACTTGTTTGATTTCCGCTTGGACCGAATCCCCTCTGAGCATAAAAGGGTACAGACGGTATTTTCGGCAGCCTTGTGTAATGCTTTCGTTTCAGATCCAAAGGCCTTGTAAACTGCGAAAGTCTAAGGTACCACGAATCTAGCACGTTCGTTAACTCACTCCTTAATTTAACACGAAGTTAAAACCATGCACAAAAGGGACCAATTATTTAATTTCCAACACGTAACAGTAAGTCGTCCGTGTTAAATTATCCATTCATCAGGTAAATACGCCCTAATAAGAAGAACGAGCCCAAACGCACGCAATCCTTGACGGCTTGCCACGTCGTCACTTTAGTCTGCTCAAGCGAACAAGATAATACACTTTGTCAAACATGGGAAATAACATTATAAATTGGATTGCATTTATCTTGTTTGAAGGGTGCAAAGAAAGCCATTGTATTAGCTTGCTTTACATCGAGGCAACTGCTTTTTTATAATGCGTAACAGTGGTGAATTTGGTTCAGTTAAGTAAGGAAGAACTAAGGATCTTGTTTTGGCAATTATCAAGGTCCATTCGTCATAGGTTTCGGCCTTCCCGTCAGCAAACGACGGCTACGTTTTTATTTATAATACTATCCGATAATCATTGATTCCATATTGATTATACACTGGCACATTCTCTTACGTAGGAACGATCGGTAATTTAAAAAAATCGATTTGCATCTGATCACTTCTGTGGACTGTAAACTCCAGTGGTTGAGCACGTTATAGCCGACTGGTATTTATTCATTAGAATGTAGTACAGCACCTTGTGGTATCTAAGAAACTCATTTCAAATCCCTTCAAAAACACGCTTGATTAACTTCACTTAAATTGTTCTTCAGGTAACGATAAATTTATAAACGCTCAACGACAGTCGCAAGTTTCCACTTCCTTTTGTGATTTTTAACATTTAGGATGTCAGCAGCGAAGCAAAACCAGCTAGTGCGAATGAAGTTATCTCTAGACCTTGGTCAAACATGCGGTTATTTCAAAAATGCCAATTTTTTGGCACACATAAAATCAGCAGACTAGTGTAAATTTCATGATACACAATTTTTTCGCAGAACGTGAAAATATTTGATGTTTTCTCCATTGAGAGACTAGCAGGTCACTTTAAGTGATACAGTGGCATGCAAAATCAAAGTGCCTTCACTCGTCTGCATTCTGTCAATATAAATATAAATGTAACTGCAGCACTTTTGAACACTATGACAGATTCGTTTGGATTTAGTTTGACATTCTCATTAGGTTTATGGCTGAATAAATAAAAAAGATTTTGGCTGTCTTCTTAACTACGACCATATTATTACAAAAATAATTTGAAAATTTGCATAATTAAGGCGATTATAATGCATTCTCATATAAAGCGTAAATGTGTTTGGATTTATATTTGGCACAGTGACAGAGGCATTTTATTAAACCTACTGATAAACGTCATTCGCATATTTGATCAAGCAGGAGCGTAATAGTCCATTATTGGTTCTTAAATTCGTGATTCGGCTTACTATAATCACAGTGAGAAAGGACCTGATTTTAAGCTTAAACAAATGTTTTGCAGTGTAAAGATTAACAGCATTTTCTAACTTTGATTTACTGCGAATTTTACACCCCATTATTAGCTGGAAATGGTTAAACAATGTGTGCAACTTTACGTTAGTTGACTTACGACGTTTATTAGTCAAACTCGCACCCACCTGTTACTTAGCATGTGGTGGTTGCCCGGGGTGACAGAAGCACTCGGGATTTTGTAGCGTATTTTGATTGTATCTGAAAGTGGCGCCAGTGAGTTGCGTGTCGGTGGCCGCAGGGTCCTTATCAGGCCGGCAACTGGAGTAGCACTCGCCATGCAATTGCACCTTGCTGCCTCAATAACAAATGGAAAATAAATTAGATTTTTTTCTGCTCATTATGCTGCAGGCACAGGTTTTGCAAAGGAAACAATCTCTCGTTGTATAGATGGGGTTCTGGCTTGCCAATTCAGTCGTAATCATCTTTCAAATGAAGATTCACATTCAAAATATCTCCACTTTTCAGAAAATGCGTTCCGGCCGGAGTAATTACTAACGATACTACAAACACGTGGAAAATTTGAATAAAGGCGATGGATGCTGCCTTCATTTGGAAGCTTTCCAAGCTTGGTCAGATTGGTTCATCTCGACAACGCTACGACGACGATTTCTCCGATCGACTTAACTACCAGTACACTAGCGTGCTTTTTTTTCTCTTTATCGGACTCATTGGCATTCGACAGTATGTTGGTACGTTTTTCGGTCTATTTTACCAGCCACTCCGCATGTTTTATTTCCCCTGAAGACTGTAAAGCATGATGCACGGCTAAGTAGACCGACGTAAATTCGGCGTCAGTTATCTGCGATGGTAGTGTAACAGTTTAACATGGACAAAAAATTTGATCTTTTAGGTAAAATAAATTAAGGTGTGTCTAATACTCCCTTTTAACTGATATTTAGGCGTTTCTATGCGAAAGAATGTTGGAGACGATTAAAATATATTCAGGCTAAGCTGGACTATTAAAAAGGTCACGATTAGGACTTTTTGAATAAAATCGATACCAGAACAGCTCTCTTTGAGTAAAAAACAAACCTCATGGTTTCACACATATTATCCGATACCTTAAGAGTTAATTTTCGTAACCCTGTTTGTACTTTGTTCGGAAAACTAAGAAATCAATTGGGTGCTCAAGTTTGCTAGTAAAAATGAGCAGTCGAAGTGCAGATGGTTCCGCATGTGACACCCTAGGCTGGCGAGTCTTATAAGGACACAAAAATGTGTTCCGGAAAAAATATAAATAGAGGCTGATGCACTAAGCACGTTCATGACAGTTGACTCATTATTATAGTGACTTCTGGTGTTATATCAGCCATGGACTAAAGTCATGATGTCCGTTCTACTTCTGATTCAATTTTGGAAATAAGATTGACGAAGTGACAACATTTATTTGGTTTAAAAATTAGTGTTTGAATAGCTGATTTGCGTCCTTTGTGATTATAAGTGCAGTGAAAAATTACTTTTATTCATGGATAATGAAAACAGCAAGCAAAGTATTTACGCTTCCGTGAGCAGTAGTACTTATCACTTTATTTTGGCTTTGACAATTTCCTCCCGGAATGGGACTCTTATTTGAATTTCTTTTGCAGCCTGTGCTAGAAAAAAGTTTTAAATAAAGTAAATTTCCAGTGATCTGTTGATTTTGTAACCTTTTCCTGATTTCCAGCATAACTTTGAAAATTTTATCAATTTTAAAATGCATTGAAGTTAAAAGTCGTTTGTTTACGTCAAAACTCAAATTCATGCCTAAGCCAAATAGATTTGATTAAATTACTTGATCAACGGGCTGTGTGTGCTGTTCTTGGGCTGCTCAGTTTCCTTTTTTAAGGGTGCATTAAACTGCAGAAAAATACTTGAGCGAGAACCAGAAGCCAAATGAGCAGTACGTGCTTCCGAGTTCAACTTTTGCCTTAGAGATTCCATTGAGATGCCTACAGGAATGCTTAAGTGTCTTGAAATTGTTTTTAACAGGAGTGAGCGATGCAGCTGGGAAACGCAAAATCTAGTTTTTCCCGTTTGCACCCTCACCCAAGCTACTACCTGAGGAAAAAACAAGCGCTCGAAAACATTAGTGTCTTTCCGCTTGTTAGCTTAAGATGAATTATGCATGGAAGGTGCGTCTTCCAAGATAACTTCAATAACCGCTGTCACGAATATGCGCTGTGACATAGTGAAAATAGGCTCAAAGAATCTCGTTTCCTAGGCTTTTTCCTTTCCACAAATTTACACAGACCTCGACCGATGAGGTGGAACGTGCGCGAAGTATTTGGATGCTTCACATTAGAATACCTACACAAGGGTTGAGAAAAAGACGCATTCTGCTAAACGAGGTGGCAATCTGCCACCTGAGAAATCACTTTAAGCACCTGGTGGGCTTACTTTCAGAGTTTTAAAGTTGTTTTAATAATCTACTTCTGTGATTGTGTGACTACCATAGCAACTTGGGCACATCGTTATGGCCTCCTTTAGAACGATGGTCAGAATGCAGTGGTTCAAAGGGTGCATAAGTGGATAAAGTGTTGCGACAAGGCAATAAAACGTTCTCTTTGCACCACTGTTGGTCAGCCTGCGCTTGCCAAGAGGAGCATTAACATTTCTTTGGTGGGCAAAATTTTCTCCGTGTTACATTACGTACCTGACATGTGGATAGCTGTCACGTCTTTCCCATTTAGCGACCAAAAATACACCTCGGTTTCCTGCCGGGATTTTTTTACACTTCTAATTACGTGTGAATTAATAGTGTATGAGTAAGTTGCATTTTTTGACTCCAATTATTCTGCAGATAAATAAGTTCTTTTATCTACTGCTGTCGAGTCATCTAATGCCTAGTAATGGTGGGGCGATAAATTTTGCTACTAGCAGTTCTGATAAGGAAAAAAGATCAAGTACTTCACTGTACTTTCATAACATTAGAGGCAAACGACTTGACCTGGCCTAATACTGGTGATAGTCCCAATTCCGGAGCCTGATTAAGGTCAATCAGCGTTTGCGTTGCCTGATACACATAGCCCAGTTTGTGACTCCCTTTGAAACTCCATACGGTAGTCTCAGAAGGTGTGACACCCAATTAAAGGGAATTATCCACCAACAAACCCTTCTTTGTCTAAACATGGTTGTCTTTCGCCTGTGTCTCTTATGCTTTGTTTGCAGTCAATCGGGACGTCAACTTATCCAACATGAGCTCAGATCTGCTTAACAATGCCATTTCAACTGTGATCCAAGCCAACCTATTCCGTCTCAAATAAAAAAAACCAGGAAAAAACATCAAGGACGAGTTAGATAAAACTAAAAGGCGAAGCAGACGTCCTTCCATATCTTTACTCAAACAACCTTGCTACTATATTGCTCTCTTTGTTGCTTAGAGGCATCGATTCTCGCCGTCAATAACAGTGTAATACAGAAACCTTGATTTTTGCCAGGCAGTTACATTCTTGACTTGTCCATTGAATTCAGGTGACGAAAGCAGTTATCTATTTTTAACTTAAGTACATGGCCGTCCTTCCTGTTGCTCCGCGTCTCTTTTCTTGCCAAAGAACATTCAAACACTTCTCGGGGAAGTCAATTTACTGATCGGAACTTTGTGCGCCATTAAGGTCCAGAATGTTGCTTCAGATTTTGGCTTCCCGCTTAGTAGCAGCATCCTAGTAGATCAGGAGCCATGCTCGTGCATCTAGCACCATGGCTGAACGCAAAAAGCCAGTCGCGTCGTAAACGCCGATTTGTTTTTCAAGTTTACAACCTGCAATGTGGGGGTGGGGGCGAAAAAGGAGCTTCCGCTAATTTGCCAATCAAGTAAGACGACAGACAAACGTAGGCCTCAACCCAATCGTTTTCCCATGTGGGGGCGAACGTGCTTAAATCTGAGTCAGCAGACTTGATACCATGCAACCTTTCTTCTCCATTACCTCTAGGTGTGGGAATGATGGTACGAAACGTCTGCCTCACACAGCAGGGCCCAGGTGCTTAGCTTTATTTCATGTGATCTGAGCCCTCATCCACGATCAGTTAAATAAATCTCATTTTTCTTAAATCGTCCCCATTTAATGTTAATAATGCTCCTTGAAGTCGGAAAACCTTTGCATTTGTACTGTATTGCGAAATTATCGTTTACGTACTTCGAAAAGCACATATCGCTTATTGCGTAGCAGTTAACATATTTCATGAAGGACAGTAATTCGGGATTCTAGTTCCATTGGTTTTGTGTGAGCAGCAGTCCAAGTTATGCATAGTCACTTTCCACCATCTCATTTAATTTAGCATTTTATGAATGGTCAGACCATGCCAAAGTGGAAAGTGTCTCAAGAGTGATGGTACCTTCACAAATAGTCAACAAAATATTTTATTCAGAACACACGATTTAATTTAATTTCATTTGGATATCTAATGCCAAAGAAATAGGGCACACACGGGTCGACCAGCAACATTTCCACTAAAAGGCATCGCAAAAAGTTGTTAGTTTACCTCAGCATATGATTTCGGAAGAATTAAATGTCTTTTCATTGGTTCCAGCACCTTGCGCTGGTTGCACCATTAGAGGCCGCTCATTCTCAGTACATTTGGGCAAGGCTCACAATGGATCTGAGCTAGCCTAATCTTAGGAATTTGGCTGAACGCGTGGTTTTGCATGGTTTTTGCTGAAAGCGTCCTTGGTAATAACTAATTAGTGGATCAGTTCAAACCAACCTAAGCACAAAGCTATGCCTACACACAATTCGCGCAAATATCTGGAGTGGGGTGAATGCATCCTGCCCTGAATTTAGGAAGCAACTTTCTCGAAGTGACGCTCGTATTAAAAGTTTGACTTAGTCGTGAACAATAAAGTTGTCTAACGACACCGGAGTAGTGGTTGTTGGCATTATCCCATCTGCCATTTTCAGGAAAGATTACCACTGACTGCCTGCTTGCACCCAGGTGATAATGAGAAATAAGTCATTATTTTGGGAATGAAATAAATGTTATGTCAAGAGACCTGTCACCCAGGTAATAAGGAGAACAACTCACCAAGATTACACAAAGCACGTGTTTCACAAAACGTCTTACCGTGAAGTCACAATTATTGCATCAAGTCCCAGATACCCAGTTGATACAATTCTAGCAACTTCAAAGCAACGAAAAATCAGAAACGCATGCAAACTTACTTGGTACAAATTTATAAGTGGTGGATTGTGGTCGTTCGGCCACAACTTTCACACATGTTAAGTGGTCAAGGTTCATGCCAAAGGCAAGCTAGTGCTAAGAGAAGAACGCGGCCTTCACCGGACTTAACAAAAATCGAGGACAAATAAATTGCCTATTTCTTCGGAAGAAGGGTGGGCTTTCGCACATAAGATGACCTTCAAGTATGTCCATACACAATGTTGTACCAAAAAATTATTTGCGTAACAAATAAGTTGTCCGTCAGATCATAAAACACGCGACTCTTGCTGGTTGGAGGGGGTGGTCGAAAGGATATGCAGCGGCATTTCACAAGTCCTGGAACAAGTTGCTGCCATTGCACTTCAAAAGGGAGTGAATTCAATTCAACCATGCAAAAGGTAGCTGAAAAATAACAAATCTAAAGTACATGAATAAAAATTAGAAAGTGCCTTAGAAATGTACAGTAGGAAACTACTTTCTCACAGGATTCTGCAGGAAAAAGTCCGTATTTAGTTATTTTATGTCGTGCAAACATTACTGCCAAGATTAACACCCAGGCGGCTGTCATACTTTTGTGGTTTAACTTCACAATTATTAAGAACGATAGGCGTTTCAAGTTAATACCAGTACTTATATTTTTAATTACAAATTATGAATTACAACAGGAACTATACTTTGCTCAAAATGTAATTTTTTTTAAATAAAATTTACACATTTTTGCAAATAATTCATGGAATAATGATAGTTAGGAATTTGTGGCTGTAAAATTATCAACATTAATTCATGTAAAGGAGGGAAATTCCAATGGAGGACTCTTACGCTTTGCCAGTAACCGAAAACACGCTTAGCTTTCCAGTTCAGGACAAAGACGGAGTCTCTTACCGTGAAATCCATTGTTTTAATGAAAAGTTTATGTTACCTCGATTCGACTGATTTGAAGGGATTAACGTAGATAGGAGTTGCCAGTGGGGGGCTTTAGAAATGGCGCGTAATTACGGGGGTTGAGAGAACAGCGGCAGTCTCAATAAGTCTTGGAGACTGCCAACTTACCCATCAAGTTCAATGCAGCATTCGTCGAAACTAACTTGGCACAATGTCTATTCAATTCAAAGCGAATAAAAGGTCTCTTTAGCCCCTTGTGGTTTCATTTGAACAAGTATCACCCAATGGGAACAGAACCAGAATTACTTCCGTTAGCATATCTATGTACGAATCCAAAATGTGGTTGGGTAAGTAGTGGTTCAGGATGTAGCACAGATGAAATGTAAAATGCATTTTTTTAAGTTTCAAAAGACGAAAATCAATCAACTGAAACGATTTTAGCAAATCGCCAAACAGTTTCAGTCCGTTTTAATACTTAACTCATTGTATCTGCGATTTCGCCTTTTCTTTGACCTTACTCCAAAGAAAATCACTTTGGAGCAACTTGTGGTGTCTATTCAAGCGTCTCTTGGAATCGGTAACTGCATCGGTTAGAATTATCCTTCATCGTTGATCAACGCCCCACTGTGGACAGCAGTAATATTCAGTGTAGATGAGAGCATTACATACTTACTTTATGATTCGTCATTTTTATATCCGTTGCATTTGCTTCAAGTGCTCTTAAATATATCAATTTTTAACACAACAATCACAACGATAAGCACAGACGGTCTCGGCGTTAACTTTCATACGGTTTTAATCTATCTTAGACTTTTGACCATCGAAACCGGAGGGATTTAAACTGCAATTCGTACCTGTTACAAATAAAAGGAGTCTTTGTTGGAAAAAAAGTAGCCAGTGTTTCAATTTCTTCCTGTCATGAGAAGTCGCCTGCATGTTTCAAAAAATGAAGCCTGGTTGAATTTTAAATATGTGAAAATGCTTTGGCCCTATGCAGAAGAGATATTTTACATCTCCAAATCCGTTAAAAATCAAATTTTTATGGCTAATCTGATGTGACAAGGTCATAATATCCACAACTGGACGATTATTGTGGATTTTACTTCACATAATTTCGTTTTATTTTAGTGGTAATTAGAGCAGAAATAGGAAGATTTGAAGATAAAATGTGTGAAGTACATATTCAAAATTCAGTTGATGGTCTAAAGTCTTTTTTAGGCTTCCATGTTCAAATTCGCCACAGAATTCTAAAGTTGATCCAGCTAAAGTCATGTATTTATAAGTTATTGTCTAATCTTGAATTGCAAACCATTCTTAAGGCTGAACAGTCGAAAGGATGTGTCATTTTGGTCAATTCGGAAAACAGAGGTTTGATAAAATCGGAAGAAACCAACTAAATCACCTGAATTTTAGCGACACTGGATTTGGCGAATGATACACTTCAACTACTGAAAGTGCAATGGTCAACTTTTCTTGCAGGTAAGCCAATACAATGCTGGATACCGCAGGAGTTCACACGGGGCTGGGAAGAATACGCGGAGAACTACTGTTGGGTGGCAAACACTTACTTTGCAGCCCTCCAAAAGCGACTTCCCCTGATCCCGGATCGCCGTGCCAGCCACCTCGTGTACTACCAGTGGGCTCCGATCGCCCTCGCCACCCAGGCCCTCCTCTTCTACCTCCCGTGCCTGATCTGGCGCATTGGAATGCGGCACTCCGGCTTCTCCGTCCACCGAGTGCTTCAGCTAGCCGCCGAGTCAAACGAACTGGTGCCAGAAGTTGCACACAAAACCGTTCATGCAATGGCCCGATACATGGAGGCGTATATACAACGCCAGAGAGTCTACAGGTGTGTGGAGCTTCTTACTCAAATGTCCATGCAGTAATTCATTTCTATTAAATCGCATCAAGGCTTTTGTCTAATACTGAAGTGTCTGTGAATCGGGACCCCATAGTCCACCTGCGAATTGTCTTTAGAGCCTAACTTCTTTCCTGTTTCGTCTCATTAGTTTTATGCTGGTTTGTTTTTGTGGGTATTCAAGGTTGCATTTTCTTCATGATTTTTACAAGACGCATGTAAATTTTTAGGGCTTGTATAGGTGATGTGCCCCAGGTAACAACATCATTTTTAAAGAAATGCGAATAGTGAGAACAAAAGGGTGTTTTTTGCCTCCTACCACTTGAGTTGATCATTTTCCACCACTCAAAGTATGCAGTGGTAACCATCTGAAAAAATTATTGTAAAGGAAGTTTAATTTGCAGGTCAGTTTTACACTGGTTAAACCCATGGATGAGTTTATAAAAAAAGCAACATTGTAATGACAAGGAATTAGCACAGTGCACAGCACAGGTTTGGTTCAGCGTTAAGATGAGATCTTTCGTAAATGGTTATGCTCGTTGTTATTGCTTGAACTCTCTCATCTGGAATTCTACTTAACAGCAACTCCGTTCAAACGTGGCGATATGAAGAGACACTAACATTTGCAACCTTTAGAACAAAACCCGGTGTCTGTGGAAATTCACCTCAACATAGATTACCCATCAAAATTTTTGCAAGTGAATCTGCGCTAAAATAACAGACCTGGAAGGATATTACCGACTCAACATGCGCTAGCATTGGTTTCTACGACACACCTAAAGTATGAATAGTGAGGGTATTATTTTGATATGGAAGTCCCACCCACCCAATTATGGATGCGATTGCGGCCCGATTCGGGGCCAACCACGCAGATGATAACACGAATATCAAATGCGGTGATGGCTCTACCGTTTACGGGGCCTGTGGATGTGGATGTGCGTGCGCATAGCCGTGAACGTGAACAGCTGGGGCACGTGTCGCCGAAGTGAGATGGTTCAGAGCAAACACTGGGGCTCAGTGCAGATGCGGGGCTGTGTCCCGGTTGAGGATCAGAGGGGAGTGAATCAACAGGCTAGTCTGTCATGTGTGAACCGAAATGACTGTCGTGACTGGGCGAGATTCAGCACATATCCTTTGCACGGAATTTTCCACTGATTGTTATTATCAACATTCATAATAATCTCTACTTTGTCAAGGAAATTCTCTGGGTCTACCCAATGCTCCAATTTATAAACAAGCCACGACAACTTTTCTTCAGCTCGTTCCTTTCCCAAAATTAAAATTCGACGATTAAATTGTAACATCAAAACCATAGAGCTAACAGCAATCCATGACACGGCCAAATGATTGGCAGAAGGGAATCTGTCAATGATGTAGGTAAGTCGAAAAACCCCTTCAACCCAGTTTTGAGAAGGTCGGAAGTACAACGATAAACTCAATTGGTTGATCCGATATGTGACCTCCACTCACGCCCTGCTCGGAAATTCGGTAAAACAATCACGAAACAGCTGGGAAAGGCTGTCATCTCGAAACAAATTCTAGTATATTTTTTAATATTTGTAACAGGGACAAGATCTGTTGTCCGCCCGATCTCAAAACTAGTGCATTTTGGAGTCAAATTGAAAAAATCGACATTGATCCTAGTAATATTGGACCGATGGTAAAAGGCACCTTGAACCACAGCGGCGTGAAAAATTATAAGGCCGGAAACAGCTTGGGTCTGCCGCACTGGTTTCACACCTAACACCAACTCCGTAAAGTCAGTGTAATAATCGCACCAGACTTCTCTTAGTGATTTGTGGTATTTCGATCCTGCAATTTGTAGGGTACCTTGCATGAAATGGGCCTTTCTCAAATGGCGAAAATGCTAGGCATGATAAAATTTCAATTTGTCTGAATTAACTTTTCAATGCCATAGGAAAGGACGTTGCCTTATGAGAGCATATGCATAGTGAAGAGAGAACCACCCATGCAGGCCATCGACATAGGCTGGTTTCAACTCAGGGCGGGTGTCCATCCAGGCCAAAAAAACTGTCATTTTGAATTACAGCACTAATCCTTTTACCCTTCCCCCATGACCAATCATGCTCGTCTGAGTTTAAAAAACATCAATTTTAGAAAAGATTATGCTTCTTAGACTAACCCCAAGCGGAATAAAAGTGAATGAATCATCTTAAAAATTGAACCAATTTCGCCAATGTATATTCTGTGTATCTGCGTTTTACCCCTACACCACTGCAGCGAAAATGTATTTGCTTGTTTGGAAGCCTGTAGCCGTGCAGCAGCCAAACTGTTACTTTGGCTTTTAGGACTCTTAAAAGGTGCTTTAAGAAAGGCAGTTACGAAATGAGCTCAGTGCTTCACAGCGCCGCCCATCGCTTTTCCCTGGCTCAAATGGCAATCGCCAAAATTGCTTAGACGGCTAAAACTTAAAAACGTTACGGTTACCTAGCAAAATTAAAGTCTTCTTAACTACAAAACAACAGTGGGTAAGAGACAGTATGTGTAATTAGATTGCCCATCCCTCTCGCAACTGTTGAGAAACCACTGTTTTACGGGAAAAAAATTGTTGTGTGCAGCTTGAAATTTTCTCAGAGCTTAGAACCCATTTTCAAAAATCACTTTGCACATTCAATACTGTAGGAAGAAGCGTTCTGGTGAAAGAAGACGTGGGTCAACTTCCGCTAAGTTCCACCAGTCACCCCAAATCGAAATCCAGTTGCCGTCAAACGAGGCTCAATGGGAGAAGGATGCCGGCCAGCCCAACCACTCACTCCAAGGTTCCCCACCGGCCTACCAGCCCCCTCCAGCTCCCCCAGCTGGAGCTGCTGAGATGGTAACTTTGATTAAATCACGCACCTGCCAATGCAGTAGTATTGTTGATACCACCTAGGGATATACTCGAGATGCAAATTCTAATTATACTTGGCAAACATCAAGATCAATTATTTCTACATGATTATATTCCCGAGCTTTACTATTAACCCATATAAGATGCCATAACTTGGTTTCTAAGAACGATTGGAAGTCTTTAAGCATCAACCAGGTGTAAATATTTGTTTGAAAACCCATTATAAAAGTCAAGTTATATTACCGAATAATGTCCGACGTTGCGAATCATCCGCGGTTCTGTCGTTTCACTGTGATATCATTTTACTAAACCACGTGTTGCATTCAAAGCATTTCCAGACAAGAACAAATTACTTCGTCAAAGTGTTTTCACCAAAGATATGAGTAATTTTCGGGATGCTTCCAGACCTTTTTGCAATCTTGCACGTCAACACAAGTTGGTGTCAAGGATTTGGTACGATCACATCCCAAGGAAGCGTAACTTGCACGAGTTTCATTTCATCGGTAAAAATTTTTGGACAGTTTTCTTGAATCAACTGCACTTAACTGCTGCAATTAAGGTTTCTAAAGCACCTCACTACTTTAATTTTTGCTAATATTAAGCCCAAATAACTTTCGTGTTTCGTGGATATTTTTGCTTTAGTATGTCTAGCCACATGGGCCAGACCAAAAAAAAATTAGACTAAAAAAGCTCAAAATTCAATAATCATCACCCCAAAGAACATGCCTACATTGATCACCAATGCAAATTTTAAATGAAATTTCCTCGAAATGCCCAGGAGTTAAATAACGCCGGGACGCCATTAACATTCAACAGTGTGTTCAAGTAAATATCAAGATAGACACTTCAAAGTACATTCAGTTAACACGTTCAAATCTTGAAATGAGAAAAGTGAATGGAAATAGGTGACACCTTTTTTCGCAATCTGATTCCACGTTACGCAAATGTCTTTGTCTGTGCCCTTCCGATGTGGCACTCGAGGCACCTATAATTCTGCCTTTGGCTTGCTTTATTGACCCGACGCTGTAAGGTGTTCCATGGGGTTATTTTGGTCGACACAAACATTGACATCGCGAAGGCGGACTTTATGGCAAATGTTAATCACAAACACATCTGATTATGTTTCAAAGAAATTTGTAAAGACAGTTTGTGCTAAAATTTGAGCAAGTAGCTATATTTTTTCAACAGGCAGGGTGCTGGTGACACAACAGGTGACTTGGTATCATATTTTTAGCCAAATAATGTGTTTATTTAGCGGGCAAGAAATTAAAATTGAACAAATAAATATTATATTGTTCTAACTATCGTTTAGAAGTGTTTTTCCTTCTCTTGATCGTTTAAATTCCGGTCAGTAATTATGCAAATGAGTTACAGTTACCAGTTCACGTGAAACACCAGCCTCGAATGAAGACGCAGACTATATCCAATACATAATCCCCCAATTAAAAACTTGTACTAATAAGCGATCGTGTTCACCCAACTTCAGATAAAACGGTTTAACAGTCGCTTCGAATGTTTTTAACGTTTTTGCTACTTTTACGGCAGCATCATTTAAGCGCCTCTGATATTTAAAGTAAGGTATGTGTGAACGCAAAGCTCTAAATGAACGAAATCTGCAGTCAAGAAAACTTGCTACTGAGTACCTCAAAAATTTGCATCACCAATTTTGCCTTGAGGCCGTTTGTAAAATGAACACCTTCGTAGAGTATGTACACTTGTCCCTATTTCGCTACAATGTCATGCGAGCAAACTATCCGTTAAAGTAAAACAAGCCTTGTAATGAGAAGCAGCCTTTAAAAATCCTTAATTTTAACCGTAATTCAGAATTAGAAATTTGTGCATTTTAGAAGGTATGTCTTACAAGTGAAAATGTCGGTTTTCAATTACGAAAATTGTTTTAAAAACAAAAGTACTGTTGTAGCATTGGCCCGTGCTGCACCAATGAAAAACATCATAAACCACGAAAAGCGCTTCACGCACAACAGGTGGGATTGTATCGTGATATTCTGAGTGCAAACGCTAAATGATGATATAAATGAAGAACCAAAGGCATCTTTTAAACGAAGTCTTAGTAATAGTCGTTCGAGCATTCGCACAACAGGACAGTAATGTTTGAAAAGGGTTGCTGTCATTTCTTTCCCCAGTATAAACCTGTCTTTGCATTCTTTGGTTATCACGAATCCCTTACTTTAGCCTTCCATGCACAATCTCTCAAGTTTTGCAATTGACAACCAAGGTGAACCTAAGAGGATCAAAAAGCCTCCAGAAACGCCTTACATGGAGCACGCATTCACGGTCGTTGGTTTTGAACAGGTGGCCTCACCGCGAACGAACAGATCGGAATCACGACTACTTCCGCGACAAACTGGCCCGCCTGATCCTCACTGTTCTGCGACGCGTTGACACGCACACCGGTCCAGTTAAAAGGGAAAATCACAAGTATTTTAAACACCGGATTGGCAGCCTTTCATTCAGTTCACGTGCGATTTGGACTTGTATGGAAATACTGTCAAAAAATACAAAGTCAAGTTGCCTGTTGCAATATGGTTAAAATAAATTAGATGCACATGGACACGATGAAGAAAGAAATGGGGAAAATTTAAAAATCGCGTTATCTGGGGAAATGTACTTGTTAGTAGAACCTTAAGGGTTCAAGTAACTGTCTTCCTTGCACAACTATTAAGTCGTTTTCGGTCACCCCAGATTGATTTCTTTTTCAAATGTTTTCCGCTTTTTACAAATTTTATATTCCACAGCGTATTTTGTTGACCCCTGACGCAACTTTGAATGCTTGCTACATTTATTTTAGAATTCAATTATTGCAAAATCTATTTATCCTCCATCCAGTGCGAAGCACCACAAAAAATTTGATATAATGCTTACTAATTTAAGTGGCATGGACTAATTTTTCTACTGCCTTATGCCAAATTCCCAAATATTGAAAAAAAAGTGAATTTTAGCTGCTGCCAGGATGGCCACAACCACCCAACCTCGATTAACACGCAAAATATCGTGTTCCTTCACTAACAGTACACTGAATGCTTTAAAATGGCACTTACATCTTGACAAGCTCATCTGTGTTTTAGACCATAAATAAGAAATATTAGTAATTTTGCGCACATTTTTGAGATAAGGAGTAGGATGTTTCACAGATTCAAATTGTTTTCAGGTCATTCACGCACTTACCTCGCTTGCAGCATGCAAATACTTGTACAATGCAGTGCCTCTCAAGAGGTCCGTATCACCGCTTAATTCTAATTTCCCTAATCACTTGATTAGTTCTGCGCTGTTTGCAACGCAAATTGGTGATTTCCTACAATGTTACGCGGATTTGCCAGTCCGTGTGCTGTTTCACACCAATGGAAACAGCAACGCCACAACACCACGAACTCCAACGCAAAGTCGCACTTGCTAGTGAATCGACCATCTACCCCTGCCACGAAATACTACCGCGTGCACTTATAAGTCCTACTAAGGTAGCCATCCCCGTGACGCAAAGCGGCGATTTCTTTGCGTTAACCCGACCTTGAGTGGGCTCTCAGAGGTCGACCGGTCAGCTTGGTGACAGTTTTGTGCACTTAATGAAAGTGAGCATGGGATCTGCAATGCCGTTTATTGCATTAAATTGACGAATCGGATTCAATGCAATGACAACCAATAAATTTGGTAAAACCGCAACCCACGAGTTTCGGCTTGTGTTGCATGTTCTGCTGACGCTTCCTACATTCCACGCGTTCCAGCCAAAATTACACACCCATCGTGCTTCATTCTCACTTGATGTCGCATGACGCCCAACACTACATTTCAGTGGTGTTGGTTTCACCAATGGAACGTTTTGTTGGAATGCCTAATATCACGAGTTACCCAACAAAGATGAAGTCAGTGGAAGGACAGAGAGTCAACCGTTTATTCGAGGACTTGACGAAGACGTGGTTGTTTGTGTGGGGTTTGTGCATGTGTATTTATTCTCGCATGTGTGAGTCACACATGTGCTAGCATTGAGACCTAGGTGTGAGGTTAATCCAAGATACACATACGTGTGAATGAAGGGGGAGTGAAGGATTTGAGCGGCTGGCGCCATGCTGCGAATAAAAGGGGAGCCCTGTGTCAAAGGCGAAGCGATCCGATTAAGAGGTTGAATAAACACGATCCACAACAGTTTCAGGGAAGGTACGATCACCCACAGGGACTCACCTCTGGTGACCTGTCTGAACTAGTTTACTCAAAAAGGGTCTCCTACTTGGAAAGTCTTCGACAACCGGTCATTGGTCCACACGAGCCTCCTACAAACGCACACACACACTCCACACACATTAGCTCATGTGAACACGATAATGTGCTGTTGCGCCCCACCACTTTCCCAAAGTCGAATGTATGAATGATAGCAGAGTAACAATTATTGGTAGTTCTGAAACTGGTCCCATTCCTGTTTACCACCTTGCGATCATTCCTCAGATTAGTAGAGGTACTGTTATGAACGATCGTGAGTTATGCAGCGCAAAAGACGTGTTTGAGAGGGATTGCCTTGTGTCTGTAATAAGAGGTGATCACTACCTTCATCACCATCACACGAGGCATGTGGTTTGCTATGGGCCTTAGTTTTGAAGTTGTTTTAAGCAGCTCATGTCTTAGAAACGTCTGTGCAACGATTCCTTTGCCATGGTGATGTCGGTGGAGTTAACGCCAGGAGTCGCAATAACATCCAGGTTGAATGGGCACAATGACGTATTTTCCTGATCATTGCATTAATCATGGGAGTATACAAAGAGACATCACTTGAAAATACAGGCGAAAGCACAACTCCGTGAAAAGTATGCAGACACAGAAGAAGGCTGAAGGTGGACCCGCTTTTATAAGCACCTAGTCTCTCTATTGACCAGTTTGTGATTGAACACTTTTGTTTCCACGAGAGATCACGGTACCCAAGGATGGTGTGTAGCTGTGAAGGCAAAAACCACCACGCCTTTAAACCTTACTTCGAGTTGATCGATTTTTAATAATTTTAATGGAAGTTATTAACTTTATAACTTTTTGCATAAAATGATAGTGAGGCATTTACTAAACGCGATTTGAAAGTCACGGCATAACGCTCAGGAAGGAATGAAAACTATGTGCATGGTGTGTGTAGGATAAAAATGCATCTCTACATTTAATTGCCCCTCAGGACAACAACATGAATTTTAGCTCGCTGAGCTATCACCAATATCAGACTATAAACGTTATAATGACTTTAAGAATAATGTGGAATAGTACTATATCCCACAGGACTTCATTTATTTATGAACTTAGGGCCAAAATACATCAGCCTCAATGCTGCAGCGGTGGAGGAAACCTCCCCCTCCTCCGCCTCCCCCTCCTCACTTCCCCCTCCCTCCATCGACCTCAGCAGGGGAACAACCGCACTCAAACAACGCAGTTCGTTTTTCCACAGATGCAGGGCATATTGAATCCGAAGTCAGTGAAAGTCTCATTAAGCCATCGTCTGCTTCACCTGCCTTACGAGCGAAACCCAGTTGTTGTGAGTCAAGCCATTCTTGACTGCTTTTTGTCTTCAGCTAAGATCATGCACTACTGGCCTTTCGCTGAATACAAACATGTCTTTATTTGAGAAGGGAGGCTACTGAGCGAACTCAGACGATCTAATATAAGTGAAAACAGTCTCTTTTAATTTTTGAGCCATGTTGATCTATTCACATAAATCATGGCTAAAATATGAACCCGAAGGAGTGATATTGAGTCAGTAGACTGAAATACAATGTTTATCACAGAATTTAATGAAGTGATTTCTATAATTTTGATAAGACTAGTTCATTTAAAAATGTCTGATGTTGCTTAACCTCCTCATCATTGTGGCATAACCGCGTAATTTGGTCTATGAAAGGTTGAAACTTTGGCAAAATCTTATGAGGAATTTGGGCAATTCACTACAAATAAAAGTGATGATTTGTCTTTAAAAATGAGTCTGACTTCCGCCTCAGTTGAAAACCTTACAAAAGATTCTAACGTTGAAAGTAATGCCTCACACCGCAAAAAGCCGTTATTTAGTAGTAGATAAGGTGGAGGACATTTTGGTGCAATAAAATGTTCTCTGGCATTCATGATTTATTGGTCGAGCGCTTGTGCTTTGCACATGCTAAAACACAAATAAAACTACTGACTTTCTCACTATGCAAATTTGCGTCAGGGTTTTAGCTGACGAAAAACAGCATTTAGCTCGTCTTGTGGTTGCGGATTTGCTTCAGAATAGTTTAAACACACAGTACGGTTAATGCTGAAGTAAACGAGCAATCAGTTAAAAACCAATAAGAACCGAATACAGGTGCCTAAGTCATATTTTCTTTATTTGCTAAGTTGTAACAAAGTGAGGCCAATATGAGTTTTTAGATCCCCTTATAATCACAAAGAGGTGGTTTTTTAACTAGAGACATTATTTAGAAATCCTCGCTGTTGTGGTGGCTGTTGGGTGGCTGTGACATGAGTACAAGTCTGTTACGTTTGCCCGTGACAAAGAGGAAACCACTCAAATAACGGTACCAGATCCCTTGTTGAAGCTAGGACCGACCTTCCCAGGCTAATACAAGAAAAAGACCAGAGCTCGTGTAGAGAGCTTTATTCACGTCAGCCACGTGCGGAGTGCCGTATCGAAAACGAAACTTCTTCAACTCAGGGTTGACCTTGACTTGATAAAAAGCGTAGCAAAACAAATGTTAGTGATTTAATGTAAATAGAATCAAAAACCAATCTTGCGGAATCGTGGATCCCCAACAAAGTCCCATCTTCATCGTTCCGGCTTTTTGTGAAGCTGCTCAACCTTCCTGAAACTCGCCTAATCTATCATCAATACAACACACGATGTTCACTGGATAGAAGTAGGAGTGACAGTTGTTTGGCCTTAAAATGCACAGCAGAATAATGCCGTTAGGCCTGGTAGTAGAAGGAAAGCTAAAATTGACCCACAAGCTACGAACTGCGGAGCACTGTGGAGCACTATTCCACAGAGTAGAGTTATTGTGCGTACGAATTGCTAGTTTATGTCTGCCGCTAAGCTTATGCTAGGATTTTTACCCTTTAAATTGTTTTTGCAAATCGTCCCTCTTTCCTATGAACCGCGTAAATTGTCGCAAAAAAATAATCATCGCACATTACCAGTCCTATTTTGATGTTTTGTAAGCTTTTCCGCTTGTTTTTGAAATGTTGTTTGTCAAATAGAATAGTACTTTAAGGTATTGCAAAAACAGTTTGGCACTACTCATTTTTAAATGTTTGCCAAAGAAGAAAAGGACAAGACCGGTTAATCATTAAAATATCACTTATTTTCCATTCTTGGTTGAGTAGGCTACTTAGAGTCAAGTAAAAATTTGTTCAATTTTTTTTGCTTATACAGAGCGTGTTTTCAATAAAAATTTACAAATAGTAAATAAACTATTTTACTTAAAATTTACACGAATCCCTTGAACACACTATAAATAACCACACTTCCCGTTGCTTCATTGTCATGCCAAAAGGGCCATTTAAATCAACTCCTACTTCAATGCCAATTTCGTGTTTTTTTACTTACTTGATAAAGGCATCAAGTCCTTCTTAGAATGGAAATTGTTTTATGGTAATGTCATCTTATTCGTCTATTTTAAGTTTATTAAACTGCACGAGTTGCTATCCTGGTAGTAAGCATTACCTTTTGGTGCAAAATAGATAATGGAATGCTACACTCAAAGCTACAGAAACCATTTGTAATTCTCGGGACACTTTTAGAAAAGTTAAAAAGGCATTCTGGAATGATCCAGGATTAGGAGGATTGAGGAAATGAGGCCCTTTGCGTTCTTATCATCTCCGTCTATCTCTTTCGCGCTTTAAAGTGCTCCAATCGTGCAATCCAACAGCCGCACAATTCCAACGTGACGAGGCTAATCCGTCCAAATCTGTGTAGAATGAGAAAACAACCAATTTAGACCAGATGAAATGAAAAGCTTAACCAGTATTCTCTGCTAACTGCATTGTAGGCATCTTGGCTTTAACAACACGTAGCAAGTGTACCTTTTAAGGCAGTTATCATTAGTTTAATAGGAAACATCTGTCACACCCATTGCTTATTTTTACCATAGGTCAATCCACCAAATAAATGTAGATTACAATAATCGAAAATATCAGAATTGGCTCCACGAACACCTCTATTAGCTGGAGAGAGGAATGTCTGGAAAAGCATAAACAAGAGTACCACTCAACTCTCTTCAAAACTGGCCTTCATCTAATCTAATTTTCCCCCGAAGTGCCCTTAAATGTTTACTCAGTGGGACTGACTTAAGAAGCCTTTATAATCACTCAAAAGGCGAATTGTACGGAGCATATTTATATAAGCATGACAATATCATTTTATGTTGAAGTTACATGACTTAATGAAAAACAAAAAAACTCTAATTGACAGGAAAAATTCAACCAGCGATATCTGAACGTCGGGCCTTTGTGCCCAGCTGAAGTGAAGGATAATTTGATCAACAAAAGGTCATGTGTCAACAAAGTAAGCAGACGGTAGATCTGGCAGAATCCGCCAAAACCTTCACGAGGACTTTCCATGGGAAACTCATAGTTGCAGGGCGTTAAAACGCATTACAAAGCATCTAGTACAACCCTTGAAATAATAATTGGCGTAAATGATAAACATTTGATCCTTTTCTTCTTCCTAAAGTACTTTTGAAGAACACTTTTATGGTATCCAGACACACGATAACTTCAAATAGACATGTGTAATGTAGACTGGAACATCTCCATTCAGTTGCATCATAAGTTGCCTTCTACATAGCAGGACACTAGGAACCTACGTTGTGCCATTGCTTGGGTCTCTCGGCATCAACCACATTTTGCCCCTACGATTTTTTTTCACACAAACCGGAACAAATTTAGATTTTGATAGCGAAATGTACCAATGTGGTGTAGATGACTGGTAAAATGTGTTTAGTGGACAATGCAACTTCGCATTAGTTTTGTTTTGATACGACCGTTTCCTTAGTTTGTTCATGGAAAAAGAAAGTTGCTAAAGAAATATCCCCAGCAGTTTTTTTTTCTGCAAGACCATCGGGGTTGAAGCTTTTCGGCGAAGAATGGTGTTCTGGTCAAGAGAATTAAAAAATCCCACCACTAAAAGTTGGTTGACTCATTTCGACTGAAAATGTGCGCAATTATTGGGACATTCTGATATTATGCTGCAACCTTGATCAACACGGCCATATTTAAAATCTTCGACCTCCTATGCACAACTAAATTGCGTCATATTTGCGTTATTTGCTTGTCAAGCAATTTCTTCGAAGCACCGGAATGCATCTGCGTAAATACACAGTTTAACATATGATCGTCAATAGTATTTAAGGGATGTAGTACCATACAGACCCTTTTCTATCTTCACTCTACGTAAAATGCCAACCCTAACCGAAAAATGTGTAAACCTGAATCGTGAGATAACTCTTTGTTTTGTTTTGTGATCAATAATGATAGGGATGCTTAATCAGCATGCACCGGTCTTTATGCCTCCCCAGTGTCCTCCAAATCGGTGGGATATTTGAGTTTGGGAGCAACGCTTTTTCAGTCTGCTTCTATTAGTGAAGTCCCAAAGCTTCCTTTTTCTGGCAATTTCTGTCTGAATGCTTGTTTGGGTGCGTTAAAACACACGGCCTGAAAGGTATAACTAACAATGTTCGCAAAATGAAGTCTGAGAATTCACAACGTCTGATTTCGAAATTTTCTACCGGAATCATTTTGTCCCAAACATACCATGTAATAATTTATTCTTTTGCGATGCATAACAAAATAATTACCTTCTGGGAGCTGCCAAGCACATTAGTTTCATTCTACGATGTTGTGTTTACAATATTGTCAATGAAATATGAGTTGCCCTACGAAATGCCACCAGCAACAAGACAGAGATTATAAGCAAAAACGCTCATGCTCTCTTGTAAATCTGTCTCCTCAACAACCTTTTAACCGCTTCAGTATGATTTGACATCGAAATTTTCAGAGCGGAACTGCTGTGCATAAGCCGAACAAAGCATGTATTGATTTAATGGCAAATAGAAATTGTTTGAACATTAACAGAAAACGGAATACTTCTTTAAAAAACATCGATTTTAAGATATTTGGATAAGTGCAATGCGTGCCTTATCATCTTGTGGTGAAATAGCTACATGATGCCTTACATAAATCCTTCAAAGCACATGTCCTTTTTCAAAAAAAGTATTTTTAAATTTAACAAGAGAGAAGGGTTTTTTCTTGGATTTTTCAATTACCAACTGGACAACATTTCTTGAGGTGGGCTTGTACTTAGGCTAAAACCGAGGCCGAATCTGTATTTAACCAGCTGCAGTGGATATTACTCATGGAGATAACAGAAACCTTGTTTGTTTGATCAAAACAACACAACCACCGCACCGAACTATGTTAAAGACTGGAAGAATGATTCATCTAACGTAATATAGAAGCCACTAGTGATGAAGGGGTAAATTAAGTTACCACAGAACGATCAAATGTAGAATTACTGTTGTGTACAGTCAATTTTTTTGTATCCAAATTTGCTACAATTGTCAATCAAAGATATATTTTAAATGATGCAATACTTCCAATCTGGCTAATGGTAAGTGGCCAGGAGCCCGTTCCGGAGCCATCGAAAATTTGAGCGTTTCTAGTTTCATCATGCGAATTCATATAAAAATACGCAGTCAGCTTCGAATTATGGCCTGTGAATGCGTTTGGTATCATTCCACATGGAATTTTTTACAGCCGTTTTGGCGTGGGAAAAATGAAAATCGAAATCGTGGTTGAAATTGCATCAACCAATGCCAATCGCCACGCCACATTGAACCAGTTACGCGACATGCAAAGAATTTTTACCTGGCAGTATTTCAAACAGAGGCACGAATTAATTGAGTTAGAAACAGGGTCAGTTATTCAATTTTAGATCTACTCGAGCCAATCCCTACCAATAGTCGAAATTCTATCCATCAAAAAATAAAGATTCTGAATTTACATTCCGCTGTCTTGTGGAGCCTCACACGATCTACTCTAACTGTCTTGTGTTCAAATACAGCCTTAATCTGGAGTCGGTAACATTCGTTTTTACAAGTAGCACTAAGCGCCTTGCTAATTTCCCAATAACTTATGTCTACCAATACACTGTGTTTAACAGTTGAAGGAAACTAAGATTTACTCAAATCCATCATTCCCGTATAGGAGACAATTAATTCCGTTAGTAATTCCCTTGCAGTTTACACGGAAGTGTTTCACAAAGTGGACGTTTTTGCACTTTACCTGGTCCCACCTTGTCAGAAGCCAAAGAGTGTTTCTGCTCCATAGGAAGCAAGGTAATTTCACAACCGCTTCTGAGCCTAATGCCGATCGAGACTATAAAATTTCGGTTCTTCTGTGCCTTTATAAAGGCATCCCTTAAATGAGCCTGGTGGGCTTTTTCTTTTTCGTAGATCGATTTTCAATGAAACCCTCGAAGGACAACGCATACCCTTGGTCGATCTGTCGATCTCTGACGTGGTATTGTAGAAATCGGAGGATAAACACCTCCTTGAGTTTGTTCCAATTCAGTCGAGAAAGCGGAACCTACCTCACCTTCCTTTACTTCTTTGTAAAGTTCCTTTACGTCGTGAATGCCGTCGGGCAGATATACCTGATGGAGTGTTTCGTGGGGTCAAAGGTCACGTTCTACGGCGCCGCGGTTCTGGCTGACCTCATAGCGGGGCGGGACTGGCAACAGTCTGGTCACTTCCCTCGAGTCACATTTTGCGACATGGAAGCAAAAAAATTGGGGAAAAACCATGTGTAAGCATTTCCGATTTTCCTTGACCTCTGAAACGCCTCAAATTAAATTATCCCAAAAATGAACCGCTTACGATTGGATCACAGTCTTGGTATTTTTGAAAAAAAAAAACTTGTCAAAATGATCGAAACTAAGAAGTTTTACATCGACGAGGCTTTTAAATCCTAAAGGTCCGAATTCCGACTGAAACGTTTTTAGATGAAGGTGATCGTTACGTAAATGTATCTTCAGATTAGGCTAACAAGTTGGCCCGAGAAAACCGAACGCGATTTATAACATTACTCTGTACAGGAAATTAAACGACCATGATATTGCCCCTTTGACGCGTCCATATACTACTCCAAATATGCTGATCTAAATATCCAGGACAACTATTGCATGATCCTTTTCTCAATGAATATGGTCGGCATGGGCTATTTCTCTTAACAAAAGAGGCAGAAGTGGGTTGATTTTAGTTGAGAGATGGGTGAGACGATTAGATGTTCTCCCAGCATTTGAGCTGCGTCATGCGATGAAAATGTCAGGCCCAAATGCGAGCCTACTTGACCGTGTCATTGTGACCGACTGGTTAAAATCGGGAGTGAAGCAATATTACTTGGTGCTGACTAAGCCGAAAATAACTCCGGGTCTAGAGATGCAAGCTCTGAGCGATCGAAAGATCTGACCACCTCATCCCCATTGTGCACCCCTAAATAGATCTGAATTCTTGTTTGGACACATTGAATTGAAGTTGTCGATGTGCTGCAAAGGTGCAAAAGGTAAACGGGATTTCCGGATCCATTTGAACTAGAATCAGTTTGTGCAATTTGACTGCATGCATTTTAAACCTATACAGTCAAATTACACTGTTTCATAAGTGTCACGTTTCAAGTTATCTTATTCAAGGTTAACACAATAGCATTTCGAAGTATTCCATAAATTGTTGGTGTTTAAAGACGTTATCCATTTATTCTGCGTGTATAAGAAGTTACGGTATAATTTTTCTTAAGTTACTATACAACATGGATATTAATACTGAAAAAAGCGCTAGTTTTAATGGAACATTGAGGTGTCCCTAACGACCAGTAACCTCTATCAAATTCAACTCGAATGTAGCTACCAATTTTAGCAAACATTTGCACGCCACAGACGCTTTAAAGAAATTGAGCAAGTTTATTTCAACAGGATTTAATTTGCAGAGGTGCATACTATTCGACGAGAAGAACTCATTCCAAGTGTGTCGAAAGGCGGGATCTCGTGACGGGATTCAGCACGCAGATGGCGTGTTGAAGGGAACCGTAGACGGAAAAGCCCATGGAAGCAGTACTCTATTTCACTACACCATAACCTCTTAAAAAGGAAACGCACGACACCAATTACAACTGTCTATCCTACAAGGTCAGAGTCACTGCCGGCAAATTTCATATTGTTAAATGCGTGTTCTCCTACGAGTGAAATACCCTGGGCTACTGTTTAAAAAACTTCATTAGGATAAAATACGGCATGTAATTCGGTCGCTTTTCCCTGGCTACTGGCTGACAACTTGTCGTGATCAAATGACCAACAAGTTATTCAGATTCTTAAAACAAAAGGTTTAAAATCCCAAGCAAATAACTACGACTGCCGCCTTTTCCATTTCAGGTATACCATTCAGTGCGTTCTTCCAATCAACATGTTTCTTGAGAAGATCTACATTTTCCTCTGGTTCTGGCATATAATGCTCACGATCGTGACTCTCACTTCCCTGATTGGTTGGATCAAGTGTCTCTTCTGGAGACGGGGGCGACTCAAGTTCGTCCGACGTTACCTCAAGGCTGTGGGTTTTTTACCGCGCATGCTTGACCCACGCGACCGGCAACGAACCCGTCAGTTCGTTGAGGAATACCTTACTGCAGACGCTTTTTTTCTTATTCGCCTAATTGGGACTAACAATGGCGACCTATTGGCCAGTGAACTTACTAGTGAACTTTGGTCGTGTTTTCTCTACCGCGCCGCAGGCCCTAAGTCACCGGCATTACCGCCTCAAGTAGCACGCCTTTGCCCCAAACACGCAGTCTGCACCTGCCAGATTTGTGTTGGTGGCCGAGTAAATATCGCCTCGGTGACAGCGGCTGTCAGTGGTGTCCCTAAGCCAGAGGCAAGCATATTTGAGATGAAAAACTACCCAGAAAAAAGCCCCGCTAGCCAACAGCCAGGTTGCGGGTGTGAAGGGAACCGCAGTGGAGAGGCAAAAGAAATGCCAAGTAGGAATAAAAGCTCAGCTGGTGGTGATAGCAACACCCCTGAGGACATTGTATAGGGTTATTGGTGGTGTGCTCAAGCCAAACCACCTCACCAAATGCCTCAAATGGATAAAAATGTAGAGGCCTTAGATACTCCACCAATTACCACCAGGCATTTGTATTTGTACGATTTCGCATCTGGGCTGACTTACCTGTTAAGTTTATGATTCACACTTTCTGTACCTGTGTGTGTGTGTCGTGTTCCCCATACAAAAACCTTTTGCTTCCCTATTAGAAAATCCTGACTTCATTTCACACGAATTCACTTCGAAAAGTTAGGAGTCGATTCTGCTGTGAATAAAGCGAACATTTTTTGCATTTTATGTGTTTTGTAAAACGCCTTTGGGAGTAGCATGAATACACAACCACTTAAGTTGACTCCTGTGTGATGAGCTGATTCGTCAGCAGTCGTCCATGAGGATCTGAGTTATATACTCACCTCATGGCTCTCCACTAACTCCGCATAGAATACTACTTTTATCGTGGATTTTGGTGTGAATCTGTATGGCTGCCTACGATTGTAGGGAAAATATCAGAAAATTGAGTTTTATAACGAAATGCAAATAAAGCAATGTCAATTTAGATTAACTAGACGCTATGGTGGACAAGTGACTAATGTGCAGAAAGACAACCAGAATGTGCATACGATCATAATTTTAATTTTCCAAGCTCTAATCAACACCCCCAAGCTTACGTGCTCAATCGAAGACCTTCATATAAGCTTCACGTGAAGTCTCCTTTTTGCTATTTATTTCGCTAGCGATCACAAAATCGTATTTAATAATTTACCAGAAAAATTATTTAACGGCTAATTTAAACTTTTCGCTCTTACTTTGGCGAGGCAAAGCAAATTCGAACAATTAGTGGCTTACTTCCAGCTTATAAACAACAGGAAAACCGTGCAGTCCTTGATCAGTACACGTAATTGAATGAGGCAAAGGTTGGATACATTTTCAAAAACGAGTTTTTTTTTCTATTCAAAAAGGGTAGCTGGTCCTATTAGTTAGTCCTGCAATGTAAAAACTGCTGGCCCGCACATGTGCGATCGGTGTACAAAGTGGTCATTTTTCCTCTTGATTTAATTAAGCCCAAAATTGATGAAGGAAATTAACTGAACTGCCTAAGGCAAAAGTAAATTTCACTCTGATGCCAGGTGTTCTGACCGCCATAACCAAGAAACGTGCATTCACCATTCTGAGGTACTGAGCTCATACCTCTCTCACTCTGTGCCGAACTGAACAAAGCACATTCCAAAGTCTCGTCACTTAATGCCAAATTCATTAGTCAAGCTGTCTAGATTTAAAACTGGGACGACTGCAAGAAGACAGTGTTGGTTGAAGGAGGCAAGATACATTTTTGTTTGTTTGGCAGGGGATTTTGTGTTGCACTGGTTGATAAAAATGTTGACAGAGCGACAGGGCCAGGTGCTCTGACTTGCGGCGTCTAATAGGCCAGGAAAGCGATGGTTAGTGACAGGCCGTTTGTTGTGAATCGAGTTTATTCACACCCTTTAATGCGGTCGCTCCACCTCTTACACAGAGTTCCCATTGTCGCAGCATGTCGCCAGCCGCGCGAATATTTATCTTGGAGTGTCCCCACACATAGGTCTCGATGTTAGCGCATGTATGACTCACACACCCGAGGTATAAATACGCACGCGCAAACCCCACACTCGACACAGCGACACCAACGTGGTTGAGCTCTAAAGTAAACGCTTGTTTTCGTCTTCTCCGGCTTTTCCTTTCATCGCGGGTATCAGGCAAGCGTATTCGGCCAGGGTTAATTCCGTGGCCCCGGCGTGGTTCAAGACCACATGCTGGGGTCCACAACATGCTATTTCTTCAACACAATACACAAAAATGCGGTATGAGAGCACAGGAGGGTCAATGGGGCGCATAAATAAACGCAATCAATCTACAACTAGGCTGTAGAATAAATCACAGCCCTCACCGCGAATTGTTTAACATCGCTTTTTTGTTAATCATGTCATATTCATGCACAGGATACACAGCGGTCAATTTAAAAAAAAATAACACTTGCTATTGCACTCTATTATTTGTTTCGAAATTGTGGAGGAAATGAGATTACTTGTCGAAGCACCGGCTATAAAGTAAACGAAACGCTAGACATTGGTTTGCCAGGTCTGAGCTCATAAAATCTGACCAGAATAAGTACCCGACTTCTGCGGGGTGAAGCCAGTTGCACCATCCTTGGCCCTCTTCCTGCCTTAGGCCCGCTTTGGCAATATTTAACGACAACAAGTAGTACCAGAAGAAAATCAACGTGTCAAGCAACATTGCCTCCTAATGGTTGCAAGTACACTGTTAATTAATTAATAGTGTGAGTATACCATTGTGATAGTCAGCCTCTTTTGCCCCTTACACTGGCTTGGGTTTAATACCAAGGCGTCCGAGCAGCCAGTCGCACACTTTTCCACATGCTGCTGCCCTGCACTCCCTCACTGACGCTCACCAGTGGACTTGACAAGCCGGTTCCTGCCTTCCAGCGAGCTTGCAGGCCGCCACTTGAGAAGCTCCAACGGCCTGCCAGCGGTGCTCCACGTCGGGGATTTTGAATGCGCATGTATTGACGTTTACCACTTTTTTTTAAACACGTACCTGCATCCGCGGCATTTACACATATTTGACCTCGCCAATAGAACTCATGTTGCGGTCAACCAAGTGCCATTTAGAAGGCCTACCCTAAGTGAGCACTCTGGCATTGCTTTCAAATCAACAGGTGTTTGTGGAAGATTTGAATTGGCTGTCTAGTGAAATGGGCAATAAGCACTGACACATCCTCTCGCGGCAGAAACTCCCCACTTACTGAAATTCAGCCGACGTGCCCTGAATCTGATTACTCTATAAGTAAGACACGAGGAGCATGCCACTATCAAACTCGCAAATTTTGGCAAAGCTTCAGTGCACTGCCACAAATTCACGCAGAAACTTCAGTTAAATTTCCGACACATTAATATTCAGTACAGGTTTAATAAAAAAGTTACTTATTAAGCCTGGAGAAATCCTACAGGAAGCATCGGACCACGGTTATCTGTACTAGATGCTTGCTCAGGTTCTAGAGTTAAAAAACATTCACTAAAAGAACAATTTACAAAACGAAAATAATCCTTTTGACTCAGAGGATAATGGTTACCTAGAGAACAACTTAAATTGGCACAGCTATTGCGTCTCAAGTTACCGGGCCTGCAATCTCGAATGCAGGACAAGTACTTGAAATAGAACATTGAAATTGAGGTGCTACTCAATCACATTTAAGCAGCATTCATTTATCCACGCTCATAAAGCGGTCAGGGCAGGATGAATGGCACTAGGGACTACCGGAACAATCTTTTGGGGCTTTAACGAAATCGATTAGCTATCGTATATTCGAATTACGATCTGAACGCACAATTTCCTTTAACAGAAAAGTTTACCGTGGATGACTGTTGCCAGATTCGCTTCCAAAAGGACTACTTCGCGATGTAAAATCTCAGGCATAGTGGACTAGGGAGTTGTCTACTTTGAAAAAACCCTATTTTGAACAGATAGTAATAAATTTATGCACATTTGCCCTAGTTAGAGTTAGAGAAAGGGATAAAGCAACAAACATCGTGCTGGTATATCTCGCAGCTCATCTACGTCCCACGTTTTAGAAGGCAGTACTAACAGATTCTTTGAAAAGGATAGCTTGTGAAAGTCGGTAAATTGTCACCAAGGATTGCAATGAGAGACAGCAAAGCGAACCGGAATTGTTGCCACCGGGAATACTCAGTAGAGGCTGCAGGCGCACATCTTTATTCGCATCAGTGGGCCGTGACTGGGAAGCCGACGTATGGCTGGGTTGATATAACTCTAGAAACAGCTGCGGCAGCACGGAGGTATTTGTGACACGGTCTACAAGGTGAATAGTTCGAATTCGGTGGGTTGGGATGAGAGGGCTGCGCTTCCAACGGCCCGACAGGAAGCGGCACGATGACTGGACTCCCAAGGGACGGCTTATCAGTACAGAGACTAAAAGGAATGAAAACAAAACATCCCTGAAAGCATTGAGGAAAACTTCAGCTGTTAATTAACACTGTTTAAAGTACAAGAGTTGAGCAAAGATAACCTCATTATTGCTTCATTTCTGATAACCGTGGTGCACTTTGTGGAATAGGGAATGGGTGAGTGGTGCTCATTCTTTGCTTAAATCGAGGTTAAAAAGAAATTGAAACTGACCTTCACATACGGTAAAGTGCAACCAGGTGTAGACAAGAGCCATTGGAAGAATAATGTGACAATAGATCACGAGGTGCTAGAACAATAAGAGGGAAAGATGCTACCACTGAGCCCAAAGAGAAAGAGCCTGCGAAAATCCGCTATCGCACAATAAAATAGCACATCGATCCATGGAAGAGGAATAATGGCGCATTCGTTGTCACCCTGCACAGATACGTCTCCAAGGGATATTTTTAGCATATCGTCAGGTTCTTCAGACAAATTTAAGCTAATGTATTTTTATTTGGCTAAATTTGCACTGGTTCTGTGATGAAACAACTTCCTAAATATTGGCTCAGTCTTAATTTTAAGTAACGTAAAGCAACTTATGCATAACCTATAAAAATAATTAAAAGACAAGGAAGCAAAATAGATTTCGGCATATTATAAAACTTCTAGCAAATAATGCTTAATAACCATCAGTCAAGTTCACATATAATTTTATTTAATATTCACACCAGTAACGATTGCAAAGTTTGGTGGAGGTGAGAACGGATATCAGAGACCCTCCAAATTTAACTAAGATGACGTGTAAATGGGAAGCAGGCTCTGAGGATTAAAAATCACGGGTTATGATACTTACCTAGTCATATTAAAGCCCATAAACATAGGAACAGACACCAATTCTGCTCTTGGAGACAAAATACTGTCTTTCTTCGGAATATAAAGATAATTTAAGTTAGTAAACAAATTATGCCTCGCTTGTTACAGAAATAAAACCATGTCAAAACAAGCATACGTAAATTGATAGAACTTGCCTGCATCCATAAGTAGAATAGAAAACTTCCAAAAGCCTGACCGACAGAGAGGAGGATCAATAGTGACAAAAATGGAGGTCTGCGTTTGATTTTGAATTCCATCCAGGCAGGCAAGGTCTCACCAGACATGACGGTAGTTTGCGAAGAGTTGAAAACGAATTTCTCTTGCAAGTAAGGTGCATGGACGAATAAGTCACATCCGCATTCATTCGTCATGCAAATACCCCATGACCTTAAAGTACATTGAATAAAGGAAATAAGTATGGAAATGTGGTAGGACAGATCAGCAGCAAGATTATAAAGGAAAATATTCAAAAAATGCCCAAATTCTTTACATACGTACAGTAAAACTACTTGAATGGATAATTTAGTAAAGGAAACATAAATTTTCCACGTGAAGATATTCGCCTACGTCACATTTAAAGCGATTTCCTCAACAACATATTACATAGTTGACTCAACTTAGGAAGTTCGACGACCGAAAACTCATTAACATAGCACGAAGACTAATTGATAAATAATTCGGTGCCAAAAAATTGTTCAACGGCATCAGCCCAACATATTGACCATCTAACGCCTAAAGCGAGTCAAACGAATGGACTTTGGCACTCAAAAATAGTATTGACCACAGCATTAATAAACTAACGATTTAAAGCTCATTCCAGATGTCTACGAATGATAACGGCACAAAAGTCCCAGAAGCAATGTGATTAATTGGACGAAAAATCACGCCCAAACAATTTTGACAGCGCGCCCTGTAGCACTTAACTAAATCAGGGGAGGTAGCTACAAATATTAAAATAATTTATCAAGATATGGCTAAAAATGAACGCCTGAAAAGCATAATTCTCGAAGATGGTATTTTGTGTTGATTAATTAAGTGCATTAGCTATCCTGAAGCAAGTTACTTAGGGATTGTAAATTAAATCCTAATTATATTTATTAATACAAAGTGAAGCATAAAACATAATGAATAATAGAATTGTGCACCAATTTCGCTTTTTAAATGTTTAAGTCATGGAAAACGGAAATTATGTTCTAGTTTCAGTTCACAATCATCTTTTGTGCTTCGTTTCATTACAGAATTCGATGTCATGAAAAACGATAGAATGTTTTGCTATGCAGACCCCAGGAAGTCAATTTTTTAAATCAAAAATTGGTCACTCTAAATATAAATACTGTCACGCACCGTCCACGCCATCGAACACTATTCACGCCAGGTAACTAGTTCTTATCATTACTCTTTTAGGCCTGCCCAAGAGTTAGTATACGGATCTTAGCTTGCCTCTCGCATTCTGTAGTCAAGTTAGCCCTCTTTTTCCTTTGTTCGTCTTGTAATCATTCTCAGAATAAATTCTTTAAGAAATTTAATCGTCCCATGCTACACTCCGTGTGTTTGCTTGGACCATTCCTATCGTGCCGACTCATAGGTAGTCCATTTTTTCGCCTTGGTCGGATTCCCGCTCAGGCGTTGCAATACAAACCCCTATTTGTGAGCTTTGACTGCATGATCCTTAATTTTTGCGCAATTGGAAACTTTAAAACTGTGGACCCGACTCACCTTATAAAAATTATAGCATAGAAATTTCATTATCCACATTACCAACACTAATATCCTGACCCTTGTCACGTAACTGACCATGGAAATACAATGTATACGCTCAAACAAATTAAAAATATATTACCAGGGTGATTTTAGAGAATGTGCATGTGTTCCTTTGTATCAAACTAGACAAAAAATTGCCCTAGTTACAACACTGGTATATTGTACACTCGCAAAGCTTGGTAGGCATTTAGTAGCATAACCAGCATTTAATTCTATTGAAAGTCGATGAACGTTTCCTTTTACTAAATGTATTAGTAAATTCGAGGAAGAACGGGATTTACATTGGCAATAGACAGCTTATCAGGAGAGAAGAATCTACCACCGATTTTGAGTTTATGTAGACCTTTTGGTACGGTTCAACTTTATTCATACGCCTTTGACGACCATCGTTTCAATCGGTAATCTTTCACTAGCAATTAATCGAGAAAGTCATTTTTCACAACTAGCAAACGGCGAGTATTTATGTACTTGTGTCTAGCTCAACATGTCTTTTGATTGTGTTCTCTGTTGTTTAGTTCGACAGTTTCATGATCGCTTCTTATCCTGTGATGAAATTGACTGCCATTGAAGAAATTGAACATTCGATGTCAAGCCATAATTCTTTTGCCTCTCATACATTTAAATATTACATTAGCTAGCTTAAATTTGTAAGTAGAATCAAAATCAGTGTACTCCTGTACTACCACCAAGATAATCATTAAATTCCAAACAAAATTATGAATAAAACTTGAACCTTATACCATATTTTACCACAGTTTTAAAACACCTTTATAAGTGAACGAAATTTCCTCATTCCTTTCGTTTAAATAATACCAATGTAATCAACAAAACTAGCAATACATCGTATTTGTGAATCACGTGTGGCACACAAAAAGAGACAGCACTGCATTGGATGGCTTAAACCACTAATAGATGTTTGTTGTTGACAAATCGTGGATAGGAGGGTAGTCCACACCTTTTGGTAACAAGTGCACCGATCCGAAATTTTGCCTTTCAGTTATGATTATATTTGGCAGCAACATCTATTAACATGTAGTAGATTGATTGAAACCGGACCCTTTTTTGCCCTATTCGAAAACCCTCGCAAACGCCATTATGTCTATTGTACCCACCACGGTCCCGGGCATGGTCAGCAACCCCTTAGTAGCACTTACTGTAAACCATCATTTCAAAATTGTAAGTGTATAGTTTCATACTCATTTTCTCTTCAACACTGTGCAGTGAGGAGTTCGAATGGTCAGCTTCAACGAAAATACCCCTTCTAGGCCAGTGCCATGACAACAGGCTGCCAATTGATGCAATCACCAGAAAATCATAGCAACAACCCGTCCAGGCACTTGATACCCCTATTATCGATTTTCGCAAATTTTTGTTCGAAACGTTTCAGCCCTCATCGGCTCAGGGGTTGCAATGGTCATAATGGCCTATTTAGCCGAAACCTTGACAGCGAAATATCACACCATGAAAATCAAGGATTCGGTGCGCTATATAACTACAGTGATCGAGACAAAAATCAGATCCGATAATTACTGTAACCCACTCCCCCCTGATCCCAGATTCGATGCAATCTTTCACCGCTACATTCCACGACACAAAAGGCCGAGTAATTTTGCGGCAGATTAAGAGAAGATCCCTTCGTTCTAATAATGAAGACGAAGATTCAAAAATTACATTTCAGTAGCTTCACCTCATGACCCTTCGCCCGGCATCCACATTGTCCAGGAAGTGGCCACAAAAACGTGCCTTGTATACTCAGACGATGTCACGATTATGTCATCATTAGTTGTCAAATACTGAGAGCTAGACTCCAAAGATGGCTACTTCCAGTGAGATACAATTTATGGGAACACTGTGATAACTTGATTATTACTCAAGCTAACTTGTACACCACAAATCCGATTGGCTAAAATCCCATCTCTCCAAAACACCTTTTTGGTTTGAATATACTTCGTCGAACAACTGTAGAGACTTCAGTACATCCCAACTACCATTGAGAAAGTCGGAATAGGATTCACGAGAACCAACGTCACCAACGTGTGCTCATTCCAGGAGGATATTATTGACGGAACTATGCCTTCGAAGTTACTAGAATGGGGCGTTTGAAGACCCGTTGTGTTGGCCTTGCAGAAAAGGGCAACTTCATTAAGGAGACTTGATTGGCCTGCGATACAAGTGGGCGTAACAATCACCTTGATCAGTAAAGTCTCGCGTGGCGGCCAGATAACACAATAATTTGAGCTTAAACCGCAAGAGGCATTTAAGCACACACCCGCAGGCAATTCATTAAAAGCTAAGAGCTTGGTGAAATGTACAAAAGGCATACACAAAAGCGCAGTGCTATTGCTACAAGAAAACTCCGCCGGGGCCTAGCGTTGTTGTCTGTGGCGTCGAAAAGGGTATTTCCTAAAGAGTAAAAAAAGCAGTACTTGTGAAACACGCACAGTGACGAAAAGGGAGCAAAGCGTTGCGGTTTTAATGAGTAGCCTGATGTAGGTCTGCATTTAAGGCTGTATGATCTGACCAATGATTGTACGGGCTCGTCTTGCATTAAGCTTTAATTGTGTTAAAACGAGCTAATTACACGTTAGAAATTTTCGGCGAAAAAACAAAGCCATTGCAGTCTTTCGGTTTTGCCGTTTTGTCGATTTCTGTTCCATAACGCTGAAAACGAACAGGTAGAACAAGGAAGCATATTAGGCAAAACGTACTACTTCAATTATGCGTAAATAGATGCAGCTCGAACTGAAGGCTGGGGTGCTGGGGTTAAGGGGACTTGAGTGGATCGATGAATTACGGACAAGGACGTAAGTCACTTAAATTACCTCAACGAAAGCTCATGCTCTCCGACACAAGGTTTTTCAAGCAAGCTTTGCTACTATACAGCTACACGTACAGACAACATACAGAACTGGGTCTAATGACTAAAAAAAGTAATGGAAAGGGTGGTCTGGCCTTGGCATTTATTCAATGAAATGTCGATGCTTACAACACGAGAATTGATATCCTACAGTTTAGGGCGCACGGTGCAAGTAAAAAGCACATTTTTGACCAAAACCGACCGTTGTGAAAACACAATAAAGATGTGCCGTGTTACCGAACGAGACAAGAGAGCACAGTGCTGGTGGTCAGAGTGAATGCATTAAATGAGTGAAATCTCATTCAAACAGCACTTGTAAAATATGAGCCAACAACATCATACCTGGATTTTAATCACTTATAACATATGTTGCCACATCATTAAAACAGTTAAGCTTTCGAGGCAAAATAAATGGCGTGGGATTTAAGCGGCTTACTTAGACTGTCGTGAGGAGCTGGGAGCGAGGTTTGGGTTCGTTGCAGCGTTGCTTCCGTTGGTGCCCAAGAAGCTAGACACGGCACTGGGCACGGCGGAAGTGGTGGACACCGGGCCGTTGCTGACACCACTGGCAGCATCACCGAACGCAGAGGGGGCAAACGCGGAGGGCGCGATGGAGTTGTCGCTGCCTCGCCGCCGCCACGAGGCGCCTCCGCCGCGTGCGCCAGCAGCACCGAGCACCTGGCAGATGTGCGAGACGACCATGGAGGCGTGGCAACAGCGCACCGGCTCCCCCACCGGTCGGTCAGCGGAAAGGTGCCAGATTTTGTAGGTGATCATGGCCTGAGAGGCCACTGACATCAGGCAAACACGAACGGTAAATGCGGCCCGCATCTCTACTGCTGGCTCCATTGGATCCTTAAAGCAAAGTAAAGCATCATGGTTCTAACCGGAAATATAACCATGATGACAGCCAAGAGGCATGTCTAATGTAGTGAGAAATTCGAAGACGTGGCTTTTATATGACCATAACCATAAAAACATCGACTGTCTCTTTGATTTCATGAAATGTCAAGACTATGCAGCATTTATTGCACGCTGATCAAAGACAAAATTAACCTTTGTTTCTGTGGAGATGAATCGGGTCGAGATACCAGCAGACCACAGAGAACAGGACAGATCGAAAGCCATCTGCACGGGGTCACACGAGGAGGGGTCGTCCACGTATGAGGTGCCAGGGAAGCCCCACTCGGCAAGGTCGACACCGGGCGCGGGAAGACGCTTGGATGCGGGGAAGGCGCCACCACCGTCGGTAGGGGATCCGGTTGATGGGGAGAGGGAACACGTTTCTGGCACAGACGACGACACAGACGAAGTGGAGGGGCGTCGCGCGCGCGACGAGCCACAGGGATCCGCCACCGCTCTACCGAGGAACTGCGCAGCCGCTGGGATGCGAGGATCAAGTGGACGCTGCTCCCACGTCACAACCACATGGCACAGTGCGGTGTCCAGGGGCAAAGGCGGGTTGAGCTGGCAAAAGAAAAGGTGGTAAAATAGAGTGCCCGGATTCGGTACTTCCTCTTTTTGTGCTTAAAAAAATGAGAAAAATACCCATAAAACGAGTGATTCAACCTTTTAATAATTGAATGTGTCAAAAGGTATGTAGATACGACTGAACGTTCAATGCACCAAGGGAAAATACTCATTCTAATTACAAGTGTGGCCTACCTTCACGCAAATGGCGCGATTCACCATCGACGTTTAAGGGATCAACAAAACCGTGATCACAGGAGAGCACTAAGAAGTCTTAGCCATAAACTGCGTTTAATGGTACCGTAGTCATTGCATGACAGCGGAGTACCGATTGAAAAAGTGGACAGCTGACCATGCACTGAGTGATATGCAAAAGAGTCAATCAGGTTTGGTGAGGCTACACATACCGAACACAGGGTCAAGCCATATCGCTCGGTGGCGAGGATGAATAACTTGGCCAGGCGATGAACCGAGAGGGATACACCGAGGACAGAGGGGGCCTCAGAGGCGTTAGGAAACAGCGCGGGGGTGGTGCTGGTGCGAAGGAGCCGATGAGCCTCGGCTGTGGGAGCTGACAGTGCGTCGAGGGATTCCCGTCGAATGTCGTCCGCCTGCTTCGATCTAACAGAAAGAAAAAGTCTGTGGCGAATCCTTTTCACTTTGCAAGGCAAACAACGCATGTTACCGTCGAAGAATGATTTCATTTATCTTAGGTCCTTCTTCAAGTGAACGCGATACATTCAGGAACAAACAAGTATCCATTCGCTTTTATTTTCAGGTTACACAGAAATCGACTTTATTTTAAATACAAACAGCTGTGCTGCTGGTCACACTTGACCAAGAGGCACAATCGCGTGCTACAAAAAAAACACATCGAGCGACCAGTGGCAATTTGTTTCCAAGCGCGTGCAGAATCTCGCAGCACAGGACGCGGCAATGCTAATTGGGATTTCAGCAGCGATTGTGGTTGTTTTTAAAGAAAATCAGCACAAGTCCCAAAATTGGAGCATTCAAGAGCATCACCAGTGAACACGCGAGGCAAAAGGCACATACGCATTTAGTGTACATTCGTCATTCGCTTAGACTGCGCATCATGATTAATTGTATAATTTTCAAAAATTAATGACGGTTTAGAGCCCCTATTTCAATTGCTTCATTGCCGGCTAACTAGCAGTCTAATGCAAATACAAAACTTGCACCATTATTTTACTGATGCCTGGTAAATGCGGGAAAAGGTTTGATATTATACAGCAGGAGATTGAGCACTTGACACCACGGAACTTAAAGTACAAAGCTAACCTCTAGCCCATTTGGATTCTATACGACGACTTACTGTAGACGAAGAAATCCATCTGGTGGCCGGAATCGGTGGACGAGATGTTGGTATTCGCCACCGGTGGCAAGAACAAGCAACTTCTTCGTCGGTGCAGAGCACGCAGGAGGACGCTGACGTGAGGAGGTCTGCGCGGGGTCGGTGGTTGGCGCCAAGGGCGGAGGGGCGGCAAATCGATTCTGCGTCCTTAAGGTCACCGAAAAGTTGTTCTCGCCGATAATTGCATCGAACTCTCCTGGCACCGAAGAGTAGCAAACCAGTTGGAAAACCAGGCCCTGATAGAGGTGACATGGTAAGACGAGGCCTGGGGTCAGGACGACCTGAAAAACAAAATAGTGTCCACGACCGACATAGCTACTTCGAATTCAGGCCTCATTAATACACAATGAAGTGGTGCTAGAAGTGGCTTAAGCCATTGGGCTCCCGTTATCTAGCTCAAACCAAACTGATAAAAAATAGGGTCCTAAAAGGCAAACACTCACGTGAAAATCAGGGATGGCTTTTAATTGATCAATGGCGCTAACGATATCGGCAAGCTGACGACACTGCTTGGAGACGCGGGCCTCCCTAACTGGCCGGCTGCCACCACCACCCGCGCCGGCTCCACAGGAGTTTGTCGCGGCTTCGGAGAAGACTCGAACCAGATCCTCGGTCCGCCTCGTCTCGACTCGGACCAGTCTGGTTAATTGGCGCTGAGCGTGAGCCCTCTGGCAGGAGGTGAGGAGATCCGGAACGGCGATCTGCCTGCGAAACGGCGGACAGCCTGCCTTGGGAGTGGGCTGGATGATCGCCTCGGGGTGCTCACAGGCCTCCGCCAGGTGACGCCACAGTCCAACCCGGAGGTCAACGGGCACGGATATGATCTTAAAAATGGCCTCCAACAGGTCTGTGTGGCTGATATAGAGCACATACGTAGCATTCTGGAAAAAAAAAAAACAAAAAAAACGCATGCTTAAAAGAGAAGGTTCCCAGCAAACAAACGCATCCACCGGATGCAAAAGAATTTCGTGCACACAAACGGAGGTCTTGGTTGATAAACTGCGAAAGTCAATTACCAGTGAACATGTCAAGTAAAAACTAAGCGACCTGAACCAAGTCAAGGGTGGAAACGCTGGCCATGGGGAGGACGTGGCTGGCACAGTAATCACACACAGCGGTTCGGTTTGACTGGAACGTGGGCAGACATGGTCCCCATCGGTTGAGTTCACTGAGACTACAAACCTAATTTGCATAAACCTAACAATCATCGTGGTTAAGTGGAAAAATTAACTTATGATGGCCTAGTACTACAAACAACGACGATTTCAGATTCTTGAACGACTTACTTTCAGCGGAATCAGGGCAGTAATTGAATTCAGCATTTGGAAAATTTCCACGAGCGTGTGAGGCCTGAAAGGCATGAAAGTATGCAACATTAAGAGGAAGTGCAGGTATTCGCGACGATGTGAAAAAACTCATCGAATAGGACAAAAAGTACTGGCAGCGTTACTAGAATCTCGTCGTAGTGAGAATCATGCTTTCCACATAGGTGTCAGGTGTCTTTGGTGTTTACACCTACTCTGTTGGATTAAGTGAATAATAAATCTAGCAGCATTGAGAACTTGACTGAATCGAAACAACAACAAAAAACTCCGGAAATGCAAAAAACAACGTCAACGATTTTCAACAAAAATAATGCAACAGCTCTGGTCCGTAAACACACGACAAGCCTGTTACCACCGACAGATACACCAGTCTCAATCAAACTGGGTGTTAAAGTTCCCGTGTTAGTTGGGTGAACACGTAGGTGGTGTCTGTTGGACTGGTCGCAGCTACTCATGGCTTCAATGCGAGTATAAAACTAAGATGAGTAGTAAAAAAAAGTAATTTTGGTTTCCGAATTAATTGGTGGTGGTGGTGTGGAGATGGACAAATTCTCAGCTATCAGGGTTTAAACCAAATGGTGATAGTGATTACCGTCTACCTTAACGATTAGTGCACAGGCCAATAGGTGCGTGGTTGAGTAGTTTGAAAAAGAGCATCAGACACCCCCAATACAGAGGCATTTTGTCTCGTGAAACACATTGGCGACCGGATGCCCATTCATGTTACATTTTGGGCACCAAGGGCAGAGTGAGATGCAATTTTTCACTAAAATAACGTCGAAATGCACGGTGCCAGGACAAGCTACTACCAGGGTGTTCTTTTTAAATGCTTTTCATGTTGCCGTGGATAAAGCCTTAAAAAGCAGTGTGCTTTGACAATGGCTTTCGTAGCGCTTAGATAGGGGGTTCCACTCACAAGTAGGCTGAAGAGGCCACATCGAAAGAGGCCCTTTTAGACTCCCGAGGGTGGTCAACTGCCCGAAAGGGGTTGGCATGTGGCCAGGGGCTGTAGACCCGTCCAATCTGGTAACTCCTAAGTTCCTGACCAGCTCTTGGCTTGAGGTCTGTGTGGGCTATGAAGCGTGCCAGTCCGACATGAAGAGCGTCAGGCAGGGAGACAGGCACACCCTCGGCGTCAAGAAAGATAGGCCCTCCGATCATGACACGAGCGGCCGCCAGCAAACCTGGTTCACGATGCCGTGCTGCCGAAGAGGTGTCCGTGGAGGCGCAATCGTTACCTGCCTGCGAATTGAATGGGGAGTGTCTGGATGTGGAAGAGGTGCACTCCTGAGCCGTTTTGAGCCAAACAGCAGTTGAACGCTTGCTGACAGGTATGAGCGTGGGTAGTTGGATGGGAAGGGCACAATGGGCTGCGAAAATCGACTCCAGGTGGCGAATAGTATACCTAGAGAGAGAGGCATAAATTGGTATTTAGAGAGAAAGCACGGTTCAAAAACAGGAATTAGTACACTGTAGCAAAATGAGCAGTGACCTATTCTCCTGTTAGTTAAGTGGATGGCTAACGAAATGTCTTGCCTTAGGGGTGCATATAATCAACTAGAAACTCGGATCTATGAACTGATTAGGCGTAAAAATAAAGCAACGCAACACAGAATGAAGAACGTCAAAAGCCGAAGCCAAAGGCATTAACAAAAGGGATGGAAGAACAGAATATAGTGCGTGTGTAAATTACCGTTCGATCAAGTGGAAATTCACCAGAGCTCGAAGATAGTACTGTTCATCTCCATGGACCAAGTCGAGAATATCGGGTAGCTGATTGGAATCAGCGGAATTAATGAGACTCTTAGATCGGTCGTAGAGGTAATCCTATGAACGAAAAAGCAAGTGTGTAAGATCCAGTCTTCCTAATAGAGCTCAACCACAACAACCAAAAGGTATTAATAGGCAAACTGTTTATCTGAATGCCGTGAAGACGGGTCCCGCAATTTTTATGCAATAAACCAATGGGTCTAGGTAGATCATTTAACAAGCCCGTTTTTGAATTGGTTTCTTTGCAGAATCGGAAGCATAACTTGATGTCTGTGCATCACACTTGCAGAAGAACCTGGGTGGTGAAATTCGGTACCGTACACAAGCCTCTTGAAACACTTCCCCTGGGATCAATAATCGAGTCACACTCAAACATTTGACTCAGTCATGCGTTTTAAAGGCATGGAGTTATTGGGAAATGGCTGACACACGAAAGGACTATCAATGGGGGCTCGTGAAGACCTGTGCTCCAAAGCTCAGACAATGGAATAGGTGCATCGGCCAGGACTTCTCACCAAGTACGCCAACAACCCACGAGTGCTGCCGTTTAAGACTTCCCGCATAACCAAAATACGCAATCAAGGGAGTTTAATTTGTCGTTTTGTGAGAACTTTTAAGTTTTTCGAGACAAACAACCATCAAGTTGATCGAGGATCTAAGTACAAGGAAACACGTGATTATCGGAGGGAGGGTGTAGATTTAAGGAGCCGAAATACCAATCAAATAAGTTAAATCCAACGGCTACTGCGCAGACGGACTTGGAAGCCCCATTCCAGCTACCGTCAGGTGAAGCATATTCCGAGGACATTCTGCGGAAGCATTTTAAGACTAAAGAATGACATAATGGTGGTAGTACAGAAATAAGCTGAAGACATTACAATAGTCACAAGTCCACCATAAGAGTTCACATCGTCTTATGCACGGGACTGTGAGGAAGGCAAGCATACAAATCTCTTGCACGTACCGCTGTCCGTGAGCACGACATCGTGAGGAGGTTATTGGCGATGAAGCGGTACAGACTGCCATCCGGATTGTTAAAAGCCTCGAGAACCTGTTTCCTAAAGGCCGATTCAGTTGACTTTAGCGGAGGGATGAGCGGAGAGGCGAGGAGATCCTGCAGGTGCACGTTAACAAACACCTCAAGCCCGATATATTAGGGTAAAAAGGCCCAGTTTGTGACACAAACCTCGACCTGGCAAAAAGCCAACATACAGGCCTCTTGGTTAGGACCCAGCTACGGAGAACACAAGGTGACGTCGCTGGTGTGCACGTGACAGAAAAACGCCTTTCCACTCTCCACTACGCGCAAAATTACAAACATTGACATATTTCCTTTGCCCTACAGCAGGCAAGTCTATTTGTGATTCGATAATGCGCTTCGGCTACAGTAATCAGCATTAAAGCACACATGCGCACGTCGGCTGAGTGAAATACTCAACAAAACATTACGCACGAAGAAAACAGAGTAACCGAAAACCTGACAAAAGGACAGACCCAGTAATCGGAACATTCTACTAGCTTGGCAGGTCTAAGTTTTTATCACCGTTCAAAAAGGCCAATCTGAACCAGGTTTTTTGTCCAGGAGATATCTGAACTTCAATGATAAAACATCGATTCGTGAATTACACCTTTAAAAGGCAGACAAATGTGGCGAAGTTCATTGTAGCTCACATTGCTACAGTGACCCCCACAATGATCAACACTTAGTAAAAAATTAATCCACTCGTCAGGTGCGCTAAAAGAGGTACGAACCGAAGCAGAGGGTCGACGGGTGGGGTCGTGCTGTAACAGGGCCCTAATCAGTCCGGTTTGGCTGGCCAGAGCGTTGGCGTCCCAATCCTTGGGGAAAATGACTTTCGGTTTGCGAATGTCATTGAGAACAGTGACGCGCTCCATCAGAGTGGGCATGCACTTGTAGAACATCTCGAACAAAATGATACCCAAACTGTAGATATCAACTTTCTAAAAAGAAGGTAGAACGAAAATTACAGAGATAAACCAGAATCTAACGGTGGCCGAGAGGCGCACTTTGGGAAGATTGCTAAATCCCTTCTCAATTAGGTACTTTGAATTGACCATTATTCTACTAGACAGCGGGTCTAAGATGAGAAGTTGTAATTAACATGATCTACACGGAATGAAGACCAAAAACTACCTCATCGTAGTCGACGCGTGTATTTCGTTCGGAGACTATTTCAGGGCTCATGTAGAGATATGTACCCACGTTCTCCGTCATTCCGTAAGACCGAAAATTGACCATTGGGTTGCCAGATGTGGGGAGGGGTGGGGGCGGAGGACTAGCGGCTCCAGTCGGTTCAGGTCCCTCAACAACCCTGAATGAAGGACGGCGGCGAAGATCATTCCCTGACGAGGCGGCATCTATTGCCGAGGATTTTGACTGGGAGACTATCCGCGAACCACGCTAGCATTGAGAAAAATCACCATTTTGATAGGAAAGGCATTTATCGGAGCTCCAAAACAAACCGACGTCCGATATTGGTGTTCCAACAACAAACGTTGTAAACAAAATTGTTATTTTGGTTTACTTTCCGAACTTCCTGAAAATCTCGACTACGTGTCAGTGCTCGGTCGCCACGATAAACAACAGTACAATCTGTAAACAGCTAGATTCTGCAAATTCATATTAAACGGAATGAAATCAGAAGAAATGGAGCTAAGCTTTAGACGAACGGGAAGAGGGCTGTGATTGGCTTGACGTAACGATGACTACAACTACAGTAGGCGATTCATTGCATCAGTTGGTAATTCTGTAGATCTGTCAAGGTTTTCACGTACATACGGGCTATGCGGAGGATGTGTACACGTTATCTGCAGTTTGCCGGTATCGGCCGTTGCACCAGGAATAAATAGCGACACCGGATTCTAGCCTGAGTGGTAGCTAGTGCCAGGAAGGACAATCCTGATTGGGTTTTCTCTTCGCGAATGGAAAGGCAAAAAGGCAGCAATAAGTCGCAAAGAGGTATGTCATTACATGACTACCGTGGTAAATTGGAGGGGACTCACCAAGAGAGCCGTGACCTCTTTTCTTGCCGACGCAGCTTGCTGTCTGGTCATGCGAATGGCAAGACCAAAGTCACCGATTTTTACATGGTCTTCAGCATCGAGCAAAACATTGGCGGGCTTCAGGTCACGATGAATCACACCCTTCGAGTGGATGTACGCGAGACCGTCTGCCAGCTCTCGAAAGAGACTCCACGCACGATCGGGATGCAAATTCAAGTTCTCTCGATCAATGACCCGACGCAGGGTCTTGCACGCGCACAACTCCATTTGGATGATAATGTACTAGAAGAAATAAGCGCAGATTAGTAGTCCAGTGGACCATGCACAGCAGCACCCGAACCCCTCAAATCAACACGACAACAGTTTGAGTGCAATGTCTGTGAACTGAATTCAGGATAGTGATATCAAACGAAATTGCTGAGGTTGAGACGCGATGAATAAGAAAGGGTGCTTACCGATATGTTCGATCGGTTTTTTTGCGGTGAGGCGCCGTCGGATGAGTCCTCATCCTCACTGCTTGATAGTTCGTCCGTGCTAGGTGGAAACGGAGGTGAGAGCATAAAAAGAGTACCAATAGATTTACCTAACAACTTCTATTGTGTGCGTCAATGTACCTATGTGGCCGGACAGCTAAACCCAAAAGGCGGAAAAAAGCAACTGCCAGGGCATGCGAAAAATTAGTGATTACTCAAACTAGGAAGCAGCACCCACGAGCCGCAACACACAAAACACACCAAAATATACGACATCGTGACGTACTCTTGGGAGTCAGACTGAGTCTCCTGGCCATCAAAAACGGGACCCTCATTTTGCCGCGATGCTTCGAAAACGATGAGGGACGAACTGTTACGGAGAAGGTGGGCTTGGCTGGGAGGTTCCTCCCTGTCTGACCCAGAAGAGGAGGAGGAGGAGAGGTCGCCATCATCCTCATCGTCTTCGATTTCATCGTCGTCATCATCATCATCAGCCTCGTCAGTTGACGAGGACTGGCGACAAAAGCCCTTTGGAGTGATAGGCCTGTCAACGGCTGAAACGAAGGACAAAGGTAGGTGTGTGTGTGTGTGTTAGGGGTCAGATTAGTGGTGCTTGTGACGGTACTTTAGTGAAATCTTGAAGGCGACTGACCTTGTCACAATACATCAGATAAAACTTAAATCATAGTCAGATGAGATATTGTTGACGAGCCAGTAAGCTTGACACCGCAGAAACAAAAAGAAGCTCTACTTTCATTCAACCTCACGAAATAACACTGTCAATTATTTTTTAAAATGATTTTTGCTAAGGGTTCTGGCAGCCACACTCAAAAAATCCTGCAATTACCTTAAAATTACGTTTTGTCCCTCGAGACACACCACGCACCCGAAAACGTAGCAGACCGTTTTATGCCAGTTTGTGGAATCTGCACTTACATCGAGTAGACTTTAGTTAAAGATAATTACGAGGGATAACAGGGGGTGTAAATAGTAGGACCTGCAACCGATTATTATATTCCTAACAAAGTAATCAGACAAGGCAACCTCGGCACCTTTCGAAATAAAGAGACACCACGGCAACTCGCGTCAATGAAGATCAGTGTACTTCAACCGAGGCTCTCCATCATCCATTCTCTCGGAATTGATGACCTCGTGTTGAGTGATCTTCATAACGTGATTTTCAAATCATTTCAATGACACTTCCAAATTTCATGTTCTGCTCGCTTCAAAAAAAGTGGTAATTTTAGTGTTTTTCCTCTGTGACGGTGGATTCTGCCGACAAGTGACATAGGGCGACAGGTTTATAAACAAAAAACTCACGCAGATCTGCCCAAGACACGTCGGCCGATTTGAGTCCGATTTTGTGGCCATTGTCACCAAGACTGGCAGAAGGCGCAGTCGGCTTCGGCTCCTTCACAATATCTCCATAACGCAAACCATGACGTCCCCGCGTGATCGTTCTCCACGAGCCAGTGTCTTCAGTCTCTGCTTGGCGTTCTTCGCCTGAACGATCTTCAACAATGTTCGAGAGATTAATGTTATCATTCCTTTCACGGTCACCAATGACGTCGCTGTCACCTTCATCCGGTGTAGTTTCAGATGACTGGTCGTCGGCCGACTTAAAGGCTGCAGCAGACCACGGCATGGAACTGTGCGGAAGAGGTTCTTGGAAGACGTCTTTCCACGAAGTGAAGTACCTAGATTACAAATCGGAGGTTATTTGGAATAAATCGAACACTACACGAAAACAGGACACAAAAGTTTGCTAGTTTTTTTTCCGCAAACGATGAACTGTCCAACTACCTAACGATATTATCGTGCTGAAGGCCAGAAAGCGTTCTGACCTCACGAAGCAGAGTTTCAGCTTCAGAACGGGGGATTTTGACACACTTAATGGCGTACTCCCGATTTTCGATGATATTCCGAGCCTAGGAGAGAAAGAAGCAATCAGGTCGAATACGGTTTTGTAGGTGCACATCAATATACGGGAAACTTACGCGCAGCACACATCCAAAGCCCCCACGACCGATAATGCTGAAGTCTTCAAAGTCTGTGAAGAGTCTGGGGGTTTTACCCTCCTGTACCCCAGAATTGCTAGCTAGAACGTCGTGATCTAAAATTACGAGGAAAAAGTCACCGTCAGCTTTCTGAATGCAGCCACACTTCAAGACAGTAGTTTCCGTGAAAATGGAGGCCAATGTTGGCGGTGAATAAATTTTGCATGATGACATTGTAAAGGTGAATTTCTATTTTGGCACATGGATTAATCCAGTGAAAATGTATCCTAACATCGGTTGGCAAAGCTCGCAAGCACTAGCCCGGATGCTGTTGAGTGGCACAAAAATAAATCATGTGGCAACGTTCAGTTACGTGGAATTTGGTTTAAAAGAAGCGCCTGTTTCGACATCAAACGATGTTACTACGATCAAAACGGAACAAAATCGCAACTGCAGTCTTAGAGAACACCAACGTGCTGAGTTATTTACAAGGCATGTAGGGCGTGGAGAACCACCAGAATGTACGATACTGAAGGCGAATCGTGAGAAGAGCTGTAGGCTCACCTTCCTTTCCCGACAAATTACGTGCCCTGGTGGCCTTTTCAAGGTTGCCCGCGTTAAGGAAGGCCTTGGAGAACAAATTATGGTTGATGGGTTCGCGCAGAAAGGGGTGTTTAAGCAAGTCCTCGGCAGAGGAGCCGTTTTCGCACAGACAGGACTGAAGAAAGTCCTTGAAAGTCGGCACGTGGGCAAGGGCTGACTGAAGAGCGGGCGTGAAAACCGGTTGGCCGTGTGAGTCAACTTTATCAGGTGGAGTCTTAGTTGCCAGAAAGAGCAAGACAACGCCCTGAAAAGCAAAGGCACGGGTGTGACGTAAGGAGGGTGGCCTCAAAACATGACTTGGGTGTTGTAGGGCGCCCGAAAAGCACTCTGTTGGACCGCATAACAAAAGGCGGCTGCTAGAGGTTCATTTTGAGCCTTGCGTTCATCAGTTTACTTAGTTCGGGATATTTGTGGATTTTTCAAAAGCGGATCCAAAGAGATCTCTTGCAGGAGGGCCACTACAATCGAGACTAATTTACCGATGACAAATACTTTATCTGGCGCATACTTAACATATCAGCCGCTGAGTATGTTGGCAAGTCGCAGTGAGTGCCTCTGCATAAACGGAAAAGCGAAAGTTACCAGGTAGTAAATGTCTTTTTTGTGCGTTGATCTGAATTTTCGTATCGGCGGAAGGACGGTAGCAGAGGGAGTTGAATGTCTGTGTTCAACTCCACCACTGCGGCGCTTGCTCATGGCTACGTATTCATCAAAGCGTTCGTAAAACTCGTACTCCGAGATCTGAACGTTGCCCTTTTCATCTATGAAGATCTTGTCAGGCTAAAACCAAGAAGGATGCAAGAAAACTAATGATCCAGTTGCAATAAGGCATGTCCTAAAGCAGGGATATTGCACAACTTCTGAAGTAACAGCCGAATCATATTCCTAAATCATTGCGATGCTAGTGAAAATCTCGAACCAGCAAGAGAAGACACAGACAGTCAACAGGGACGTCTTCGAACAGATAACACCTTCACGCTACCAGGGATTCCCGTAGAGCGTCACTGACAAGCACCCAACTGCCCAGCACCCTCCTTCGGCAGTATAACAACAACCTTAATTTGATTCAGGGTTTTTGATAAATACTGTCCTGACCTCCATGACCTGGCACACACTCCTTAAAATAATTAATAAGTTACGCGCCACAAAGCCCCCAAGGTACGCGCAAGCATACAGTGTACCAAGGTAACACGGGTACGAGGGAGTAATGAACCAGAATGGGACGCATGACACCGTGGCAAATTTACGATTGGTTGCCTACGTGGCGTAGGAAGCGATGCTTAGTAATACGAAAAGGGCTAATGCAGGAAGAAGGAATAAGTTTAAAGTCCGGATACGGCCTTAGTTAGAGCATTCACATGCGATTTATTGAAAGAGATTGCATTGTATTTAAGTATTGGCAAAACTGATTCAAACATATATGGAACTGATCTCCACGATATACGCACGCACATCTGTATGCATCGGCAAGTCTATAGTAGTAGTTTATTGAGTTAGCGAACGAGACGCATACCTGAAGGTTGCGATGGGACATCGAGTTCCGTGAAAGCCACTGAAGGGCCTCCAGCACCTGATGAGCGACATCCCGAATCCTTTCCATGTCCTCTGCAGTAGTTGGAGTTGGCGCTTTCATATCCACGGGTACATTGAGGACCTTTGAGGGTTGAATGAGGGTGGTGAGTGGTACTCCACGGGGACGGTCGCTGACCAGGTTCACGACATACCAGCTCTCATTCTCGCCTTTGAAGAGAATTGCAAGGACCATGTAATGGGCGATGTGCGATAAAGATTTTCTCATGGCAAAGACTTCCTAACCATCTCAACACATTGCATTTTTATAACCGATGCACTAGATTACATTTCACTCGCGTTTACAAACAAGTCATCAGAATATATGTTCACTAACACAGCCAAGATGAATAACCATTCCCACAGGTTCCCAATTAGGAGGTTTTAGCCCTTTGACTCCGCCTTACAGCCACGGTGCTTTATAAATTGACGAATTTAATTTACATGACCGGTCAGATAAACGAAGGATAATAAAGCAACACGCTGTCCTTATTGATAACCAGTGTACACTACAGTTCACCATGTCGACCTTACCTGCTCTCGTTATTTCGCTATTCTCGTTAGCTTGCTGAACTCAATTTCAGTTTCGCACCAATTAGGCACCAATTTCGTGTGTTATCAAACTAGTAATATTGTTCTTTTCAAATTACTTGTCCTTGTATATGTATTATTAATAGACGCTCATCATGTGGGGCAACACGAAAAATGCATGCTTACAGTTCATAAGGTTTGCATTCCCAAACTTTATATCAGTTTTCAAGCACACGAAATTGGTGTCCTTGTCTGAGCAAAAGAATCAAGACTTCGTAAAAAAGTAATTTTAGATATACCAATTATGATTATTTGTATCCTATCACAAGGAATAGAATTTCTTGGTTTAGCTTCGACCTGCATCCCTATATCAAGTCGGGTTGCCAGATTTTACATCAGGTGGACATCACCAAAGCTCTTTGCTTCAATCGAGGCGAATTAGAAGCGTTTTCAGGTCGTGAAGAACCACGTACAACCGAGGCATAAAATACTGCCCAAACTCCATCAAAAGCACCCGTCTGTAACGACAGAAATGCGCTTGTTTGGGAGATACGAGTAGACTGATGGTGTGTGTGGGTGCATTGTGATCTCATAAATATTTTACCGACACCGGGTTGTAACAATGAAATACACTGTGGTGTAGCTACAGAAGGAAAGCAGTACGTATAGCCGCAAACAAAGATGTGCTGAAGTTGTGCAGGCGAAGAGGCTATTCAGTGAATAGAAAATGCGACCCACCTTCCTCCAGATCGGCAGACATGGCATACAATCGCACAAGACTTGGATGAAGCGGGAGCCGGGCGGCGTGAGTCACGCGAGACGATATCTGGTTCTCAAAGACCGATTTCGACTGGACCACAGAGGACTGGAAGACCCATTCGTTGACCTGAAGCAAATCACCCGAGGCCTCGTCGAAGGCGGGAAACCTTGCTTGGCAAGGGAACCAGGCACCGGCTTTGGGGCTGGAACAACGACATGCACAAGAAAACTGGTAGAACAAGTCTTCATTGTACATCCTTAGATGAACTCAAGTTGGGTGGATACCGGCCCCAATGCGGCCTAACTGATCAGAGCCTCTAATTTAAAGAAGCGATTAGGTTTCTGTATGACGTGAAAACTCGGTTAAGTGCATACGCAATAAAGTAATTGTTTACTTCAACTGTACCCATAAACGGACACAACGTGGTTGGGTTGTTTAGAGTTGGTTAATTGACTCCGTCTGTATTAGGAGCTATGACCGTTGAATACACGACGAAAGTAGTCTTAGCCTTCAGTGAAATCGTGCCATTCTAGCGGCATATTGGGCAAAGCAAACAAGGTGGTTGGCTTAAAATAATCAGCATTGTCCATTTGACCGGGCCCGTTACCCAATTCTCGATACAACGAAAGTAATCAATACAAACACACTGCTCTTCAAACACAAAAAAAAGTGTTAAAACACCTAGGGAAACATTAAAAAGTAAAGAATACACACGGTGGATTGTGAGGTCCATCAGAACAATGTCCACGAATGACTGTCAACGTAGACGATTGCACCGACGGGCATGGAGGGATGGTAGTACCCCCAGGGACAGCAGAACCACTCGGAGCTTGGGAAACGGAACTCTCACTGTCCGATCTATGGCTGCCGCGATGGGCGCCAACATGCCTCATCTTCGGTCGCGTGAACTTGATGGTCGCTACGCCGTTATGGCGTGGGACGGGACAGCGTTGAGCAGTGGCAGAGCTGCCTTGGCCACTGTTTGTGCGCCTCCGATGGCCTTGGTCGTGACTACTGGTGTGCGTGGCACCAATGCCACTTGAACCATCTCTGTTGCGGTCTCGGCGACGGTCAATGGACATGAGGATTCCGTCACTGTCATAAAACGACACAATAAAATGCAAATTAATATTCCTGACAACACGCCAAAATAGCCCCCCTCCAGTTTACCCGATTGCTGTCCAACCTCTTTACGTTAATTGCACAAAAAAAAACATTACTTGAAAGGGTTAGCGGTCATATTGAGGTTACTTATTTTAACTTTTATTTAGTGACGCAAATGCACAATTAGTGGGCCAAAACAAGCGGCGCGTTTCGTTACATCAGTAAGTGTTATTTACAACCACCAGCGTTGTCGGCGCACGTCAACACACCTGGATAATAATAATAAATGCCTTCACAGAAACCCGCGTCTGTTTACCCTCGCCTCCGGTCGAACATTCCCACGAGCTACGCGGACGCGTCTGAGAATGCACCCATTTGTACACATACAAAAACGAACGCCCGTCACCTCTAAGCATGCACAACTTTGCACGCAAAACAACAAAAACCAAGTTGGGTCATTTAATAAGCGATTGCCTCAGGTCTACTTAACCTTTTGAAGTACTTATAGCGGGGTATGTGCAATCTGGCTTCTACAACTGGTGACTCCGATGTGGCCACCTGGCTCAACCCGGCGCCAAAAAAATCGACGCAGTAAAGAAGACCGCCTCTGCCTGTGTTGCTGTTACTCGGAGTAATGGCGTAGGTGACTCCCCAACACGTATAACCAAAGCATTTACCAAGACAGTGTTAAGAATTGAATGAGTTATTCAGTGTTATTATGGACAAAGGTGTGACACAGGACCGAAATGCGATGGCAATATGCATGAAATCAATCCGGGGCGCTGTGCCAGGGGCCTGGATTCGAACAGCGTATGGCAATTTAAGCACTCACCGTGACTACGACTAAACAAAAAATGGTGGATACGACAGATGAGAAACTTCACACACAGTAAACAAATACGATCACATCAAAAAACTTAGCAAATTCCACCACGCACCTTTCGGTATCGGAGCCAGAAACGCTGGAGGAAACGATTCTCTAAATGAAAAAAATCGGAACAAGCTGACATGTTGTAAGAAAGTGATAAAATACCAAAGCAGATGGGAATCCAACAGGGACGACCAGTAGCTAATAAACGACTGATTTGGGGCTTGTTTGAAACAGAGACAATGGTAATGGGCTGGTTGCCGTACATGCAGAAAGACGGTTTTTTTTGTTTATTCAAGCAAAACCACACGTTAACAGGCAGGAGTTGGCCACTTGGCAAGAGATATCTAACTAGAAAAAATACTCGATGTTTGATTTGAATACGGGCTGAGGACGGAGACGTGTTTCGTTTGGCCGAATACGCCTAGCAAAGCATCAACCAACCTCCATTCGTGTCTTTCGATGTTCCAACGCAGCGCGAACACGTGCCACCTGGAAAGCAAATAACAGTCGCGGTCATGACAGAATCTACCATGCGTCTATTCCATGGAAGTATAATGGATGCGCCGCATCACTAGCCAAGTTGAGGACACAATATGCTAAATCATGGGATGCATTCTTATTCAAATCACAAATGATAAAAGTAACTTTCAAACCGATCTAGAAACCCTCTTAGAAATTCTCCGAACAAGTAGGACTACCAAGTAACCACTCTAAGGCACTCTCCAAAATACCAAGGCCCACAGAAAAAAAGTATTACCTCAATTTCTTGTTCCTTTTGTTTTTGAGCTGCCGCGGCTTTGATTTGAGCAAGACGCTTCTTTTGCGCCTGTTCCTGCATGCTGGAAAGGTGATCACGTCCTGCGTCAATTATCGATAATATTGAAGGCTGTAAAAAAATTAAAACTTGTAAATAAGGATAAATAGTTAACAATGTGCACAAATCAGATAATACTACCGAAGCTAAAGGACAAGTCCCTCAGTTGGCCTGGATATTCGTAGCGAACTTTTCACCAGGTCGGATAGTTAATTATACACTAATATCTGAACTCCAAGTTTCTAGTAAGCAACCTTAAAATAACCACAGAACATGCTGTAAGCTAGCAAAAAAAGAACAGTGATCAAGAAGTCGACCGCAAAAAAAATTAAGGTCAGGTAATAAAATTTAACCGAGATGTTATAGATTCATTTAAGTGAAAAAGACTCGGAAACTCAAACAATGATGGTGTATTTTTGCTTGTTATATTTTCTTCAGATTCCCACTGACTATGGTGAAATAGATGCCAATTCACGAAATCGACTTCGCGACTGCTACGAATTTTTTGGACTTAACGGGGTACCGCTTACTTTAAATAAAAGTTCGTTACGAGTTGAAGAATAAACACTTGATACCAGGATCACATGACAACTAGAGAACTTTGCATCGGCGCTTTCATGTCCCAAATGAAAGGTGTAAGTTCTGACAACTAGCAACGGCTTGTAACAAGAAAACGGTGTTTAGAGATACAACTATTGCTAATTATGCAAACTCAGTGTAAAGACGGAAGAAGCCCTCACACGCAACACGGACCGCGTGGGAGTGCCTGGAATGTGATTATTACGATCATTTCGTGGTGGTTCTCTCCATAAATCATGAAAAGATTCCTAACAGATAAGGGGCATTCGCAACACACACAAAAAGGATGCAAGACTATTGTAAGACAGCAATAAGGCGGTCGCACAAATGTACGACACGGTAGCAAGGCGTTTGTGAAAATCAAATAGAGCAGAATAAAAAAAAACTTACGCTTGGAACAGCGTCAACCGCAACTGCATTGAGGTGGTCCAGGAGTATTTTCTGTTGTTTTGCATCAATTTCAGATACATTCTTTATTGAAATTTTTGGCGGGCTGTCAATAAAGAATCGAACTTTGGTAGTCATATTAAATCCTACTCATTGAACTTTAGCTAAGATGTAAAGGAATCAATAATAGAATTGTGTGGAAACAATGGTTACAAAGCTATGATCAGGAAGGAATGTGTAAGAGTGATTTATAGTGCGTACTTTAATGAAGCACTAAGTAGAAGCGAACCAATCAGGATTCAAAATTACCGAGCTCGCTGACCAATGAAATAAGTGAAATGGTTTGACCAAATGCTTGTAAAACAATAACCAGAGCGCTTATAGGTGGTGAATAACCTGGCTTTAAATAGCACCAGAAAATAACAATAGTAATAAAGAAATTCCACAAGACTCATATTTAGATGTCGAGTGAGAAAATGCACTACTACACAAGCCTTAAAAGGTGTGAATTTATGCAAACTAGCAGCAGTAGGTCGGCAATAAAGAAAAACGGTCTACAAGAAGGTTGTAAACAGGTACAATGAACACAAGGTAACAGAAGTATAGCTCGTTTCAAGGTCTAAGAATTCGTAGGAGCGACTTGTAACAATGGTAGCAGTCGACAATTACAATAAATTTACCTCTACATAGAATGGGTAACAAATCAGATCCCAAGTGATGCAGAAAACTTCAATAACTATATAAAAATAAAAATACGTTTTCCGTTTCAGCTGAATCATATATCCGATTCCATGAGACATGGTGAATTATTAAAAAGGAGGAGTATCATAGTAGTTTAGGCGAATTTGTAAAACATTAAACGGCCTGATGGTTACAAAACGTCTCCACAAATCGTCAAGAAATTAACGATAGAAAATGATTTAAATGTGTGGAGATTGTATATCTCGATTTGAGCAGAAGAATGCACAAAGGAAAATCACCATAATACGAAATACGTCGGCGAAGAACGACGATCTCAATGTTAAATTCCATTAGTCGCGGCTAATTTTATTGCACAGTCGATTAAAAGGGGGGACTTCATCAGATGTAACACTAATTCAAGCCAAGTTGCAAGTAACCACAAGATTACAAAGGCTAAAATGAATGTGCAGCGGAAAACTTGGTGCTCAATAAATAAATTCACCCAGAACCTTCAGAACAACGAATCCCAAAATCTTGCGTATGCCAGTTTAATGTGCCCCTTTCCGTAATAATAATTGGACAGCCTTGTACTATTACGTTTTAGTTTATACAGCATCGAGAGCAGATAAACATCTTGAGATTAAACTTAGTACCATGTAAAAACTTACACAGCAGGGTAGCGTTTATGACAAGCAATGACCAGCTCGGCCTGTGGACATGGCAAACGTTCAGTGAGTTCCACACAACGCCCAGACTCCTGATTTGTTGGAGGTAACAGACGGCAGCCAAGACTTAATGGGAAGACTTTGTTCGGAATGGTGTCAACATTCTCAGCAAGGTGCTATAGATACACATAACTAAATGTGCCAAGTATACCAAAAGTGGAAGTCCTCTAACTGAACATATGAAATCAGGGTACACGGCATATATGAGTGCCAATTCCTCTTTTTGAACACCACGACTTTCTAAACGAGAACTTGCCATATCATGATTGGTGAAAACGCGACTGCGAATTGCCCTTGCACCTAGCGGGTTTGATTAGCTTGATATAACAAATCACAATTCCCAGGCAATTTACAAAACCGGTACCTCTTTTTTACCTGCACATTGCTTTGTAGCTAAATTTGCGCATAGTTTGCATGCATTTTTAAATAAGGCGTGCATGTTAGATGATCCTAGAAAACGACTAGGTGTTGAAAAACACGGCCACTAATCCGATACATCTTTGAACAAAAAGCAAACTAATTCACGCAATTCCAAATTGTGCAAGACTAAACACAATGGATGTCGATCAAAAAATGGGGCATGTTTGCATTTAAAGCAATATACATGTAGAAGTACAAATACAAAAATCCGACGGGACAGAATTAAAAGTCACAAATAAGGAAGGGCTTGGCAAAACTAGGCTTTTTTCTAGTCCAGCCAAGTGGTTTAGTTCAAATATATAAGCCTCACGTCAAAATGTTAAGGGCGTGTATTTATCGCCTAAATATAACGGCGACTATGTGTGAAAAATCTTAAATTTTTAAATAGCCCGGACATAGACTAATCCGCGTGAAGGATTTCTGGACAATGGCTAACTTTCTGAGTGAAAACAATGCATAATTTTTGGTTATTACAGTGATATTGCCACCAACAACTCCAGTATCCAGTTTATTTTTAACCAGCGCATAGGTTAATTGCTTAAAATGCTAACAAGTAGTGCAGCATTATACACCTTAAAATATGGATTATAGCGTTGTTTTTTACTCGTAAATGAAACCCACCTTCAAATCAACGCAAAATTTCGCTTGAAATTATGGATTGCGAAGGAACAAGTACATTAAAAGACTCGATTTCTTTCGTGCAAATTTTAAATTGAATGACCTTTGGTCACTTATTGGCTATACAAAAATGGGCTGCTCATTGGCTCTCATGTATCTCGTGGACGAGCTCGTGTGTGTGCTCGAGAGCACTTCTTTGATTTATGTTGCTTTTCCTCCATTGATTGTCATTATTTAATGTGGACGTGTTTGCTGCAACCTTAAATTATGCTAATATCAGAACTCCAAACACATAATAGTATTTTAATAGCATCGTTTTGTTTTTCTTGGTCTGATTTTTGACAGCAGATCAACCTAAAGCCCATGAACTGTTAGTTTTCTTAGGGTAACTGTCAAGGACATATTTTACATTCGGTAAAAGTATGCTACTGATTTTCAACTACTCCTTTTTTGGCCGGAATTCTCGATCCTTGGTGATGTTGGCTAATTTTGAGAGGTTTGCTCCTCAATGTTTTTGTAGTTTACCCTTAAACTTCGTTCTCCACTTCCAACCTACAAATTTCAGTCTTTATTTAATATGGTTTATCTGTTTTTTTTGCAGACTTGAATGGATTCCTCTTTCACAGCAATTCGTGGTGGACCATTTACCTACTGGTCACATCCAAAAGCCTTACTGGTAATTCAGAACCTTGTCCCCACATTGCCCACATTTCTAACGGAGACTCTGCTTTCCTCTGATGGAAGTAAGCTACTAGCCTTTTTAGAATCAGGGGTATCGATTATAAATATATTTGGTTACCTGTATGATATTTTTGTGCTGCATTTCTTCTAATTTTGGAAGACAGCAGACACCTTAGTCCCACAATTATTGCTCTACTTAATGTTTATTGAATTTTATCCTGATGTTCATAATTATTATTGAACTTGCCGTCTACCATTGTTTTATCTGTGCAGTTGCCATTTAACTGGAATCTGCCAAAATAATTAATATTTCCTTCACATATGCAAAGGCCTAATTTCCGCTTCTGCAGGTAAAACAATGCGATTTTCCTTAACAACCCCGTCTTTCCTTTTTGATCGGTTTTTCCCTATTTGTAGGTGCCGATATTAAATTATTTGCTCACGACTGGATTGGAGTGGTAACTGATGGACGTTTATTTCTTTGGCCTTACAGCCATTCGAGGGACTCAAAGGTAAATAAATCATAAAGTTGTATGTCGTTTTCGGTTTTCTTCCTGACTAGATAATTTAAAAGAAATAAGTATATCGTGCTTTTTGTCATTTGTTTTGCATCTTTTGTCCTGGTCTCCACACGGAAACCGCTATCCAGTTATAGTGCTTCGCGAAAAGACCACTGGCCCACTCACTGCTTTTTTTCCTCGTCGAGTGCACACAGCTCTCAATTGTCCAGTTGGACCTTTGTGGTCTCCGAATTGCATACAATCGGACTAAGTTAAATTCACTGTTTATTTTAAGTAACCCATTCTAATTCTGCGTTTTCCGGATGAGGAGAAAACATTGTATGCAGATATCATTGATAGTACTCTTATAATATCGCAGGCAACTTAGCTCGATTGAAATGGTGTGTTCGGTGTTTTGAAATCCCAAGTTGTTGATGAAAATGAGGTAACACAATTTGAGGTAATCCAATTCTATGTTAAATATTACAAGTGTTTTTAATGCTATGTCACTTTTGCGGCCATCCACGTAAAACCCGCCGGTCTTGGCACACGTCAAGAATGGAAATCACAATAGAAGCTATTTGATGTTGTGGAAGTCCCGGAAAAAAGTGTACAACGGAATCTGATTCAACATCAGACTTCAATTCATGCGTGCATGTTGTTGCCCATTTCATCAGTGCAAATCATGGTCTATCGAATAACCCTAGATTTCTTAGTCCGTGCTGACTGACAAACAACGGCGTCCTCTATGGAACATCGGCTTCTGGTGCTCTATGCGCTTGTAAAAGTCCTCATCGATTTGCACCAATTTCTATCTTACGCCAAATAACTTTGCATCACTTTTAATAATCACCCTTTTGATTCAATTTGACCAATCTTATCAAACCAAATAGTTGTTTCTAAATGGGATTGAACCATAACTGTTAGCTTAAGATTCAGATATATTTTATAACATAGTGCGGATGGGAATTTGTACATTAATTGATATCATTTTTTAATGCTGCATGGTCAGTTATGGTTGCCTAAAGAATTTCCGGAGCGTGTCTATGTTCAGGTGTGAAAAACCGACTCCTAAGTACTTGTTGGAGTTGTCAATTGCAGGACCATGTTTTTGTGGGGTATCAGCCCTCGCGAAAATGGCGTGACTCGCATATATTCGGCCCCGATCTGTGTTCTGCAGTGGCTTTTCTCTGCATTCGAATATAGTCTTAGAAGTGTACGCTCTAAAATGGAATTTTAAAAGCCTAGGAATAGGACCGCTAAAATGCCTGTTAAATTACATTTATTAATGATATCACGAGCATTAGGATTTGTTTTCTGATACGCTCTTGAACCACATTTCTACTTTTTCCTTGTGAGAATTTTCTCCACTGTGAAGAATGGTAAGTAATCATTGCCGTCCCGATTTTGCTGCGGTGTTCAAATAAATGGAGTTTGAAGTTAACCTATAGGAGGTTGTCAGAACTTGGCGCAAAACTTTGGTATTGTCTGAAGAAGAACAGGAACTATGTCAAACCAAGGGAACAAAGTCACCAGTGCCTGCTTTGATCGGCACAATTTGCCGGATGAGGATGCACTTGCCTTAAACCGTCAAAAAAGCAACAAAATACCTCAACATGTCTTTCATCGCTCCAAACCAACCGTTACCTCAACCGAACGCCATTTATCATTTAATTGTTTTGGCTTTTATTTAGTGATGAATGAAAATAACTCACCAAATCTTTGTAAATTAGCCTGGTAATTGATTTCTCGGCTGCCACCCCTAGTCCACCAAGGTTCGGGATGTGTCTGGTTGCGCATCGTCCTTGGGAAACTCCTAGTTCTTTTGAAGGTATGACCTTTTATTCGTGTTCCATTCAGATCGCCCCATCGTCAAGCTGTCGCCAGTTTGTGCTGCCTTCGGGTGGCAAGTCGATGAGCGCTGTGGTTGCTGTCTCCTTTGAGGGCGAACGCCCGAATCTCTGCGCCGTCGTCGTGGGCGATGTCCTTCGTTTGTGGTCACGTGGTGTGTGCGGCACTGTGAGCAGGTCCCAAGTCGTTCACGACTTCACCGACACCAAACTTTGCGCCTTCAAAACTGACGAATCGTGCATCGCCTTGGATCAAGGTCCCTGTGTACGTCCTCCACTCCGCCATGAAGTACCAAACAGAGCACCGTCAAGTCACATATCCATATCAAGGCTATTTTTTTAGTGCAATTGTGCTTTACACCTGTTTAGTCCACACGTTGTCTAATGTCCGTCCTATAGGCCTCAAGTCGTTGAATGTCTCGTGCATAGATCTCCACAATTTTGCATGTAACAAGAGACTGGCGGATTTGGATAAGTCAGGGCTAATCCATTTGGCTTCTGAGCACATTGAAATGTTGGAGACCGGTATTTGCTATGTATGGTGGAAGTAATAGTGGATTGAGGGTGAACACAATCATACCGGCTGCTACATTCTTTCATTTAACGAGCTTCAGCTGCATTTATCGCCAACCTCCGATAGCTGAGCACATTTGCGGGATTTAAGCGTCTGGTGTTTTTTTTACAAAACTTACAAACACTATTATATCCAACAGGCTGGAATCAATGCATTCTCCATGTACATAAGACCGTGAATGTTGATTGCAATATACATTAAAGTTTATGTGTTACTGGTAAAATCATTTTTTGTGATAAATCGGGGCCCTCTAGAGCCCCTTAAGTCTGTACATCTTTGGAAGCTGAGGGAGAACAAAAGCACCTTAAAGGTATGAGGTAAGCATAATTTTTATACCCGGAAGAGGGTCCACCTTCGACTACTTTATGTGCTCCAGTGCAGGAAGTAGCTACAACTCTTCTTGTCTATGTTGGGCAAACCAATTCGATGCAACGCATTGTGGAAATGGAAAGTCGTCGTCATTTCGGCCCAAACTGTGCTTATTACATTATGGACAGCAATTATAATTCGCAAAAAAACGTGTTGGTTAGACAGGCAGACTTAGGTGTTTAGGATAACTAGCTATTTAGGGGCGTCGAATTTAAAGCACTCCGTTTTACTGTATTTGGGCAGAAGGCGGGAAACACTCGTTTTGAAGACTGTTTACTGGGCTTTCTTTGAAACCACATTGTTTAAGACTGTATATTCAGTTGTGATCCTTTACTTCTAGCCTGGAACATTTCTTCTTGCAACAAACCACGGTCGCATTTTCGGCATTGATGCAACCACACCACAGGTACCAATTTTTTCCCGCATATTCGTTTTCCTTGTGCGCGTTAGTGAGGCGTCAAGTGTTAGTTTTAGGACCGCGTGTCGGCGTTTTTATTGGCCGATGGTTTCTCCACGGAAGCGACAGGTTCCTCCTTTCTGAATTCATCTGTGACGTCTGTGGAGGACAAGGATAGAAGCCTCCTATCGGGGTTAAGCCGTCGCGTCTCCTCCATTTGGTCGTACGCAACGAGCAGAGTGCCTGCTATTACTCGGAGCAATAATGAGGCGTTTTCAGCCGGGGTACGTCGTCACGTTTTCTTGTCTAGTGGGTCGCGATCTCAGTTAACATGCTGGAGTGTCTTTGGCTTAGCAAATCACTTGCCTCACAAATTGCAAAAGTTAGCTCTGGTCTCAGCTGAGACCATGTCAAGTTAAGCATTTTGCACTGACATATTCTTCTCATTTACGCACCTGTCCGTGATTCCTTGCAGTTGCATTTTAGAATAAAAGTTTAGTCGGTCTCTGGAGTTGCTTGTCACCCTACACGCTTGTTCATTCACTTGTAGAAGGTCGTGCGTTTTCTGGTGGATGGGACCAACGCCAAAACGGGGAAGTGTCGGGCCTGCCTCTTAACGCGAGGCCGCCTTGTTGTTTGGCAAATCGATGCCGAATTTGAGTGTACGGTAAGTGAATGAACATCTGTTTTTCTTTCATATAAAGGTGGTTTTCTTCATTTACCGCACATTCACGTGTCATCCAAATTGTTAATTTTGGCTAAAGACTGAGCTTAAACTCGTGTGTGTGTGTGTGTGTGTTGCAAGTTAGAGAATATGGCAAAATTAGTTTCTACTTAAATCCTCTTAGCTGATGTTAACTACGGAGCTCAATAACGACCAGTATGGTGAAGCCATTGACATGGCGTTGACTCCTCTTCTCTCCCTCTGGATTCTCTGCAAATCGCCCGGCGATAGCTCTGCAGAAGAGCCTTTGTCTCTTTTTTCTGTCGACATCAATCAAGAATTGAGCGATGCCACTCCATCTGCGCCCGTTCCCGTTGCAATCGAACATGATTCGTTGAACGTTGAATTGATCGCCCCCTTGACCGGCGTACGGACGTACCCGTGTTCACTGTTAGCTGTTTTTTCGCGCGAATCCCGCGTCATCTTCATCATCGAAGGTACTCTGAATGTCCTTCTTGAACTCATGACTCCGATGTTCTACTTTACACACTTAACGGTCAGTGGTTTTCTTTTTTAGCTCTAACAGGTAGATGCGTGTGTCAAGTCGAATTCGAACAAACTTCCCCACTCATTGGTGTAACCAGTGCTCCTGAGGGTAGTAATGCTCTGTTTGCCTTTGTGACACGACAGCGCGGCATCTACTCACTTGGCGGCGAGGATCCATGTCTAGCTAATTTGAACTGCCGACAACTTATCGACAGGCTATCAAGGTACTTAATTCAACACGGAACATTTTGCCTTTATTTGTGGTTTCAGGCTATTACAGAGGACCACTAGGTGTATTATCTGGTTTTGGTGTGGGTATAGCTCTTCCATGTCATTCGCCTCATCAGCCCCAAGCATTATCAAATCGGCAATTTGTTGCCATGGTACTGTTGCCTGACTCATCCCCTTTTTGTGCATTTTAGACAATCTTCAAAGCATTTAACTTCGGATCAGATAGACGAAGTACTCTCTAGAACGGCTGCATTACTCTGGATGGGGTACGAGGTCAGTCCTGGGGAAGTTGTTGCTTTATTTGCCGTCCTGGGCTGCTATGATTTCGATGCAATTTCAATGTCATTTCGTTTTTTTCTGGGTCGACGCCCGAGGGTCGTGATTGTCATAGTAGGCACTGGGACTCCTTTCTTATCTCCTCTCCGGCTTTAACGTTCACTGGCTGATCCTAAAGATGTTGCCCAGATGTTGTCCCCTAAAGGTTGTATAATGTCGCAAATTCTCGCCCTCCAGAATCTTATTCCAGCATGGTACTGATATTTTCATTAGGAGACATAAATCAGAATTTAAAAAAAAGTTTATGTGACGGTATATACGAGAGGGTTATGAAGCGATGAGTTCATATTTCGTGGAGTGATTGTATTAAAAATATGACCCACAAACTGACTGATACTCCCTTCCTACCCGTGTAGTTTCTCCATCCATTTTGATTTTTTTGGTTTTCCCAATTTCATTCTGCGGTTCTACTTACAAACTCTACTTTTTTTATGATAAAAGCGCTCATTTGTACTCAAGCCGTTAATTTTCATGTACCGTAAAACTGCGTAAGTTTGTAGGGTCTTAGGCCAGCATAACTGACGTTGCATGGACTCACTCAACAGTTTCCTTATCTGGCAATTACGTTTACACAATTCGCATTAAAACCTTCCCTACTTTCGCGTTCATTTAGCAAGAATCCAACGATTTGATCAGACGCTTTTTCGGCGGTTCTTCGTCGGCACATCGCGGTCTCGGCGGTGCCATTTCGACGGCGTTTTTGCGCCTCGTGCGCCGCATTCTCGACTCGCGACCAGCCAGCAGCTCCGACGCCCGTTCGCACGCCACCGCCACCGCCGCAACCCTCGAATTCGATTTTGCCCGTTCAACCGAGGGCTCGCGGTTTCTTGCCAAGCAACAGGCCATGCAGAGTCTCTGTCATCGACTCTGGCACAGCGTTGTTGCGACATTTGGCGATGCAGGAGAAAATCTAAGTACAAATGCCATTGCCTCAGAACTCTTCTCCATTACAAATGAGCACGGCCATGTTGCATCACCTGGTGTGCACCATCTTCTGAACGCCTTTCTTATTGGCGCTGAATTGTGCGAATGCGCAAACGTTTTGTACGCAAAATCTGTCCGGTAAGTACTGACGCACAACAATGAACTTTTGCCGGTCTTTATCCCATCCCACTCACCAACTTATCATTGTCAAAGGCTGGAATCTTTGTACACCCTCGGTACCTTGACTCAGAGTCGAATTGTTCGCCTTTTAGCAATCGCCAATACTCCTTTTTGAGACCCATTTTCAAGGCTGTCTTGCAGGAATCGGAGTTATCCTCCGTGAATGTCTCCCTCAATTTACTTAAACTCGAAGAAATATTCTTTCAAACGGTACGTTTGTGCTGAGTTTGACTTATCCCTGTGCATAGTGCCCATCCTCTAATGATCTCACTACGGTCCACTACCAAGGTGTTGTGGATGCACTGTTCGAATCTCTCCTTCTTACCTATTTTTTTCACCCCAGTCGAAATCCACACTTTATCAAATTGAATCGCTTTTCTTTGAAATAACACCTTCGTTTGAGTTATCAATCGTATTTTCTCTCCACAAGACACTCTCGAAATCTACTGTTGGCCTTACTGGTACCTTATAGTCTATCCTTGTGTTTGTTACGACACGTAATTACCGTGTGTATAAGCCCCTCGCTGTTATTTCTGCCGATTACACCCCAAATGCCGCTTCTTTTTCAAATTTAGGTTTCACTGATTCCAAAGTTCATTTCTAAACTTGCCGAGCAGTTGGTTAACCGTATTAAAGAATGCTTGACAGACGACACAGAGTCGACCGAGTTCGTCACGCTGGCTGCCCAATTGATAACTGTAAGTTCCGACCTCTTATTACGTGGCGGTTGTTGCGTGATAAGCGACTCCTTTGTTAAAGAAAATGCTCTGACGTCTTTAGGCAAGCCTATCGGAGGCGTTAACTTACAGGCAGAAATTGCTGCCGGCTCTCAGCTCAGTCATCGCGGACGAGTCTTCACCAGGAAGTGCCACTGATCTTTTCTGCTGGATAACTGGATGCGATGGCGTGAGAGACGAGCTTCTGAGCGTCGTGAGTGAGCACGTGTTTTCGCGTCATAGTTTTGTTGTAGCACCTGCAACACTCAACTAACATTCGTGAACACGATCGAATTGACCCTTGTCCGATTTCCTTGTAAATCCGCGTTTACGAGACGGACAGTCTTATTGGCGCTAATGAGAATTAACTGTTCCCATCCTTGCTCTGGCCACCAGTCAACCATATTGCTGTCGGCCCCATGGTATCCTGTGTTGTCCTCTCAAGCAATTTAAATCATGATCCAATCGTAATATTCTTAAGGAAAAAAATATTTCATTCCATTTAGTTCAATGCTCTGGCAGATGTAGTCGCTGAGAGTAATGAAGCCGGCCGATCCCAAGCCGATGGCTTGTCTCTAAAACAGGAATGCGCGTGCCAGGCTGTGGAATTGGCAACAATCATTCTACAGGCCGGTGATCAACGCATCAAATGGGCTCCTGACTCTACTTCCACATCCGCCTGGTTTAGTAACATTCGGTCCGAACTCATTTCTGCTGTTGGTAAGTTCGACAGTTTCTTCTTGTCCATGTTGGTGCTTCCCGCTTCAACGCATTAACTGGCGTAGAATTGTAGCGTGCTGCAACTACCACGGAACCCTTTTTCGTTTTCCCGCTCTGATCTGTTCGTTTGCTGTAGCTGAGAACCGTTAGTCTCGTCACTCGGCTTCCGCGTGTGGTTGTGAGTGGTTTCCATTCCTTCTCTTCCAAATCGTAACTTTGAGGCACAATTTGGCTTTGGCTAAATGAGACGCAAAATGTTGTGTAGCTGAGCCTAATCTTCACTCGTGTTATATAAACTGTATGAATGTATGCTGCCTCACCTTTCTGCATTTAGCTTGGCGCCTAATGCGACCCGAGGCAGCTCTTGACTTGGCCATTAGATTTGTTGACAAGGAACTGATTGTTACCATCTGCAACCACCTGGATAAACTCGCCGGAAATACCACCGATGACTTGTTAAGCAGGCGTAACTTAGGACACGCTCACCTGATTAATGCGCTCCTTCGTCTTCCTCAGGAATTACAGCTTGCCGACTACGCACTACAGGTAGTTTATATTTTCTTGAACCCAAGTCAAAGCACGCTACTCGCTCAGGGAATTCCCCGGGGTTGCATGTGTAACTTTCTTTTCGTCTTTAGTGGCACTACTCGCAGGGTGACAAGGCACGTGTGCAGTCACTTCTTGTGGCCCTACAAGACAAAAAAGAGCAGCAAAAACGACACATGTCGTCGCCCCAATCACTATTTACTTCGACAAAGCGACCACGCCATGCCTTATCCACCCACAGCCCAACCACCTACGAGGCGGACACCTCTGTCAGTCGCTTTCTTCAGCGCCGCGAGGCTAGGGATTTTGCGTGGCTTCATCAGCTCAGAAACGGGGAGTTTGATAAGGTACGCAGTAGCATATTGTGTGTGCTTGCTGGTACCAAAACCATTCACGATCCGCTTCCAGAAGAGTAGCTTGACGAACCGTAAGACACACATCGTTGTTGCACAATTTGACCTCTTTGGCTACGCCTCCCGAACTGCAAACTAGTAACGTCAATCGGCTGGTGCTGGCCAACACGAAATCAGTCGACTGATTACGAGTTTAAGTAATCAGACAGCAGTACTTCACGAGACCAATTGCCCTTTACCGCTGTCACCCATAACTACATGAGCGGGGACTTGCGAAAGACACTCCACCGACACTCCGGTGCCCGTTGCGGTTGTGCCCCCGAATTTTATGGTTCTTCGAACCCTAAGCGTAACCTACGAGACCCAGAAGTAGGAATAATATGAAACATTGATTTTCCCTGTGAGTTCTCTTGTCACAAGTGCGGTTGCTTTCCTGGCAAAGTCAAGTCTGCGGAGCTGCACTCATAGCTCAACGTATAGCCCGACTTCCAATGTTCGATCGGTGCTCGCTCTAACATTTATTTTTAAAAAAAGTGCATAACGTAGGACTTCCTGGTTCCATCTCGCATAAGTTTGATACGACATCTCAGGTCGGTAATGATGTGGACAGTCTGCTTCTTGAGTCTATTCAAAAAAGCCACAATCCATTAAAACTGCAGGGGTCCTCTAGTCAGCTTCCTCAATTTTATCTAACTATTAAGCTTGATGGAAACTAAGTAACCCAGTTGACTTAGCCAACTTGAAGATCATGCTTTTCTGTGTACCCACGTACTGTTTACTAGCGCAAAAGCCGACGATTAATTTACCTTCCCGTAATAATACCTGGACTACACTATTAGGCCCACAGAAAAACATTTTGGGCCTCAAATCGGGCTCGAACAGTCGGCGAGTAGATACAGTCGTTCAAGCGCCTCTTGCCACCACACTTTCCGGCCTCGCATAAATTGGGAGTTAAAACCACGTGCAAACCTGACGGCAGGTGAAATGTAAAGCCGCAGTAGTTCTAGAAGCAGCCTTAGACGGCTTGTCTATTTGCAGGCTGGCGCGGGTCTTTTCACAGCTGGAACGTCCGAGTGCGGTGCCCTGGGCAGACGCAAGACGCTTCTGAGCCTATCGAAACTGGCGTTCATCGCAGCCGGTCACAGGGAGCTCTGTGAGGACTTGCCTACCGACAAAGCCATACCTCGAAATTTTGTGCTGACTGATAAACACCTTGAAGTTATATGTCTACAAGTTAGTGCTTTTTATTACTACACATTGCCTCTTTATGCGCTTTTAGTGAGCATGTTTGTAACGCAAATAAGGTGAGAGCATATATTCTATTCTTGCAGTAACACTTGGCCACGTAATTTCACGTTCTACCTGTCAATTCTAAATGTTACATGCGAGGCAGGTTCCGGCCAAGTGGGCCGTGCTGGTTGCATGTCCCGCCTGTGGGTTTATTCGCCACGTCATTTTAGGAGGACTTGGTGAAGACAAAGTCACTGCACACGATCGAGAGCATGGGCGATGCAGTGACGAGTGCTGCTGCCGCGTCGGAGCCCATGACCGCCTCCGGTCTTGCTCGTTTGTACGTTTCTGAGTCAGTCTTGCGGCTGTTTTCGAGCAAGCAAGAACGCATGACAGCCTTCACCTCGGCCCTGAGGCTGGCGCAGCTGGCTGTCGATGTGGACGAGAGTGCGGACGCCGAGACAGAGGAGTTACTACAGCACATTTGGATGGAGGCGCTCAATGTGGAATCGTACGTTCTTCACATTTTAAGCCCCACTTCTGTCTCCGACCCTGTAGATGGTTGCAACAGCATGTCTGATTGAGCCCTAGTACGTATATGCTTGACGTAGTGTCCAACTTACCATTAAGTTGAACTGAGCATTGGTTTTTAGAGCATAGCTTTATACAAAACTACAGTGTCACCTTATGTTAAAACAACTGCAAATCTAGGAGGCTAAGTGCAAGCAAAAACACCCCGAGCCAGGTCCCACCAACAGCAAGTTGATTGCCTAATTTTGTTTACCTGATGGTGATTGTTAAGTCCTTTACTGGTTGCATTTTTGATTAACGGATTAACCGTTCCTTGATATTTTTAGATGGAAAGAACCCGATAAAGAGGCTGATTGCCACGGCATGTGCGCAGAAAGTTTTTTCCATTCCCTTCTTGAGCACTGTTTGCTAACTGGTGAGTTCCAATATAAGGTTATAATCGTTGGTTTCGAAGGCTAGTAGCACTCAATTGAGTGCGCGTCGAATTGTATTCAACAATATCCCAAGGTATCATATGCTTTGCACCAGTTTGTCCTCCACCGCCGATCATCAACTAGTCATTCCTATTACAACCTTTAGTCGATGCCTTTATCCATGAAGCCACCATCGAATAAGGGAACTTCTAATGAGGCGTCGACGTATCCGTGCTAACTTGTGGGCTAATTGAGCCTAAATACGAGGTCAAATTGCTTTAGCAGTATGTGCTGGCATGTTTTTCGCATGGACTCGAAATAAATACACGCTCAATCATGAGAAACCCATAACCACACAACTCGATGAGCCGATGGAAACTAGTTTAAATTTTCACTACTCATCTAAAAAATGTTGTTTTCCTTACATTTGTAGGGCAGGTTCTTGAGACTGTTTTCCCACCGATTGAAGAATTCCTCTCTCGTGTTGGCGAAGAACATGGCCAATGGCTCCGATTGCTCATTCAATACTGTTACGACGAAACTCTGCAGCGCTTTCAGCAAAAGGAACCAGTGACCATAGAAGCCTAAATTCTGAGTCTTATGAGCCACTGTGTAAACGTGTTGCAAGACTATGTAAACTTTTTTACTACCTCGATCTTTGTTGGGATTTCCTTTGAGCTCTCATCATGCAATGTCAAAATGCAAAACAGACTTCTAAGTAGTTGGCATAAGGAATGAAAACGCACGAAAACCATTGAAGTATTTTCAAGCAAATCTATTACACTGAAGCCTCGACATCCCAAGCGTCTATCATTTTTCGAACAGCTTGGACCTCCTCTCTCAAGGCTTCTCGTTCTTTTTGTTCTCCAAGTTCAGAGCACTTTTTGTGAGCTTTTTGCAACCAGTCTGCTGCTGAGGCGAATTCGCCCCTGTTTCCCTCAATCACCGCACGCATGCAAAAAAGGCGAATCAGTGGGGCAGTCGATGTCTCGTGCTGTTCGGCCAAACGGATACCTTCGTCAAGATGGTCCAAGGCGGCATTAAAATTACCTATTTGGCTTTCAAGGCTTGCCAAATCTGCGAGGAGATGAAGACAATTTTCGTGATCTGGTGCATAGATCCGTCGCGCGGATTTAAGAGCAACTACTAGTTTTTCGCGAGCTTCCTTTAGCTTGCCTTCATGAATTAGGAAACTAAGGCCATTAAATAAGCTAAGGCTTACTGGGCAAAGGCGTTTGAGACAAGTCCGAATAAAGCAATGTCATTCACTTCTTGCTCCGTAAGATCGGATTGCTGGTCTAGCTCACCCATCCTTTTCAGCTGCACTTCAAAGCAGTGTTTGAATCCTAAGAGAGCTTTTTCCGAATCGCCTAGCTTGTCGTAAATCAAAGACAGCTTTAAAGAGAGCTCCACAATGCAGGCGTCGTCGGGATCCATGCCTCCAGCAATAGACGAACGGATCGTTTCGATAAACAATTTCTCAGCATCTGTGTAGTTGCGCTGAAGTAAGCGGAGGTTGGCTAACTCGCTGAAGACACGTGCACGCCGACCCGAATGCTCACTAGGTGAAATATGGCTGGCATGGAAAGCATCAGTCAATAACTTAAGAATTTGATGGAGAGTAGCATCTGCGGCCTCGTAATGGTTTTCACGGATCTGAGCGTAGGCTACCTTCATGAGGTTTCTAGTTTCTTCCTCCAGCGTGATAGGTTGTCTTGTGGGAAATGGCCAAATCAAACACAACGCACCGAAGGATCCACCTAGGAAGGAGCGACAGTTGGCGACACTCATTTTCGGTTGAGAAATCCACCGCGATATTGATTTCGAAGACGGTAAAATTCGTTGAAAAACGCGATGAACCAAATGTTGCTGTAGGGGCCTCACCCCTATGAGCCTTCTGATCCCAAAATTAACCTTAGATAAAATAAAAAAATTGTACAATAGTACTATATCCCACTTCGTATGCTGTTGCTTAGTTCAAGGTCCATGTCCTATTCGTCTTTGCGTAATCATGTGCCAGTGACCCATATAAATCAAGCCTTTTTGTGAAGACTAGACATTTCATCATGTGCATCGCCAAATTGGAGCAGGAGACGTAAATAAATTTCAGATTACGTTCGCAAGAGCTGATATAACACATTACTTGTTTAAGAATTACAGCGAGTATTTGTCTTCTTCATGTTTTTTCCCATGAATTACGAGTTTGGCTGAGTATTAAACATTAACAGTTAGTTTCGGCTTCAATGCAAAATCTAACGACGATTTAGCAACGCTAAAACGACGTGATACGAAGCTCCATTTAACAAATTGCAAAGAGAAGGACGTCGCCAACTACCATCAAAAGGACAGTAATGCATTTGACTAATTAAAACACGCTTTGCAAAATAATATGTGTAACTACCAAAAGGTTTAAGCAATGCGTCAATTTAATGACAAACAATTTTCTAAATACAAAGGACTTGTTATGTCTAGTGACGTAAAGGAGTTTTTATTTATCTCATTTATAAAATGAATTGAGCAAACGAATAATGCAAAAGGATGGAAGTTAGGAAATAGTATACGTTAGGATTCCATGATTAGCTTTGACTACACAACAGACGCAGGCTTAGAATTTAAAAAGTGCTTATAGCACTGAATCAATTTACGGAACATGTGTAGCTTGTGCCAAAAACTTAAAAAAAATTCTACGTGTTTAGTTTTATGATTTCAGACAATAAGCTGTCTAACTTTTGCATCTCTTCTGCTTCATAACAAATGTGATTTACTTTATAGTTCCGCTCCTACATAACTGCTAGTGTACTTTCTGTAATGACATCGTTTTCGTATGTCATTTATCCTAATGCAACGTAAAATTACGATCCATGCAAATAGTTCTATCTTTAGGTACTATTCTTATTTAATTTTTACCTATTAGTGATTAATGTGCCCCAAAGCAATGCATGAGTCAATTCGACACAATAAATTACATTGAATTTAATGTGTTTGGATTTCCCCTTTAGTTTATAACTGGTAAGCTGTATCACCCGTATTTATGGTGTAATACTAAATACTTTTTAAACCACACTACATTGTTTTTTTCAATTCAGGAGAATGCACGCACCTAAGGACGGTAAGGTCAAAATTGCCAGAGCTTTTAGGAATGCTATGAATGTCGAATATTATTACCATTATGTGTGCAGTACAAGAAAATCTCGTTTAGGTAGTGTTGACCCTTGGACAAGTAAATAAACATGCCTTTGTTGATTCATTCGGATATATTAAATCTTTGCCAACTCTGCGATAAGTGAAATTGCAAATGATAAATAGTGAATACGTTTTCACTAAATTTTAGCTAATGCGCACTGTTCAGAAAAGAAAGTTAATGAATTATGTAAATTTAGAGGTTATAACCTTTTTGTAAAAATTTGGAATTGTTTTTTCCGATATTAGTCAAATTTCCTTAAATTCAAGACAACTACTCTTAAAAAACGCACGAATATAAGATTGCTTAAACTGGATTACCTGAAAAAAATTACGGTTTATAACATCACACCTGCGTTTTATTGGTATGATACTTGGTGGATTGAGCAGTTGCACCAAACTTGTTCTGTCGTCTCTTTACTATTTTTTTCGGTTACGTATTTATTTGGATAACCATAAATATGTCTTCATTAGGGTATTAAACTGAACCAAGAAATAAACGACATCAATAGTTTTGGCCTCGAAACAAATGCACAAATCATTTTACATATATCCGTCATTTTCGAAACGCAGGCATTTCAGTTTGTTGCAATACTTCATAGGTCGTCACATGTATTTGTATTTTTTGCCTACTAACCTAAATCAAATGCAAATATCCTCTCACGATTTCCCATTTTTGCACTAAAATGTCCATTTTGACTTTGTCTTATAATTTTTCATTTGTTACTCTGGTTTTTATTTATGAATAAGCCTTTTGCGAAAAGCTTTTAAGGCATCTTTAAAGCCCAAGTCCTGTTTTCGGTACTTAAACCTGCAAAATTAGCTAACCATTTCGTTGTCAGCAATGACTCAGATAGACGCCAAATCCTTAGTAGTTTTATTGAGGATAATATGGGTGCAGTGATTTTGCTATTCAACGTTTTATTGATATTTACGAAACTCGGTCACAGAAAAAGGTGGCAGAGTGACAACTCACCCAAGCAAACACAAACGTTTAATCACTTGCTCACTATACTGGTGTTTCATAGTTAGTGAGACAGTCAGTTTACTCAAATCATTATTCAGGATTATGAGTAAATGATGAAAACTGGCGTCACCAATAGTAGCTTGTGACATTAACCCCTATAATATTTGAGGGTATACTTAATGAGCGCCTACGGGTTATCGCATCAACCCAGGTTCCGAGCGACTGCGATATTAGGGAATATAAGATTGTACACGACGGCTGCAAGATTTCCCAGTCTTTGCTGATGGTACTGGAAAGGAGACTGCTAAGCTTATAAGATATGTTTCCACCAACTATGAACCCTTATCTGACCGGAACACATCTTCGAATCGAGAGAGCTTTGTTTGTAATTTCTCCTAACAGTGTCACCATCAACCATCGAACATTTTTTGTTACGAACAGAGTTGACTTTATTGGACAGAAACTCCTTTTTTAATAAAGTTACAAATCAAACTAGGCCAAACTATCAAACATAGTTTTCAGTTGGAGCTTATAAAGTCACGGATGTGTAGGGAGATATGCGCACAACCGCACGATTAAACCAATCGGTATAACCATTTGGGTTAGGGGAAAATTTATGAATTAGGAGCTTTGATAATATAATTTCAAAAATTATAATCGCAAAATAGTTGGAATGCTGGCAGACTCTCTGTAGTGCGCATTATTGCCACTCAGTTCGCGGATATTGTCCTTCTAAGGTGACCCCCGCACTGATTACCAGGTGATGCCATTCCATTTACTTTCATACCTTCGGACACAGATGCAGTCATTTGCACGTTAACTACACACGACACTTCTCGTGTTGAGACCCCGTTATCACTCACCTCCTCACGCATTCCTGGCGCACTTTGGCCTCTGCAATAAATGCGCTACTTATTAGATTGTAGATACCCCTCCCTATTCACTCAAAACATATTCCTGCGCGATATCTGATCCATTCTGAACCGCCACCGCTTAGAACCATTAAATAGGTTTTTTTCCTGCAGAAAGCGCGTAAAATGCACATTAATTAACTTTAGTAAGTTTGTTCCCTTTTAGGCGATGCAACGGAATATTTGCCACACAAACTTGGACGAAGACTGTGTCGCGATCAGAGCAATTTGCACCAACCATGTTGGACTAACTCAAATACAAAGGAACCTTTGTGAAATGACATTTATTAGCTGACATATATGTACAGTCTTAAGATAAGTCAGAATTTGGAATGATGGCCTCGAAGTATCAGATAAGCAATGACCATTCTTCATTCTTCGTGAAAAACGGGTGGTAAATGCAAGAAAGTGAAATGCATAAAAAGGCAGAAATTTGATGAAGGCAGCTACTGTCGCTTCTGCTCGTTGGAGGAGGGAGGATCAGATGTTTGGTCTAAGTGGTTGTTTTTCTTGTGATTCTCTAGGGATCGAGCCTGGCAAAAACCGCGATTGCAGAAAAGGCACAAAAAGGGTTTCTTTAGAAGGTGCGTGTAACTAAAACCAAAAAAATTCGTATTTAGATATTTTTTTAAATTATTGATGTCAATGGGTTATTCATGCTTATAGTAAGTTTTTTGCAGTTAGAAGAATAATTCTAAATAACTGTAATTTGTGGAAATATTTTAAATCCTAGCTGATAGTAAATCCTAGGCAAGGGTCTGTGGTTGGAAGAGCTTTCAAACAATGACAAATGGTTCTGAAATCTCTAAAGCGCCGGCAAGCGCCACACTAGATTAATAATGCATATCAGCGACATTTTACAAGTTTTTTTTTCGTGTTTGAACTGAAGTAGAGACAAGATCAGATTGCACCTGTGATCTCTAAGATGATCCTTTCTGCGGAATCGTCGTGAGCAGACGTTGCATTCAAAGGGACGTTCGTTGGTGTGCGTTCGCTCATGAATTGTGCGATTGTAGGCCTTCGTGAAGCCCCGACCGCAATGCGAACAGAGGTACGTGGGCGTACCGCCGCCATGGTGACTCCGCTTGCGCTGGAGACCCTTCTCCAGGGCTGCTGACGTCCGGAGTGGTTTGCGTACAGCTTGGGTGAGTCTGGGTGACATGAAACAGGTTAGTTCAACTGCTCTTTATTGGGTGAGATAAAACGCCGTTCTCTGATGATCGAGTCATAAGACAAACCAAGCCGCCAGCCATGTTACTGCCATGATGGAGTGTTTCCAGATTGCGTATAAAATGGAGCATAGATTAAAGGTTTGTAGTAGCTTGATCTTAACACTACCTTACAACCCTCTAATTAACAGCCCAAGACAACTCGAGTAGAGTGGAGAAGAGGCGAGAGCGGACACGACTGGTTTATTGATGCCAAAACAAACAAGTGGCTTTGTGTGCGTATGAGTACGCGTGCGTAACAGACGAATGCTGACAAAATCAATAACAAAAGGGATGAGTCATCGCTACACACGGGCCTTCATGCACGCACACTCGCGCGAGGCGGCTGTCAGTCCACTACAGGTTGTCTACCTAGACTAAAATCTTAGGTTTCTCCTTATTTCTCCTGATAACTCTAGGTGAATTAATGGGTTCATTGAAGAATGATAGACAGTTGAATAAGTAAATGTCAGCCGTGCTCAGCCTACATTTAATGTGCCTTTCTACTCTGAACCTCGGCAATGCCAAGAGACATGAGCAACTTGATTCACGTAGGTGAGAACCTCCCGGGCCACATACCAGAACTCGAATGGTTGAAACTTTCCATTATTACTGACTCCTCGTTCTTAAAAACAAGAGTTGGGCATTGCTGGAGGGTGCCAATACAGCCTTTTAGAGACTTATAATTGAATCACATGACAGTAAATATGTAAATCCACAAATTTTCTTCAAGACGTCAGTGTTTGGCTTAGATTTCATGTCACCTTATTCTGTTGAGGGCAGTACGATGTTCCGGGATTCACTCGAGACCCCAACTTAGCAGTAAACTATCGGATGCAAATGCAAACAAACTATTGGGTCTGTTGGTGTGAATTTTAACTTACCCTGCACACTTCATGTCCATGGGAGCAATAACTTCGCGCGCACTGCCGGGTCGAGGCATTGCTGGTGCCAGTGATAGCAGTCCTGGACTGAGAAGGTCGCACTCGGCGTTGATTGGTTGTGCGGTGGCACCAGGTCGCCACAGCCGAATGCACGTCAGCATCTGGTAGAGCTGCAACAAGGTCGTAGAAGACGCTACCAAGCGTTCAGATGAAAAACGAAATATTTATTGGACAAATGAAAAGAAAAAAATGTGAATCAAGATGACGTGATCTACTAGCGCGAGGAGCCTAGGGCAAACACCGCATCAGTGTGTTTCGCTGTATATTGCCTCTAATTACTACCGGGTAATTGCAGTTCGATGCGTTCGTGTTTCTTCTCAAGATATCAGCAGTTGATCGATTAAAAAATATTCCCATGATTTACTAGTTCAAAATTTAGCTAACAAAGTTCATGTTAAAACACTAATGCTAAGCACATGGAGATTATGTGTAAGATTTAAAGAATGGGAAATATAAAACTACTGAACTGAAATTCAGTCAGATTTTGTTACCATATATAAAAAGCTAGGGAAAAAACTTGTTCAAGCCCCATTAGTAGCGTTTATCCTTCTGAAGGCAATTTCCATGTGCCTAGACAACTCAGTTTCTAACCTTATCTCAATTTCCTTCTCATTTTATCGGCTTGTGGGTTTTGCTTTTGTTAAACCTAAACTAAGGTTTGCGCGTCAAGCCTGGTGGTGAGATCAAATCCGAGTACGTCTGCTAAGGGTGCCTTTTTTTATCACTAGGATCAATCGATTGAGGGAAGGGGGCGGTAGCAAGGACACACCAACGTGACTGGATTGAACCCGCTTCCAAAACCGCACAATGACTGATGCTATCAGTGTGTAGCCAGATGAAGTATTTCAAGATTTGCTAACACGACAATCCATTTGAGGTTAAGCATTAAGTAATTAAGGCTGTGGTAGCTGACATGACTTGTTCCACTGAACTGATAACTGAATTGATAACTTTCGCCACACAATTACAGTATTGCCACTTCCAAATGCTATTTTATTTTAAAAAAAAGGTTCTGTTCTTCTCTGGAGGTTCTACAGTCACTAAACTGTCAGCAAACTGCCTAAGCAAGGGAGTGGTCACAGTTTCTCGAGGGTTCACTTTCGACTTCAATGAAATACGCTAGACTGCATTCAGGAGTTTGGCAATTTTCCAACTGAAAAGTTTTTGTCAAATCTACAAACTTAAAATGTTTATTCAGCAAAACAAGCATTCATTACCCATCTTGCAGAAAGATTTTTGTTCTCAGTCAATGAGGCCACAAATTTCTGGCCAAATTGGCAAAAATTGCAGCAGAAATTAATTGGACCACTCAACTTAGATGGGACTTGACCTTTAAAACACGAAACTTCAGAAAGCGATACAGCAATCCCATAACTGACTAAGCAAAAAAATTCCCCCATTTCACGGGATGTTCTCTAACATTAATTAGCCTGAATGAGAGGTTCATTTATTGACACAGAGCAAATATTTCATTTTGTCGTGTCTTTCAGCAACCCAATTTTTGATGAATCACAGTCACTCATCTACGCTGAAGTTGTCTGCCGACAAATCGTTCTCGGTTGACATTCGCCTCAATTAGATCTTGTTCAGATACCTCGATCGCGTTGTTATCAAGTTCTGCGCACAGAATAATGGGTTATTATTAAAACGTAATTCTGGCATCGATATCGACGTGTCGCGATCATCAGATTCTTCGATGTCCGGCATTAGTTGAGAGCTCGGTGCACGGCAGTGTTAAGTCACGGGCAAAGACTCTTTAAGACGGAAGTTAGAAGTTGTGTACCTTACATCTGCCTGGTTTTGTAAATATAACACCGTCACATTTGAGTAGAGGTAAGCTAAAGCTAGAGTGTTCACTCCTTCCAATGCATAAAGTAGTTTCGGATTTTAGTTGACCTAAGATAGGATCTGAAATTCGAGTGCACTACAAGACGCAACTGTAGACCAAATTGGCTAACAAAGTCTCAGGATTTAGAGCAGCCACTTTGAATGAGTTCAAAGGCTTTCAAGCGTGAATACAAATTAGGGTGTCAACGAAAATCAAAATCCTTACGATTGACTGGAAACGGCGTATCCGTTTGCTGCGACTCCAGCGATGGCGGTGAAAGTAAAGGCGGCGTCCCCACGTCTTCACTACAACAGCCCTCTTCTCTTATGGCAGACTTCCACAAAGGGATGCTTGGAGGGGGCGAAGGCGAACTTTTGAAGCCGTCTTCCAGCTTTGTAACCGAAGAATTGAACGATGCTGATGAGAGACTTAGATCCAGAGGTCCCTCTTCCTGTGACGGAAGAAGCATCGGTGGACCTGGACTGGTCTTTGATTCCCTGTGTTGATGAAGCGCAATAGTCGATAGAATGTAGTTAAGGGATTTTATATATTACTTTGTTCATGGACTTAGTTAACCATGTAGATATAATAAACGACCAGTTAAAAAGTTTAAAAGTGAAACCCAACACGAAAGATGATCAACTCTTGCTCGGAGTTATGTCAGTTGGATATACTAAGGTAGCATGAACTGATGATGACAGAAAAATCGTCCGTAACTCACGCTGTTGCCTGCACCATTGCCCCAATGCAAATGACTGGGTCATTGAGGCACGTTGTTCTTATATGGACAAATCCCCTTTACACCAGTAAGATTAGGGGACTGGTGATTATGCTAATCACTCATAAATACACGCGCGAGGATCGAGCCTGGGCGCCAGGTGGGTTGCCATCTGCCAGGGGAGAACGGGGGATCCAGAGGCCCGTTGGGGGGGGTGGAGTAGGGGCGAAGGGGGACCTGTTGCACGATCGAACGTGTTCACCGTTGGAAGCAAAGACAGACTTCTCACCATGCCGTCTGCCTAGCTGATAGCTTAAGACTCATCGAAAAATAAAGGGGAGCCCCGACTGGCCTGGGCTCTGAATTCTGTAGATGTCTATTCAGTTCGATGGCCATATTTTAAGCTATTATTTCCGCAAGGTTAAGTTCGGGCTAGTACAACGGTAATGTCATTTTACTATCCTTCATAGAATTTGTTAAAATTTTGAGTATTTAGCAGTCACAGATGGCACCTTAACAAATTTATATTCAAACAAAGGCTAAATTCACGAATCAATAATTCCTTATTTCTTTATGATTAATAAAGCCTATGTAAGAGGACATTGATTCTGTCCCAACTTGATTAAAGGGTGCAGATTTGCCATAAAAAATTCGCACTTTCCTAATCCAATGACATGGACAAAAATGTCCGCCTGAACAGTTAACCATGGCTTCACCAAGTAAGATGTTACTTACAACAAGTCAAACAGGGTTACATAATTCTCAGATTAAAAACTAGCCATAATTTAAGCTTGTCACTAGTTCATGAAGGTTACAACCAAAAAGCTTGTGGGGTATGGAGTCCGGTACCAACACCCCAGTGACGTGATCGAGAATCCCCACTGTGAATTGAATCAAATTATCGATCGGCATTGATTTGAACTACCGCAATTCTCAGTAAGACTTCCGACTTGCAGTTTTTTTGCATTCAGGCCAACAGCTCAATTCGGAAGAAATGGTAACATTAAATTCCCAAAAATTCAGCTGAAAATGATAATAAATATCAAAGTACTGCTAAAATCCAAATAATTTCAAGTGAAATTCAAAACCTATGAATTAAATTTGCCAACGTAACTATTAACTAATGTGGAAACTATTATTCGGCTGATGTAGACCATTTTAAGACGAATAAAATTTTCTGAAATCACGGTGGATTATAAAAAAAACGGGTTGTTAAAGCGGATGTCATTAATTAGTTTGCACTGCGAAATTTTTATTGAATGTCACGCTTTTACTAGCGCAAAAGCTGTTGTTGCAAAAATTAACACAGGGTTGCAGGCAACTAATTTGGGGAGTGTGTTTTTCGTGCTTCTGTGCAAAATGCTTCCAGTTTTCAAATTAGGTTCACAGCCAGCAATGAGAGCATTCGTATTTCAAATACTCAGAGTTGATTCAAAAGTGGAAAAAGTTCAGTGTTACCGAAACATAAAACATCTTCCCAAATGAAGCCCATCGTGCCGCATCCAGTATGAAAAGGGGTAGGCTTTTGTGAAGTGGATTGCTATTTCGAAAATAATTTGATCAGATACCTGAGCCCCACCACTTCTGATGGAATCCGATTTCTGACCACTCGAAAAAAGGGACTTGCTCTCTCTGCCTACTTCATCGTAAAAGGTATTTAGCTTGTAAATTTAGGATTAGACAGACTGGCCTGTGTGCGTAAACGTTTTTATTGCGTGAATTTTTGCTAACACATCATTGAAATTATGATAACTTAAATTTAACATGTTGTGTTTAAAAGCATTCCCCGTGAATTGTTTTGGAAACACTCTATCAAGTTTAGCATTAAATTACTGATCGAAAGGGGAGGTTGAGAAGAGCTAGAGGCCGTTAATCGGGTTGGTGAATGGAAAAATATAGTGAATTACTTGCGTGTGGTTGAGTATGCTAAGACTGCCTCATCGTATCCCAAAGTGACAAGTGTCGCGATTTCAGAGTTGAGCTACACCTCCTGGTGACTATGCGATTTTATTCAGAAGCTCACCTTTCATACTCCATGAACTGCCTTACCTTTGGGGATCAGCTCTAGTCCTTATCGCTGTTAATTTTTCTAGCTTGAATAGCAGTGCATATTTCGATGTAATAAAATATCAGGTTTTATTAGTGTAAGTAACAAGTTTATAGTTCCAAGTCAGATGTCAAATTTGACAAATGTTTGAGGGGTCATCGATTCGGTTAAATTTTTATGTCTACTCAAAAATTGTGATATTTATTTTGTTTCTTGACCATGGCGCTTCAAAGCTTTTGTGCTCAATTAGCCAATAGGATGTGACCTTTTATCGAAAGTTGTACGTGGTGACGCCCTTAAGTAGCATTGAAAATTGGTTTTGCAGCCAACTTTATTTGCGTCTAGAACACGTTGGAATGCACCAATATTACTTTGGAATCCCTGAAACTGAACCCCAACTCACTGGGCAGATGGTATACCCTCATCGGCGTGTTTTCGCTTATGCAAATGTGCAGGGGATTGGGCACGGAGGTGACGTGGAGGAGCACTCACAACTGTCGACACCTGCGCCAAAAACCGCACACACACGCACGCACACACACGTACATTAGCATTTTGTGGAACCGTTTATCCCAGTGACCCTACACGCACACACTCTTGCTCCTACTCCCTGTCCCAAACCACTTCTATTTTCCTTAGCAACCATTGTTTAGGGCGACCGTGTGTGTGGATTCTTGCATAATGATGACGGTGCCATGGCGCCTTGGCGACCGAATTCGGATTACACGTGTCTCAGACAGGCGGATTTTTGACACCTTACCAGGTTTGCTTTAGTTCTACGTAAACACAGTCGCAAAAGCCTGCGTTGATGCTTCCTGGGTGGGAGTTTAAGTGGGGTTCCAAAACCACACCGGGGCCCACTGCAAGTTAATTTCTAAAATCGCCACAGGAGTTGAAAAATGCACAAATCATGACAGGAACTCCAAGTACATGTTAAGTTTTGTGGCTTAAACGTTACAAGGAAGAGCTTTTACTGCTATCAGTCTCATTTGCTGTACAAACGACTAAGACAAACCATGCATCCCTTCTGGGCTTGCGCTAATTTTGATAAATCAAGAATATGCCAGTATATCGTGGGACGATTGTGTGATGTGATGTCGCATTCCCGTAAAGTCTAATTACTTCTTACCTAACTAACTCACGACACGAAAGATCGCCTGTGATCAATGATACAATGGCAGCGGTCTCAAGCACTTAACGGCTACTGTGTCTGAATGCAGGTAAAGTGACAATTGAAAACTGACAAATGATTTGTTTGACAACGTTGTGCGTGCCTGGTTTTTTTTAAACAAGGCATTAAGACTGCAATCTGTCTGCTTTAGCATGTTTAACCCCACACCAGGAGTTAGACTGACTTTAAAACTCACTGTGGATCAGAAGAGCCAGTTTCGTTTCAATTTTGAATAGCGCAATGATGCCAATGCGAAAACGATTGTGAGATTAAGCAGTTAGAAGGGCACATAATGGCAAGGGTGGGTGAGTTATCCGCATTTCAATCAAGTAAGGTAAGGTAGCGCGGCTCTGATGCGGTGGGAATAGCACCACAAACAGCCAACTGTGATTCGTAAATTTTCCTAATAACAAAATTCACGCATTCCCGAGATTCCATAACAAAAAATCTAAGATTCCTAAATTTGAGTGTAAAAATAGCTTAATTATTCAAATTTTCTTGAAATGGTTGAGTTGGGTGGAGGAATATGGGAAAGAAGCTGCATAATCTAGCTGACATGAATCATTTTGCATGTTGGAGTCTGAGACTTTAAGAAATACATCTTTCTACTTTCTATTTGTGAGTAGTGATATTTGAATTAGAAGTGCATTGAACTACCTCCAGATCTAGCGAGACGCCGAAACGATCTCATGCCAGACACTGCAAGTAACCGAAAACAAGCAAGTGAATGTGTGAGCTGTCATTAATCTACTAAGCTAGGAATAACACAGCTAAACTACAATACTTACATGCTAGCCACTAAAAAGAGCCAATTAGAATATTCGGTTTGGTTTTTTATAAAGAAAAGTACTACTCTAAATTCAGCTACAAATTGAATAGGTCCGAGAATTGTATCTGGCGTTACCTAGGTCATTTTGAAGTAATACCACTATTAAACTATTAAAAAAGGTTGATATGCAAGGCCAAAACCCAGCCTGCTAAAATTGGTAGATGAGTCAGCCCATGAACTGATTTCATGAAATAACCTGACCATGGGTCAAGCGTTCAATTACAAATTAGGCTCATTCACGAATGTACATTATTTTGAATGGGATAAATTACCCAATGGATTGAATTCACATTGCTACACTGAAAGGACAAACCAATCCAGAAACATAAATCATTTACGAAATAGGTGCAAATTTGAGAAAAGAAAGACGTTACAAAAAATTTTAATTAATTTGCAGACTTGAATAAGCTTGCCATTAAATTACGCGAGATATACAATTATATGTGTCTGTCTACTGGTTGCCTCTCAATTCAAACCGAACATAAATAAAACAGATTTACTGGAAATATCTTCCAAGACTTATGGCATAAAACCGGAAAATCTAACGTGTTGTAATAAGCAGAGCACTTGTATCAGAAAATGGATCTTGAAAGCTAACAGGTCCTAGAAACAGAATTAACAACATCCCTGAAGTGACTGACATTGACTGGGGAAATATGAGTCCGCATATCATTTGAAAAATGTTCGGGACCAAACACTAACAGGCTTTGATGCATTTAGGCCTATAAACATGAAAGATGAGCACTGAAGCGTGCAAACAAAATGCAACGGTGACCAATTTGAAAAAGATAGGGTAAATGCAACAGAAACTTAATGCCACAAATTTAGTATTAGGAGTAAAGTCAAAGCAATGTAAAAGTTACCGTTTCATTGATTTTTATTGTAAAAAAGTTTTGGACTTACACTGTTACTTTTACTTCTATGTTTTCCGAGTTGTATATATCTTCAAATCATCTCTTCAACCTAACAAATTCAACAGAAATAATATTTGGGAAGCTGTCTGTGGTCTGAATTTTAACACTAACCTCACACAAAAATGTAAATAAATATTGGAACTAGTTTCGAGCTCTATAATTAAAAGTAGGACAAAGGAGTTTATGAAGCCAAACTTGAGGCATACAAGAATAATTAGGTTCCAGGCACTCCGTCTAAATTTTTGTTTGATAGATGAACTACGAAGATACGAAAGCTTTGTGTAAAGGGTTAACCAGGACCCACTGCACAAAGTAATTAAACAAAAGGCCCGTTGTGTAAATAAATGCTGATTACGTTTTACCAATATATTTAAATTACTTCATAACATATATTAATAACTCCGCCAAATTCGTATGAAAACCCTTGAGTAGAACAATGAGGAACTAATTACTACCGAATAAAAACTATTGATAAATTGGGTTCTGGACTTTAATATGCCAAATTTGCTTATACCACAATTGTAAAGGTTTGGCAAAAACATGAAAGTTCCGAACACACACTTAAACTAAATACATCCGTGATAATTGCAATTTAAGAAAAAATATAGTTGAAAGAAATATTAATGTACAACTGACCTTTATTCTGTTTGATGAACATAGAAAAAAAGCGGTCTCTTCAAATTAGGTTCTCAAACCGTAGTTATTTAGGACGAAATTTGGTGGTCAGCGACTGAAAAATAAGTTAATAGCTTTACTGCATTTGCTGCTATTTTATACTCGGTACTAAATAAAATTTAAGATGACCCAATTTAATGATGGACCTGTCGGGATGCGTCGAATCACAAAAGTGGTCATAGGCAAAGCCTAACTCAAAAAATTATATGCATAAGTATCTTTCGGGTGCTCTTTTAATATTTGGGTGCTACCTCACCACGTTTGCAGTTTCATGTTCAAAATTATATAACATGCACTCTAAAGAGATAAATAGAATAACGCGAAAATTGTGAAGTCAATCCTATCTGTCGTCTTTCAATTTGAAAAGGGCCAATAAATATCTGCACTGCTTTATGAAATTCACATCCCTTTTAAATTAAAAGCTAAAATATTTTTTAGTTTTAAAGACATTTCAGAACAATTTTACTAAAGAGGTGAATTTATTTTAATCTTAAAATTACGAATGCTTCTGTATTTTAAGTGTCTCCACAAATGCGCGTATTTTTAATTGCATCAGCTGGTGTTTGTGAATGTGTAAAGGCGTGTTACATTACTGATATGGGTTGACCTCTAAAAAGTCATGATAAAGTGGCGTTTTGCATTCGTGCGGATTTAAGTACAGCAGTCGTAAATTCGCAATAATTGTCAGTTCTGTGGTGGCATTATATCCTAAAGTTAAATAGATAATTGTAATGTAGTGCAAACTGGCTAAACAAATGTTTGTTACCCACTCTGCTGCCTTTCGGGTTGTTTGTTGGCGTCAGTGTGTATTCAGAGTCATCAATGCTCGTACATTGTTTTCTCCCTAATTGTTGTTTATGATAGTGCAACCAATTCCCTGTGATATCTTTTTTCGGTTTAATCAATAGTAAAACGCAAACATTATTTCACAGGTTTGCTCTAGTTGCCTGCACGCAGAAATCAATTTTACCTGGCTTCGTCGTCTCTGTCTTTACCTAATCTTTCGTATTCTACCAGCGCTGTTCTATTACTTAAAACCTCAAAAAATCTGGGGCCAAAAATTTGTTTGGCTTGAATGACTGTAACCATTCTTGTTTCGTGGACGTCAACGCTGTCAGCAAAATTCGTCATTGAATTTTTTCGAATTCGTTTAGTCCGTCAAGGTGGTGTACCCGAAATATTGCTTACAATCGCTGGAAATTCTGTCAATACACAGTTCTGTATTGACAAGGAGCACTGTCTGAGATCCATAGCAATTTGCTACATTTAAAGGTAGTTTAGGCTGTTAAATTGACTAGTGTTAATTTTCTTCAAATAACAAACTTGAGATAGTAAATGAAGCTATCCTTCCATGTATTTATGCCTAAGAACATTGTCTCCGTGGTGCTATGGTTAATGCTTAACTATGTCTGTCCAATAATAGCCGTTATGGGGGGCTGAATTGCATGGGTTTGTATTCCTTGTTGCAGCTCAATATTTAAAATTAGTTCCAAATAAGTTTCAGTTCATATACTGGTTTCTTTCTAGGTCTAGAAAATTGAAGTCATGTTTAGTCGTTCTGCCAAAACCGAAGATGATTTACTCCAGTAAGCGCAAAGTTAATGTGTTGACAGTGCTTTGTTAGCGAACAAGCCAATTTTTTAAAGAATCCTCGTTCTGATCGGCTCGTAACTACTGTTGCGAGCAAAGGTCGGTCCCCTCGGAGTGCTTACATTGACGAAACCTCCTCGTTTCCAATTGCTGCCATAAATCCTGACGTCGTCGTAAGCTCCCCACTTTGATTCAGCAACCTATTTGAGGAACGCGACTTTTGTCCCGATAATGAAGATTCTCAGAATGAACCGCTATGCTTGACTAGTAGCCTTCCTCACGTGCCCCTTCTGAGCGAAACCATAACTGACGGCGACCTCATACGAGCAGCTGGTCGTTTGAATCCGGAAACCTACTCTGAAAGAGGAAGGACTAAGAGCCTCTTTGCTAAACAGTTGCTAAAAACCAGGAATGGCGGGTGTTTGTCGAAAGAGAAGATAGCCCCTGTTTCTAAGGGGTCAAAGAAGTCTGAACGTGAGCAAGAACAGCATAATGTAGTTCTATTTGTCTATGTTTTTTTTGGTGTTTCCGTGAAGTTTTCGCCTCAACGCATACGCTTACAGAACTGGTATAGCCTCGGCTGCTCGCCTTGGGCACACGTATTAAACACATCGAGTAGAGTCTTGGCAGTTTCGGTTGTGTAGATTTGGGTCTGATTGCAGGTCCGTTTGTAGGGATGTATTTTTACTGACCGCCGACCTTTCTTAAAGTTGTGGATGAGTGGTAAAGTGTTGGTTGTGTTTCACTTGAGAATTTGGTGAGGCGGACCGACCGTGGATCTTCTCCAGATTATTGGCACTTGTTTATGCGCAGTCTTCTCGGGTTTGTCACATCACATTTAAGTGACCTTGCTTTTCTCTTTGTTAGTGCCAGATCCAATCCGCTTGTTGGCAGACACTGGGCCAGTGACCATTCGAGGCCAGGGACTTGCAGCCAACGAGGTTGTCCGAATCCACGAAAACAATATCAATTTACTGTCGCAACTGTCTGCCGAAGAGATAATGAAGGAACGTGAAGCCATCATAGCATCCACAGGTTTGATTAACAAAGTCGTAACTTTAATCGTCAGATTAAAGGACAGCTTATTTCCTTTTGCATGACTCCTTCGATTTCGTACAAGCTCATTTCAAGCGCAATTTTAATAATGTTGTTTCCAAGTTTTTATGCGAATTCTTCGTAACTTGTAGATCCCAAAGTCATCTCCTTTCTCATGCACAAAAGATGTGAGTTTATGATTGTTCTAATCTACTGATTTCGCTTATGCTCGAATCGCGTGTGATAGGAAGACGTAACCCATTAGAAGCCATGCATCAGCTATCGCACTGATGCATCGTTCGCGTCTGCTTACTTTTTGATCCTAAATAACTTGATTCGGGTTTTTTCAATTGTCACGTATTGACTTTTGTGATTACCGTTTTAGCTTTTCAAGGGTTTTACATTTTACTCGTCCACTATTGCAATCTTAACCGCAGTTTGAAGCTGGCGTGTTTTGATTCTGATTAACCTAGTCTAAGACTAGTGGTAATTTCAGGGTGCACAGGCTCAAAAATTTGTGACTGTGTGCAAAACAACAGAGTAGCCTTATGAGTTCTTATCTAAAATAATCATTTGCTTTTCTACTGCTAGTTTGTGTCCCCGAAATCCTTCTGTGTAGAACGGTTTCGTAAGTTATTGCTTTCCAGTCTGGTCGGTCCCACATGGCATTATTGTCCTAGTTGTTCTAGTTCTGCAGCCATCTCGCATTTCTCATAAAAATAATTGTGTTTAACGATAGCGCCAAACATCGGTGGAATGTCCGAACACCGTTCAGATGCACCCGAACACGACAAATCCGACACCAATGTCCACTCGGTCCTCTCATCTCTCGGTATCGACGAAGACTCCACTTTTCCCCACATGGACGTGGTGGAACCCGAGAAACTCGCGTGGATGCAGGATCTCCCGAAGACTGCCAAATCTGCACCAGATGTAAAGGTAACATGCACACACCTTCCTCATTAATGCAATACTGCCATCTTTGTATCGTTTAACAACCGTTCTTTGCATAATTACCATTTTGCATAAAAGTTCTTAGTGTTTTCATGGACTACTCTTATGAAGCCTGTGAAATACGGTATTGGTAGTAGTCCGACTGTCTTGAACTGCTGCATCTGAAATGCGCGTCTCGTGTTTTTAGTCAGCTGATCCCTCCGAGAAGCCGTGCAATGCCAGATTTGACCTCGAAGGACGAGTTGTGCCACCGAATGCCGACATCCCGACCCATCTTGGTTTGCATCACCATGGCGAAGAACCAGAAGTAAGTCGTGCTGCAGCAACTTTCTAAGGCTAATCACGGCTGATGCGGGCATGGTTGTCTCATCCAAACAAAGCGTAAATTAATGAATGCTAACTGTGAAGCCGCGTTCGGCTTCCATGTCAATCTGCCTGCGTTTAGTGGACCAGGCAAATCCATCAATACGTGCTTATTTTCACTAGCTCTTTCTCGTCTGACTAGTTGGGTTTCAGTACGTTGTGTGCCGATTTAAGTAGTATTATTCGCAATCGAAAAAAATTAGCCCCAAATGTCGGTGGTGTTTTGACGTATGTGAAAGAACGCTAGAGGTTTTTCTGAGTGACCGTAGTTTGTATTTGAAGTTCTATTCCCCAGACTGAATGTATTGAGCGTTCTTGAAAGTTACCTCCTTATACCGCGACTTGTGAACCCTCAGCTTCGTTTTGTGGTAAAAGCTTCCTGTCGCATCCCCACTACGCAGTCAGTAGCACAACTTTAGCATGGGCAAACTGTTAGGGAAAAATCCGAGATCACAATCCTGAGTAACTCACAAACGGTTGTCCACAAAAGGCTTCTCTGAGTTGTAAAGCAGATAAAAATAAATCAAAAGTCGGAAACGGGTATATTTTCTAACACAACCTTGAAGAATCGATAAAATGTATTCCAAGCTAAAGGTGTATGAAGTATAGAGTTACTTCATAAAGAGAATGGTTTAGGCTTAACGAAGTAACATTAGTAACTTCTATTCATTCACGGGCGTCTTTTTGAATTTAATTTCTCATTTTAGAATGACTTTTTTCGAATTATTTTTACTTTTCTGTGCAGTCAATTTACAGGGTTGATGTCTAAGCACGCTGCACCTTGGTAAAATGAGACTTTAAAATCACGGTAATTCTTGATTGCACTTACATATCAACTGTTTGGCTAGACATAAAGCCAAGCACAATGTAGCGTTTGGTTAATCGTGGTTTGCACATTTTGCTTTATGACCAAGGGATGTTGTCGGTAACTGTGCACAGCTGCACTGTCGAAGGTGTTCCCACACAATCTAGGAAGTGATGACTCAGGAAATTTAATGGCTGTTCGATCAAAAAACTCTCTTTTTCGGCGCGTAAGAATGTTCTTGTCACATAACAATCCTGGCAAAAGTTCGTTGTTATCTTTGTGCGAAAGTGATCCCGCCCACCTACGAAGCACTCAAGCGCCTACGCCCTGGGCTGTTCGCACTATTTTGAATTTCTGTTCTCTCAATGGATCCTGCTTTTCAGAAGTCCAATCCCGCTAAACCCGTGTTATTTCCACGTCTTAATTAACGTCGCTGTAAACTTCGTTAGGTATTTGCTTTGGTTGTCCCGGATAAGCTTGTAGTAGAGGTAACTAGCTATTTAAGGAGAATGGTAATTTTTATGGTTGCTAACACCGCAACGCTTCTTTGATTCCTCAGCGGCCACAAAATCCACCTGTCAAATCACACCACCCTGTTAATTTATCTTACGATGTTAATGGTGTAGAGCTGTGAGTTGAATCGACCTCAGATCTAAGCAGTATCTTGTTCGTGAGGGCTTCTCACTGCAGACGTTCACGTATTACAATAATTCCGAAACAATACAAATCAACTAAAAGTCTTTCCTCGATTCAAATTGTCCGATTAACACTGCGTTTCGGCTGTTTTGGTCACTTTTTGTAAAGGTGATGTACAAGGACGTGTGTGGGTATTTCTACACACAGGCATTTGGTGATTTGCCCAGGTCAATCTACTGAATCTATCTAAGAACCCAATTACTTTGTATAAACCTTTTTGTGCTGCTGAAACTGCCTTGTTGTAAATGGACCTTATTAGTGAATGTGCCCACACGCAAGATATTTCTTCTCTGCTAAAGCGAATGGTGATGATGGTGATTATTATGAGGAGGAGGAGGAGGAGGCGGCGGAACATTTTCGGCGTGCCTACACAAAGCCCTGCACGGTGGTAGCAAATTGCAAAGTCGTAGGTCGCCATCTCTGACAGTGAAGGGGAGCCTACGTGATGTTATCACGTTGCCGCTGCTATTTCGAGGACATTTCGGCGCTCGAAATTCATGGGACTGGCTAGAATCTGCTAAATTTAGCAAAAAACCGGTGCTCTGAGACGCTGATGTGTAATTTCGAGTTAACCAACCACTACAAATGGTGGTTGTCATTCCCTGTGAACAGAACAGGTCTGGCTGTGGCACACTCTAGACCACTTGCACGAGAACGTGTCTGTTACCTGTTCGAAAGCTGTTCAAATGTCTAGGTCCATATGTGAAATGGGATGGTGTTCCTCCGGAAATGAGAAAATTCTTGACAAATGCGTCTGTTGGTGAATCGGATTTCTGTTTATACTTTGTAGGAGTAATAAATTGATTCCAAATGCGAATATTCTTACGCCCGAGACGTCTGAGAATTTTACCGTGATTTGTAAACCCTAGTTACCATAAACGTAACAAACTACTTGGAGAATCAGTAAGACGAAATTCGTCCGTCGGACGTTATGGAGACCTATCAATAACTGTTTCCAACTGACAATTTAGCGTGGAGGCTACACAATCGACGAGATCTTTCACCTGGCATCTTCTACACAGCCCTCCCAACGTAGAATAGCCTTGTCGTGCCTCGCTTCGGCTTTGGCGGCCTCGCGTCGAGGTCGCCACGGGGGAGCCCTGCAGACGTCCAGCCTTGTATCTCCCCTCCTGTCTGCGCCCGCGGCAGTTTGCTTCCTTTTGAGGTGGTCACTCGATAAAGCGGTCAGTGAGGTCACTCGAGTGGGTGCTCCCGGCGGCAGTGGTGGCGTCTCTTTGGCTGTTGTTTGTGAATGTCTGCGAGCACTTGACAATCTTCTCTCTGACGGCAAAGGGGAGGTGGGTTTCGCTCTCAACTTTTCTGTCTAAATTTGTTTAAATCAGGTGTCTGTTTCTGGTCTCTGATTTATATCAGCTCTGCGGTCCTGAATTAACTGGTGGGTCTACTGAGTCGGAAATCTCCAACTATTTGTTTCCACAATGGCAATTTTCACAGAAATGTCTACCATTTTGTTGTGTGTTGCAGATTCTTCTGGATGAGACTTTTGAATGGACGCCCGAAGTTCGAGCCGTGGGTAATTGTCGGCCTTCGTTGATGAAGAAGCCGCACAAGTTCCACCCACAGCCCTACTCTGACAGCGAAATGATTGGCGAGAAAGAAAAAGACACCTCAGACCACGTCTCACTGATGGCCGTCGATCCTGTTGCCTGTCTGTTCGAGACGACAAATTTGGCCTCCAGATTCGCGTGGATGTTGTCCTCAGGCTTGGGCATTCAGTTTCCACCCGATGTGGTTGCTCATTGGCTGCCATCGATTTTGCTGAAAGGCGTTCGACACTCCCTTCCCTTGGCTTCAAAGGTCGGTGTCATTGCGTCAGCCTTTTCTTGTTTTCATCTACCCCATCCTCCCGAAGAGCCAGCCTTTAAAGCAGCTCTATGCCAGTCCTTAATTTTAAATCATAGCGCACAAGGAATTTAGAAAACATGCTGATTGTTGTAGTCTTAGTAACTGTTTTTCTTCATTGCTCTTTTCAGATTTTCAATACACCAAATTTAGTCGGTTCGCTTATTGAAACTTTTTTACCAATGACGTGGGACAACGCCGGTCCGCTAGCGCAGGACAACGACCAATTATCGGTTGCCTACGGAATCCCCTTGCCTGGTGTGCTAAAACTGATGCGTGTCTTTGCCCAGCGGAGTCTTAGTCAAAGAATCACATTGGTAACAACGTTTTCGGTCTCTTTACTAAATGCTAATGGTCACTTTTTTTCAAGGTAAACAAATGGAATCTTGTAGAACGTTGTTTCGCATATCTGTTGCCAAAAGCGTCATCCGGCGTACTTGATCACCTCCCCTCGGCTCTTCCAACAAGGTTTCGTGTAATGCTCCAAGTGGAGTCCCTTCGATGTCTTTCGGTGTGCCTTGAAGGCGTGGATCCTCCTACAAAAGCAGTCGAAATAACTAGGTACTCCCACAGCGTCCTTGTATGACCGCTGCGTCACTTCCAACTTTTTCCTTCTTTAAACGACATCCCTTTTTCCTTACTGGACACCAGACCTTGTGCGCAAATCTTCGTGCTTGGGTTCCAGAATCCGATTTGCGAATGAACATTGTGTGTGCGATTTCATTGACACCTCCTGGGCTGATTTTGTAGTGGAAATGCTCTCAAAGAGATCGTAACGTATTTTTTAGGTCAACCCTGCATAAACTAGTGGAAGCTGGGACACGTGTGCATAAGCTGACCCTTGATAAAACATCGTTTGAGGGTCTGGAGGCACTCTGGTTGGCCTGGCTTTCATTTTTCGCCAAGGCTGTTTTGCCGCGATTCTCAGAGCAAGTTCCCTCTTTTTCTTGCTTGCGTTTTCTTAACTGCTTTTCGTTCTCTTAGTTTGCTGTCTTCTCGTGCAGGGCTCTATCAAACGCGCACGTCGACCAGGTTAATGTTTGGGCAAACGACGCCCTTGAACAGGCTGTCAGTGTTTTTGTCTCAAAAGAAAACACGAATTCGCTGCCAATAAGTGTTAGTCAGCTATTGTCATTCTTTTTTGCTTTCTTGGAAACCTCTTTGCCTCATTGCATTATATTTGCTCTCCTTTCAAAATAGTTAACGGAAATCCCAGGAACGTTGCCGTCACTTACTACCACTGCCTTCGAGCTCATGTGCCTCCTTGGCAACCAGGGTCTTGTGAGTTTTTTCCGACGAAATTTCAAGATTTCAGTCCAGTCCTGTCTACCCAGTGGGGGGCTCTTATTAAGACTAAATTTGTGTTCCGAAAGATGCCCTGCGGAAGCTCTTAGTTGGAAAATACCGGCACTCAGCGTTCTCATCACTTTCCAACATTTAGCCATTCCTTCAAGCGACAGCTCACTTCTCTGGATAAGTGGGTGGTACCGTTGTTCGACGCACTTAGAGTATCATCTAATTTCTTCTTTAGTAAACCCCACCTGCCAGTGCGGTCTGCAAAACGACTGTTTGGTAATTTGTGCATGTAGATTGTGTTCAAATAAAACAGAATGCGTATTCCAGCAGGAGACGTCATTCTGCATACATGCGTCAGGTCCACCTCAGGCGTTAGCTGATTTAACGCATCATCTACCCCTGTGATGGTCTACACACGGAACTTTTAACAAAGTTCAGTAGTTACATAAAATGGACATGTTAAGCAAGTTATCAGTCAGGCTTCTTGGAGGGCTTTGGTTCTCCAGCCTTGTCCAAGAAATTAGATGATGTGGATCACTTTGTATTTCCTTTTACAGGTAACAAGGCGCGAACAAATTTTTAACGGATCGACGTGGAACGCCATTTTTTCTCACTTCATAAGGTGGGTTTCTAAATTAATTGCTGTCATGTGTGTGTGTGTGTTTAAGCCGAAGGTTTTGAGCATTTAACTGTAGCCATTGCTGATTCTTATCTAAATACCCTAATGCCAGACATCAAACTGACTACGGTCGGTGGGTGTTTGGGGATGGGAACATAACTGTCATAGCGGTCAAACCTTTTGCTCGTTTTTGATAGGCGAAGATTCACGCTTCGCCTAGAGCACGCCGAAATAAATCTTGACAAAATGCGCATTTTGTAATCAAGGTATCAGTCGGTGCTCACTGGGTTTCCCGGGAGACCTTCCCACGTAGACGTCGTCAATCCCATGTACTTCCCCTCTGACAATGCAGAGCCGCCGTCCTTGCCATGGACACGCCCCGACGTTGAACTCGACGATGCCCTCTTGACGCCGATCACCGTCTCCGCAGCCACACCCTGCCTGCCTGATCTCGGCATGGCCACGTGCCTGCTCTACCGCGGTGAAGAGGGTGCCGCAGCCACCTTGCCCTGCCTGTGGTGGCCCCCGTCCACGCCAACTTACCCCGTTGCGGTTGTCGAACCTGTTGACTTGGCGACTTCTCTAGAAGCGAAATCGCCCAGTTTTTTGCCGCTTATTGAGGCTGCTGTAAGGTGTTGTGACTTTGCCAAGCTGATGCCTTGGTGTCAGCGACTTGTTCGACTGAAAATCCCACCAATCATGGCAAAGGGGGCCACCGCTCTGCCCCATGGACTGTTAGCCATCGAAACTGAATTGATGGGGCGGGCTCTCTTGAATGCATTCGTAAGCTCCCGCGACTTATTTACAACCCTAAATCTCTCAGTTTCGTCTTAGTATATTGCATTCAGACAAGATATAACCCATGACATTTTAATGTTCTAAAGACTGCGTATAGTGTAGGGTCTTTTTTATGTCACCTTTTTCACGGCTAGCTCGTGCATTTTTTAAATGTTCCTCGAGGATCATATCAAACTAGTAAGATGTTCCACTTTTACTTGTGGTGTTAATTGACGAACTCCTGTTGAACTATCTTGTTTCTCTTTGTTTATTACGAAGAAAGCTAACTCAACTGGTGCCTCAATTTTCATCTGACTTATACTTCAAAAGCGGATGTCACTCTGGCAATTTAAGCACAAATAACTCCCGTTAAAAAGGACAAATAGACGTGTTTTGCTCTGCATTAGAACTTTTCCTCATTATAACTGTCAAGTAAAGTGCTCTCTATGGTGGGCAAACTAAGCGAAAAAGGACAAAGCTGCAAGACCACAAGCAAACAAGATGAGTAGGTCTGAGCAAAATTGCATTTCGTCCTATTTCTTGACGTCACCCGTGTAATTTCTGGGACGTCTTGAAATTGCTCTGACTTCGGATTCAACCTGAATTTTTTTTTTCAGAGTACTGGAAAACAGACTTCAAACGATGATTTGTGGTGGACTTCGTTGTGTCTTCTGCCTTGTTTATTCTTTGGGCAGGAGGCTCGCCTTTTGGACATTATTCGAAGGCTTGTGTTCCCGCCCGACGCCTTGACGCCGTAAGTCTTCATTCATTTCTACTTGACCCACCTGACAACTTCCAAAATCGCCGTAATATTACAGCCTTTACGCATTTAATTAGAAGTCTGCTTAACACAGATTCTGTTCCCTAAGGTCAAGTGTTCCCATTCTCCTTTCCTTGAGTATTCACTAAAGCATGGTTTGATTAGCGCTCGTCTACCTTGTAGCGTTGAACGCGACTTTCCTGCCGAATTTGCGAGCACCTCTGCGCCCTGGCCCCCTGTCCATGAGAATTTTCCCACCGCTTTAGCACACCACGCACACTGTGTGTACACGGCGTACTTTGTCGATTTGTTGCAGAGAAGTGCTGGTAAGCCGAAATCAGCCCACCGCTGCACCTTAGTCTTCCCCTTCCTCTTATTGTTTCAATACAGCACTGTGTGTAAGTGCCGCTGTGTCTAAAGTGTATGGAACCACCCCTAATCCCTTGTAGATGCACCTCTGCCAAAATACCAGGCTCTGGAGTTTCGGCCGGCGTGTGACTTCATCCTGCCCGATGACTGGTTCTACATGCCACTGCTAGAATGCTACTTTTTGCGGAATTGTCGACTTGCTGGAAAGGCCTGTGGAGATGATCACGTGTCAGCTGGTGCATTAGACCCTGAGGTCAGTTTTCATCTCCTTTTGCAAGCACTGTTGCCATGTATTGCCTCATTTTCCTTTAATTTTAATGTTGTTAGCGGCGTATTCTCAAGGTCACATCTATAACTAATGGCTCCTCGTTGCATCAGTTGTTCATCTCCTTATACTTTGAGCTCTCATCTATCAGACACTACATTGCCTACTTAAGGCGCATCATTTGATCACCAACCAAAACTCCTATTTGCTCAAGCTGAAGTGTCTATTAACTTCCTCTCCCCCCCCCCCC